TGTAGATCAGTAATGCGATGTGGGTATGTTTCATTGGACATAGTGTGACACGGATTCTTTTTCTTTAGTGGCAGGTTCCGTTAAGGGTACACGAAACATTGATTTTTCAACAGATACTTTAATCGGCCATTCATTTCCACAGCCACGACCCTGCATTTTCCCAAATGATAACAAGAAGAAATGGGCTACGAACATGAGATTATTTGTACAAAAGTTTTAAACAATGGCTTGTGACACACAAAACAAGTTAAAAAAACCACAAGGTTTCAAAACTATGATTCATGAAAATCTTCTTTTTCATTTATTTACTCGAGTGTTTACAGAGGGTGATATCAAATCTATGTTGGGAGAGGTCACTTGGTGCAAGCAAATACGATTCTATAATAGCATGAGAATTTTCCCTAAATAGAGAGTCCAGAATTCCTGTTGTGTTTTTTATTTACGATCCTAGCGTATTTACTGCCTCATAATTAGATATCTGTGGTGTTATGTAGGGTAAATTATAAGGATATTTTTTTATATTGTGGTCTTCCGTTATTATTTTTATGGCTTTTTTGTTTGGATAATTTAACCGTCAGTCAGAATCTTGCGGTTTCCAAGTGAATTTTTTCTTTGTTACATTAGCAAATGTAAAATTGATAACAATCATATGCAGTAACCTATAAATTAATCTTTTCATTTTGAAAGGGAATTATAATTAATAATTTGATTAAGAATGCTTTTTAAAAATAGCTGAATTAAATTTTTTTAGTATTTATTTTTTGAATGCGAAAAAACCAAAAAGATTTGAATTTTTGGGGGTATTGAATTTTGCTTCATAGGAAGTAGAGAGCATTGAAGTTCACTGCACTTAGATATATATCCATCCACCAAGACTTTAATTAGAAACAAAAAAAAAATTCCAATAAAAAATTGGACACTGCTATGGCTCATTGCTGGGAAGTATCCGCTGTACTCCAGTGTATTGCATTACTTGTTAGGCATTGTCACAGTTGAAGTATTTTGGGATTTTATTTCATTGAGTAGGCGCAACAAGGGAAATGTCTTATTTTTGATGAACTTTATGTATCATCAGCAGCACGCATATATTTATGTTTGCATGCACTTTCAATGTTTGTGCCAAAGTACAGAAGACCCTGTAGCAATTGAATCTGCAGAACCTTTTTCTGACATTTTTTCTCTGTAATTTATCAATATTTATATAAAATGAAATTGGCATTTGCTCTTAAGTCCTGAACTATAAACAGATGTGTTGGAGTTTTGTGTTCTGCTTTTCTTATTTCTTTGTAGGAAAATATGTTGGTAAACAACAGTCAAGGGAAAAAATGAATTCTTTTAAACAAGGAATTCATGTATGCAATGCACTTTCAGGTTTTTTTTTCACTTTCTTTAACATGATAATACAACAATTCTCAAGAGGAAAATGATTTTTAAAAAGGGAGGGGGAGATGCACTGTAGAAGAAGTTGAACTTGCTATCTTTGAACATCAGTGTCTGGAAAACCATGGACTAACTACTATTTTGACTCTGTTTTCATTACCCCAGTATCTGGATTCTTCAGATGTTAGTGGGCCATTGAGTTTGAGTTAACAAGGTTTGACTGTATGTAATATAATTACAAAACACATAAAGACAACTTTGTCTAAAAAATCTCAGTAGAGAGTGTAGCCAATCAGGTTTATTTTGTTTTTAAGAATGCTCTGTGTAAGTGATATTGAGTTTTTAGGGGGGTTCTTAACTCAGGTGTACTAATTGCCCTTTGCTTAAGAGGCAAAATTAATGTGAATATAAGAAGTGGAATTGTCTTCTATAAGTTTTCTATCAACTTTCAAAATGTTAAAAAAAAAAAACTTTCTTCTGCCGTTTGCATTTTTCCCTAGATATGAATGACCCAGTACAACCTTTTTTCCCTGGTTGGTTGAAGTAAAAAAGCTGTTCTATTGAGTTTAAGAAAACAGACACCCCAGGACATAGAATTAATGAGATGGAGCCTGTATTTATCTAATAGGCCTAGTCCGTCATGTAACTTCATTCTGACATCTGTTGTTACTACTTTTTTTTTTAAGAGCGCTCATTTTTCAAGTTGTGGCTTATGATGAAATTGTGTATCAAATAGCCATTTTTATCTATTCAAGAGGGTTTCCAAATGAATGAGATTAATTAACACAACAATTTAAGAACAGCATCAAGGTTTTGAATTTCAATCTTTCCTGCACCTGTTTTGCACCAGTTTTTCTCTCTCAAAAAAAAATTTTCTTGTGGGAATGACAGACACAAAGTATTTTCATATGATTTAAAAACATATTAAGCAAGATGTTACAGTAAATGAATAGAACCTGCCAAGATTTTTGTATAATTGTCAAACACAATAGATAAAGTGTCGTGTTCACTCTGCTTATAGCCACATTGCCTCTCTAATTATTATGCTAGCTGCGATTTTTTTCTGTAAACATGAATTTAAAGAACAAATTTAAATTTGTTGGATATTTAGCAATCTGTTTTCCCAAGAGTTCACAATTTTTGAGCTGAATTCAACTAAAAAGAAATCATTTTACAGTCTTTTTATCAAGAGGCGCAAGGCATTTAACTTCTGTAAATATTTTCTTACAAAAGGTTATTGGGTGCAGTTTTTCTTTCGACCAACTGGGAACTGTTTGCCTAACTCCTTGACATTGAAACAAAGAATGTTCAGTAGCGGTTTGTGCTTTGGGTTGTTTATCCATCAGACGTTAGGGCTAGAAAGCAAAAACTTGTAAAGCATAATGGAATATAATTGCAGGTGACAAAATTAATAAAGGTTACCGTACATAATGATAAAAACTGACAACTTGGACTTTGATATATAATGTATGGGTGGCCTGATTCTTTAAAAAAAAAAAATCAGTTTATTTTGATAAGAGTTTTTGTAAAAGAAAATTTGATAGTCAGTAATTATGGTTAGCAAATAACATTACGGTAGGTAGAAATATAGGATTACATGTAAAATTTTCAATGAGCTAGGCTCTAAAAAAAAAAAGGCAATAGAAAATAATGATTATTTTTGCATGTATTGACATGGAAATTTTGTATTTCACATTCTGAAACTAATTGTGCAAACTAATGAAGGATAGTTTAACTTTATGGCAGAGGATTTGTTTTGACTTGTCAGGAGGAAAAAGAAAAAAAAAACCATATATCTGACATGATCTTGTGAAAAATGTACCAAATAACCTTTCATGGATGACTGCATTTCTTCTTGGAGCTTAATTTCCAGCGGAGGAGGTATAAGGCCCATGCAGATCTACAAAAGTAAACCAAGGCTGAATTAATCTGTTAATTAATACTCCATTATTATAAAAAAAACTTCTAAACAAAAGAGAAAGATTCAGCTTAAAATCAAAATAATTAATCAGTGAAGAGGGTCAGGTAAAAGAAATAGCTAGTACATGTAGTTATGTCCCAACCCACACTGTGAGCTTAGACACACAAGAGTTATCTTTCCTGAGCAGATTTTATGTTTGTTCAAAAAAGTACACAGAGTTTTATTTTTACAACCTCAAAAGATGGCGGCCATTTTGTTTTGTGTGAGTGAGAGATTTTTTCGTCAAAGTGGGTCAACAGAAAAAATCTAATGGGAACGGATTGGTGAAGGGGTGACCCGGTGCAGGTAATCTGGGGGGAAGTCATCCGTAGCCTGGCATGAGATGATTAGAAAACCATCTCTAAGGTTCCTTTCTTATCATTACTGCTTGTAAAAAATATACCTTGAGAAGAAGAGGTGTTATTGAATAACTACCATGAAGGAAGTGAATTAGGCAGAATGGGTGTTTAATACGGTGTAATTTTCCCGCTAAACACATCTCTCAAGCCATTCAAGTCTTTTGAACATAATTTAAGTCATGATAATTTGATTTTGGTTGTCTATCTCTCGAACAGGAAATGAGATACTTCATTTCTATAAACAATTTTAGCCAAATATGAATGAGTTAATATTGGATCAGTGAGTTTTAATTAGTTTATGTTTTAATTAACTTTTAATACCTAAATATGCATGTGCATATAAATAATATGTATGTGCATGTCTTAAGATTACTTATCATATATATATTCATAGTTAATTAAGGATGAAGTCACATTGTTTTAAGCTTTATTTATGTATAGACCCTTTTGGAACTTAATTTGTCTGGTTATGCTGTTTAAACCTCTTCGAAATCAAATTTTGAGGAAATACCAGCTAAAACTTATAATACGTATTTTGTTAATTTTCCTCTGAATTAGACAAGGATTTTTCAACAGCTGATCTCTCTTGAAATTACCTCTGGTATCATTGTGCTAAAGTTTTTTTTTCTTTGTTGAAGAGCACCATATGATGCTATATAAAAATTTATTATTAAATCAGGAATACAGTTTCTTGGGGATATAAATTGCTACTAGCTTAAAAAAAAAATTTCTTGGGTACATTCACACGTCTAAAAACAGTTCATTAAGTTTAGGTTGTTTTTATGTGATTTACACGAAGTTACGAATAGAAAAGGTAAACATCTCTTTTTGCCATTTAAACATGTTAATTGTAGGGGTAGACAAAATAATATCAACTTTATATTGAATGTCATATACTCATGATTTTCTTTTTAACAATAAACATATATGATAAAAGTTAGAACAGTTTAATTACACTGTAGTAGCTGATTAAAGTCACATGGCATGCAAATACCTTCATGGAACAAAATATCACTTCAACTTCTACTTGATGGCAACACCTAATGGGTAATGATAAAAGTACAAAGAATGGATACAATTGTAATTATAGAAAAAAGATTTATCCCTCCAGTAAGTAAGCAATAAACTAGGCTGCTTAGAAAATCAAAAAGGGCAGGTTGCTTTGTTCCTAATTAATTCTTGCATCAAATGTCATCAGACACATGTCAGACGTCCTTGTATATGGATGAAGGTATTGCGTACTGATTAATATTTTTATCCGGCATTAACATTCTTATGGTATTTTTTTTTTCATCTTTCAGCTTCGAAGATTCAAACAGTAATACCATGCCCACCATGGCGAACCCTTACCATCGACCAATGGACATAGGTTCAAATGACTTGTCCCACAAGGCCCGTAAGAATAAGGAGGATAAATACTGTGGGGTTTGCGGGGACAGGGCACTGGGTTACAACTTCGATGCTATTTCCTGTGAGTCTTGTAAGGCCTTCTTCAGGAGGAATGCTCCTAAAGGACTGGTAAGTAATATACTCACAGAATAGTAGAAACTCAGTAGGGCTTAAACAAGCCAGCAAAGAAAGGTATACACAGAACTGCTGATGGTGGGTCTGGACAAATAAGTTAAGTACCCAAGGAAGTGTAGAAAATCAGATGGGGTTGGAACAAAAAGTAAAGGACTCAAGGAATTATTAAAAGAAGGGATGTAATTTGATGCATGATACAGGAGTGTTATACTGATTACAAAATTACCACATTTTTCTGTCATGTCGGCAATGCTACAAATCTTTTGTCAAAAGTGAACATGAAAACAAATGTATCATTTGATTGCTTTAAGAAAATTGTTTAAAAAAGAGTAAAAGATTGTAGCTTAATTTACGACTTCCCAGTAAATTAATATTTTTTACATTTTAAATGTCCAATGGGTTTTTAATGAAAGAGGAAAACAAATTATGGTTAGATTGTTTCATTAATGATAATAAAAGGAACTGTTTTAAAGGAAATATAATCAAATAAACTTTGAGCTATGTACCTTTTATCTGTGTGCATTTGAAAAATAAGACATCTCTCTGATGAGATTCAGCTGAAAATTTGGCAAAGTAAAGTCGCACTGTTTAACACTGAGAGTCTTACCAATGCATGAAACGCAGTAGTTCAGATACTGGGGGTCCCGATGTACAAAGTCTACACTGTAACAAATACTCTAGAAATCGACAGCAATGGCAGGGACTAGACTGACATTGCCACAAAAGAAATAATTAGTGTCATTGTGCTCACTTTGTTTCTTTGACTGTCAACACCCAAGTTCAGCTTCTTTAATGACAGGAAAAGGAAGGGCTACTTATAAACTGAAGCTAATCTGATAGAAAAATATAAGTATTGTGAACTGACGTGGTAAACAAAAATATTCATGTACACTGTACACATGCAAATTATACAGCCAGATATTATATAATGTTACTTTGTGAGGGATAGCAAATATAAACAAGCATTATTATCATATGCTACTGAATGATGTGTTTTTTGATTGCTCATAAGAAAAATACCGGGTATAATAGAGGCTCATAGTCTTAGAGAATATAAAAATTGTATCATCAGAACTTTGAAAATGTCAAACTTAAAGTGCATGTATTACTAACAAGATATGTAATTATCTTGACCTTCATGTTGAGGATTATTCAGCGAATTTTTAACAAAACAAACAAAAAAAGAAATAATTAAATCTTTAAACCTGAAATAGCACACCAAAAAATGCTTTCAAATTCTAGAGCAGATGTACTGATATTTCAATCAACGTAAGATTTTTTTTGTCAGTTTCATTACAGATAATTATTTTTTTACTGTAAAAGCTTGAACAAATATTTAAAAAAGAGAAATTTTGGGTGTCAAGTTGAGAAAATTTGATATCATGATTAGAACACAATAGAATTTGCACTATTTCAGGCTTGAAAGAAAACATCATTTCTTCATCCATGCACTGACAGGCAAATTAAGACAAAATTATTTTAAGAAACAAGCAAAGTTAGAAAATAAGTTCAGAATCATTAAAGAATCATTTTTTCATCCTGATGAAATAAAAGCAACTAATACTGCAACAATGAAGGCCCAAAGAAGGATATATCAGATATATTTTAGAAATAAATTAGACCAAAGAAAAGAAGATTTTAGTAACGACTTATCATATAACAAAAAAAAAATTCAAAAGAGGCAGTAAAATATCATGACGTCTGAATTAATCTGTGATGTCTTGAGATATGAACCTGGTTTGTCATTGGCAACATGAACTTTGTCTTATTATTATAATAGAAAACTTCTTTTATTACAAAGAGAACATCTGTGCATTTCACTGTATGTTTTATTTGCAAGTATAGTCCAATTATTTTGTGGAAATTTTTCCATTGGAATCTTGGTCACACACATAAAGCGTGCTTCAAATTTAGCTTTTAAGATTCCAGGAACTTTAAGTGGAAATTGCACTTTTGCTATAATGAAAACCATAATTATGAAGTTTTATATACATCAAAAACTTAAAGATGCAAGAAATTTTAATTTGACTTTTAAATTTGAAGAAAATTTATCTTCATTAACATATTTATGATAATGGTTTTAAATAAAATCAGTCAATGCATTCTTATTGAATGGAATTATTCCCCAAATTATCAATGATCAGGCCCGTTTTTGACATTGATTTTCAGTTAAAATCATCTGTGTTTAACAGGTGTCAAAATTTAGTCACACAAACCCCTAGACATCTGAATGCATATGTGATGTCTATCGCACAAAACCAACAGGGGAGGTTTTATAATGGTGTATAGAAACGGACAAAGCCAGCAGTATATCGCTTTTAAAAATCTCGGGTATGGTCTGTTCATGCAATTCTGATGTACTTTGTCGGAGTCTTTTGTGCGTGAAGTAAACCTCTTTTTTAACATATTTAGCAGAGTTCATTACCCAAATGCACTGCAGAGGTGTTAACTAGAAAATCCCATTTGCAAATAGTTTGATATATTTTGTGAAATATTTTTTTAATGAACAATGATTGAGCAAATGCACACATAGTAACCAGTATCCATACAACTAGAAGATATTCACTCCTTAATTACTCAGTTATGTAATTCTACATAAATTATACATTTGTATAGTTATACAGTATACATATTAGAATATTAAAAAAATAAACTTGCATATAGGAATTTAATACAAAATACGAGAATTTTTATAATCATTGCACTTTTGTAAAAGTTAATTCAGAAGTTAAAGGTTCCTCTCAGCTAGATCCTTTTGCTGAGGTGCTAGAAATTTTTGTCTGTATAGTGGCAATATACATAAGAACTACATGTCTGTTGTACTGTTACTGACACATTTAAATAAAGCTTTCCTATGGGTTTTTTTTCAGGAATACTTCAAATGTCCATATGAGGAGAAGTGCAAGATGGACGTCTCAAATAGGCGATTCTGTAAACGATGTCGCCTGCGAAAGTGCTTCGAGATCGGGATGCGGAAGGAGTACATTCTGACAGAGGAAGAGAAGCTCCGAAAACGTCAGCGGATCGAGGAGAACAGGTTGATCCAGTGTGTCTTCGTTCTGATTACATCACACACAACACACTCTGTCTAATCTGTCTCTAACATTACTGGCCCCGAGACCATAAACTGAGAACACGTTGGTTAATTCAAAATTTTGATTCTGTCTATCTTAATGTTTATTTAACATATGGTTTTACAATTTGGCAGTTATGTATAATATTCAAATTCCAACAAATGATGCAAATTTTGTTTCATTATAATTTTTTTTTTTTAGATTATACTGATTTGAAATTTTGACTTAAGTCTGTTCTCAGTTTGTGGTCTTGAGGCCTGATAATCCTGTCAACAATTCCTTGTATTCTTATAGTAATTGTATAAAAAACATTCAAACAGTAACTAGCTTAAAATTCCTAAAATATTCAATCTGATTCATTGTTTAGTAAACAAATCTCAGTCCCATTATCTTACAAACAAAATTCCCTTTTTTTCAACTATACAACTCCCATGCCCAATCAACAAATTTACTTTGTCTCATTACAGAGTCATTCTCTTAGTTCAGTCAGCTGATCCAGGACTTCATAGTCCACTTGACAAACTAAATTGATCTCCTAGTCCTATCAGTCAACAGACTGGCCTAGTCTTGTAATCAACATTTCCATCCTTCCTTATGATAAATGACCCTTATATAAAATAGGTCCAGTTCCACAGCCCATAAAGGAAGTCCATACTGTCACATATTCAGTACTCCAGTCAAATTGAAGTCTACTCCAGTGTCAATAAGTTCCTTTTTGAATTCTCAAGAGAATGTAAAATATACCCTACTCTCTGACATGTTGTCTGTCTGTACCAATTAATAGCTACAAAGTAAATTAGTAATGATCACTGAACCATATTGGCTAAAAATCCATAGATTGACTGTGGTACAATATTCATAACTATATGAAATGTAAAACGGGGCATGCAGAGTACCTTTCGTAGTCTTTCTTCTGAAATTTTTTTTTCTTACTTTTTTTATGGAAAATTGCATTAAATGTAAAAATAAAGTCTGAGTTCCATTCCTAAGTAAAGAGAAAAAAATTGTATTTTTCATGGCTTTCTAATACAACAAAGAAGTGAAAAACATACACAAAATCCTGAAGAGAAAGTAATTTGTGAATATATAATATTTAAACATTTTGTTAATGTTTTCAGGAAAGTACGAGATGTAGACAAGACAAAGACGCAATCAGGAATAGTCAGCACATCAGAGAACAGACTAAGGGCGTTAGAACCTGATGAGGAGTACATGATAAATGAAGTAGTGGGAGCTTACAGACAATCTTTGGAGGTGTCCATTGCTTCAGAACTGCCAAAAGACAAACCGCAAATGCACATGAAAGACTTGGTAAATATTGCAGAATTGAGTGTGCGTCGAGTGATAGACATGGCCAAGAAAATCAAATCATTTAAGGCATTGTCACAAACAGATCAGATTAGTCTTCTAAAAGGAGGCTCCATCGAGCTGCTGATTCTGAGGTCGGTGATTTCATTTGACAAGGAGAAGAACTTGTGGTTGGATCCGCTGGATAGCGAAGATCACTCCATGGACATGAAGAATCTACAAGAAGGAGAGGGAGCCACTTTATTTGCCGAGCATATGAAGTTCACCCGGTCGCTAGCCGTCGACCTCAAGGCTGACGAAACCATGTTGATTCTCCTGCTTGTTATATCGCTGTTCTCACCGGATAGACCAAACATTAGTGACAAATCTTACGTTTGTCAAGAGCAAGAGAAATATGCTCTGTTACTTCTAAGATACCTAGAGTCTAGGTATTCTCCCTTCACTGTGCGTGCCATTTACCCCAAACTGTTGATGAAACTTACAGACATTCGCGATCTGAATGAGGAGCACTCCCACGTTCTTCTGAAGGTCAATCCGGAGGGGATTCAGCCTCTGATGAAGGAGGTCTTAGACATGAACCTTAAAGACAATGGTGGCGGCAGCTGTGGAAGTCCTATGTGATTGATGTAGATAGATAGAGATTGGGGGAATAAACTCAGTTTTAATGACATAAAAAAATTAATGTCCCAGTGGGCACATGTTGTGCAAGTATGAATGGATGAAAATCTAATTTTCTGCTTGTGTTTTTTTTTTAACTCTATTAATGAATGTATGATACTGACATTTAGAGAATACATAATTTTTTTAGAATAGAACATGATACAGCCACCCATTTCAGATGGACGTGTGTGGCGGTGTTAGGTCCGCAATCATAGGGCAGTTCTCTACAGCTAAATTATCTCATTCTTTTTTCTTCCTTTGATTTTTTGTATGTAACTGAAAAAAAATGAATTTCTGAAGAATTTGATTTGTTTTTCCCAAGAAAAATGACATGCAGAAGGAATAAATTGACACTGCTGTTCTGTATCTCCTGAGTGCTCAACCTGTGTGCTTGTTAGCATGTGTCTGAATTTTTTTCTGACTGTAAATATTTTATAGTCTTGCCAGAGTTTATAGTATTGCTTATAATGGAATATTATATATTTTATTTCTCTGTTTATGATTTGTATTCATCATAGTTAAACCACATATGTTACATAGATGGTCATTTTTTCTGCAGTGTATTCATGTTGGTCATAACAATGGGTCGAGCTCTTGACCACAAAGTCTGATAATAATATACCAGCCATACATATATTTATACCCCCCGCAAACGAAGTTTGGGGGGGTATATAGGAATCACCTTGTCCGTCTGTCCGTCTGTCCGTCTGTCTGTCTGTCTGTCTGTCTGTCCAGTTGGTAAGGCGATATTTATGCTAACATTTTATTGATTTTGGTAAAGTATACTTAGTCCTCTGGAATAACATTCCAAATAGAAGAAATATTGGGAATGAACCAAATTCTAGGCGTGTGAATCTTAGATTTCTTGTTTGTTTTGATTGGTTTGTCGAATGACAAAGACTGTCAAATTGAAAGTATTTGAAACGTCCGTCCGTCTGTCTGTCTGTCCGTCTGTTTGTGCAATCGTGTCCGGTCCATATCTTTCTTACAGAGGGACATTAGAATCTACTACTCCACACTAAGATTGCTCATGACCTAAGGGTGTGTCATGACCTTGACCCAAGGTCATTTGGGGAAGTTCAAGGTCACTGGAAGAAAAATTTCATAATTCGTGTCCGGTCCATATCTTTCTTATTGATAAACTTGGTAGGTTCTCATTTCACACAAAGATTGCCCATGACCCAAGGGTGTGTCATGACCTTGACCCAAGGTCATTTGAGAAAGTTCAAGGTCACTGGAAGAAAATTTTCAAAAATCATGTTTGATACATATCTTTTATAGATAAACTTGGTAGGTTCTCATTTCACACAAAGATGACCCATGACCCAAGGATGTGTCATGACCTTGACCCAAGGTCAATTTGGGGTATTTCAAGGTCACTGGAAGAAAATTTTCATAATTCCTGTCCGGTCCATATCTTTCTTATGGATAAACTTGGTAGGTTTTTATTTCACACAAAGATTGGCCATGACCCAAGGGTGTGTCATGACCTTGACCCAAGGTCATTTGGGGAAGTTCATGGTCACTGGAAGAAAAAGTTCTTAATTCGTGTCCGGTCCATATCTTTCTTATGGATAAACTTGTAGGTTCACACTTCACACAAAGATTTCCCATGACCCAAGAGTGTGTCATGACTTTGACCCAAGGTCATTTGGGGTATTCATAGGTCACTGGAAGAAAATTATCATAATCGTGTCCGGTCCATATCTTTCTTATGGATAAACTTGGTAGGTTCTGATTTCACTTTTTTTGGGTAAAGATTGCCCATGACCCAAGGGTGTGTCATGACCTTGACCCAAGGTCATTTGGGGTAGTTCAAGGTCAAGGAAGAGAAATATCATAATTTGTGTCCGGTCCATATCTTTCTTATGGATAAACTTGGTAGGTTCTCATTTCACTGAAAGATTGCCCATGACCCAAGGGTGTGTCATGACCTTGACCCAAGATTATCTGGGGAAGTTCAAGGTCACTGGAATAAAAATTTAATAATTGGTGTTTGATACATATTTTTATTATGGAAAAACTTACTATCTGAAAAACCCAGCGGGGGTGTATTTTGTCCCGTTTGGACAGTTCTAGTTTGTACATTCTGCAAGGTTGTTTGCACATTATATATATTAATCAATAATTATGTTTAATTAAAAAAAATTAACGAAAATCCTGTCACTAAGTGCCTGAGTGTGTAAAACAGAGGAATGTGATATTGGTGATGGAGGAAGGAATTGTAAATTCTCTCCTATAAGTCGATCAGGACTATAATTCCCAGTTATCAGCTACAGAGTCATGAAATGAACAATTAATCAGGTGTATCTAATTTCTATGTAATTTTCTACAAGATATGGTTTAGCAGCAACTACCTGGTCATTTTAAAGGTTACACATTTTTCATTTCTGCATCTTAATTGATAGTCAGAGAAACTTTTCTGTACTGAATTAATCTTAATGTATCCATAAATATACATTTTGTTGAATTACTGGTAAAATCTTGCTGTATAATGTTAGTGTTTTTAATGGGAAACAGAAAATTAGTTGGAATTTTCTGTGTAGAATTATTGGACTTTTTGAATTTTCACGGCTGAATCAATACACTTATTTTTCTGATTCTCTTTCTTGGACAACTCTATTATCAGTATCTGTATAATGGGTGTTATTATAAAAGATCCTTAAGACATGTATCTAGGAGAGATAACTCTTTATGAATTTAGCTTCTACATCAGCAACAAGTTGTAAAAAGTTCAGGGTTTGGCCAAGAATATTAACACTGTTTTCAATTCTTTGGATACGCAAGTTGTTTTATCTTTGATTTCCAAATATAACATCTAAAAAAAAAAAAAAGAATAGTTTTTTGAAGTTGACACATATTACATCAGATTATGTAAATTTCAAAAATAGTTTGAAAGTTGATAGAACAATTCATTGTTTGTAAAGGATTCCCATATGTTGAAAGGTCAATCACAGCTAGTGCAATACCGGTGAACATACAGAATATTAATGTATATCTTGTCAAATTATTCAGTAGAAATCAGCAATTTTGTTCTCCCTTTGCAACCAGTTTTTTTTTAATTAGTTAATAATGGGCTTATGCCATAATTTTTTTAAGTGCATATGTTGAAAAAGTATGGGATTTTTTTTTTCCCAGAAGAATAATGCTACTTAAATGGAAGATTTTTATTTTTACTTTCAGAATTGTGCTTTTTAGTTTAGGGGGTAAATTCTTCTATATTCTTTTAACAAGACCCAACGTTTTGATATTATGTTGGACAGAGCATGTCTATCATTTTTTTGTTTTAAAATTTTACTAGTTGTTTGAATGGAAGGTAAAAATTTTATACTGATTTTATTGTGTGTGGTATCAGATTTTTAAAAAAATCTAGTGTGTATGTTCGTTGTTCCTGATTATGGGGTGTGGTTACATATATTCATCCTTTATTTTTTGGTAATGCTGTGAAAAGAAATTATTTTAAGTTTTCTTTTATTTTATTCTGTTGAAAATGCATAAAATGATACCATTTGAAGCCTTTGAAAAGGTTTTGTAGTAGAGTTCATGTCCTTAAAGTTATACCCCCCCCCCCCCCAAAAAAAAATATCTTGACAATTATATTGAAAGTTATTTATCTAATTTCTAGTAATGAGACTGAAATTTAAACAGAAAACATCAAATCCATGATGAAGGTCTTAGAATATGGGATATGTTATGAGTTCACATTTTAACCTTTTTGTGTATTGCCCTGACATCTTTCTTATTTAAAGTGTCCATACTAATTAAGATAATAGAAAAATTAATGTTAAAAAAAATATACAACACAGAAAAGCTATAATTGACAATATTTTTGATATTGTGAACATTATAGTTAATTTTTAAGATTATAGCATTCTATTTTACTTTGAAAGAAACAGATTTTAAGATTGCATGCACATGAATCTGATTCTATAAATTCATTGTTGATACTAGCTGTTCATGAATTCTTGCAATTGATGATTTGCATATTTTGTAATATTAGTGCTAATAGACAGTTTAAGATTAAAAAATGCATTGTCCTTCAAATAATAAAGGAACATAATCACGCAGCAATCATTTCCGCTGTCAGATTTTGGACTATTTTTGCTATGTTACAGCCATTTATGTATTATTTGGTTATGTATATTATGATAAATAAATCATGTATTGTACTGTTTTTCATTCTTCATTTATTTATTCTAACAGAGCCACTTTTAAAGGGAATATTTTTAGCCGACCTTTTTAAATATTCATATGAAGCAGAATTTATTCAAGACTTGTACCGAGAAGAAGAAATCACTTGCAGTGGCCTTCAACTTGACATTCAGACAATAAATGGATGGTGTTTTATCAAAGTCAATAGTCATTTCCATTCATGTATAGACTAGATATATCCCAATGATCTTGTAGTAAGAGACACTACAGAGTGGGTCACATCTGTGTCATACTGGATATTTTACTGACTATAGACAACAAAACAACTGAATTATATCTCAAACGAGACGACTTTTAGTTTTGGCATTGTCAGATTTCCTTATTTATGCAATAATATTCCGCTATCACATGCATATGGTATTTATTCTCCCAATTGATTCGCTACTCAAGAGAATGCTCTGAGTACACATGTTGATGATGCAGGGATTTCGACAACCACGTTTAAAGACAGTTTTTGGTATATAATGGCCTATTAGTACATATAAGCTGTCATATTTTGCTGGCTTGTTTCATACCAATTGTTAGGCCCTTGTTTTTATTCTAAATTTGAGGACGGGATGTTCCATCAACCTGATGAATACAAAGGACCCACGGCGGAGATGATCGGTACTCAGGGGATGCTTACTCCTCATAGGCACTCGATCCCATATCTGGAATTTCCTGAGGTCCATGCTCTTTTTTTATGAGATTGGTTGCTTTTCATTATCCTTTTCCTTTTTTATTCATGGATGAATTGTTTTCAAACTGTCATTCCACAAAATTCTTTTTACTGGTTTATTTACTAGTAATTAGCTCCTAGGGGTTTTCAATCCTTTGAAAAAAGAAGGATAACTCTTATTTAGATGAAATAAAATAGTGTATCACCAACATCCCCCCTCCCGCTTTATGAGTCATAATACAAAGTGTCATTGATATTTTTTTTTTTATTTCAACAAAACATTAATGCGCGTGAAATTTTTCAGTTAAATTTTTTTTCAAGTTGTTTATTTCATTTCACTTTGTTAACATACTAAACACAATCTAAACGAGGAGAGGAGAGGCTGGTGATATGCTATAATTTTATCATATATTTGAAAATCTTTTCCCTTTCTCTTGGAAAGGAAACGGTCAAATTATTTGCATGGGTATAAGGAGCAATTAGCCCTCCTTCAAAATTGTAAATCCATGACCCCTTGTCAAAGTGTTTTGCATCACGGGTCTGTCATCAGATGTATTGTCTTATCAAAAAGTATGCTTTCACATGTAATACACTTTTTCGCATTCACTCCACAAATACTCCGCAAATTGAAGGCTTTTTAGCTCACCTGAGCCAAAGGCTCAAGTGGGCTTTTCTGATCAAAATTTGTCCGTTGTCTGTTGTTGTTGTCGTCGTCGTCGTTGTCGTTGTAAACTTTTCACATTTTCATCTTCTTCTCAAGAACCTCTGGGCCAATTTCAACCAAACTTGCTACAAAGTATCCTTGGGTGAAGGGGATTCAGGTTTGTTCAAATGAAGGGCCACTCCCTTTTCCAAGGGGAGATAATTATGAATTAGAGAAAAATTAATGGCATTTTTTAAAAAATCTTCTTCTCAAGAACCAGTGGGCCAGGAAAGATGAAACTCATGTGGAAGCATCCTCAGGTAGTGTAGATTCAAGTTTGTTCAAATCATGACCCCCGGGGCTAGGGTGGGGCCAAAATGGCCGATCAAAGTTTTACATAGGAGTATATAGGGAAAATCTTCTTCTCAAGTACCAGTGGACCAGGAAAGATGAAACTCATGTGGAATCATCCTCAGGTAGTGTAGATTCAAGTTTGTTCAAATCATGACCCCGGGGCTAGGGTGGGGCCAAAATGGCCGATCAAAGTTTTACATAGGAATATATAGGAAAAATCTATAAAAATCTTCTTCTCAAGAACCATTGAGACAGGAAAGGTGAAACTCATGTGAAATTATCCTCAGGTAGTGTAGATTTAAGTTTGTTCAAATCATGACCCCCGGGGGTAGGGTGGGGCCAAAATGGCCGATCAAAGTTTTACATAGGAATATGTATAGGGAAACCTTTTAAAATCCTTTTTTCAAGTACTTCCACTTCATGTGTAGTGATATTTATATGGAATCATCCTCAGGTAGTGTAGATTCTAGTTTATTCAAAACATGACCCCCCGGGAGGTTAAAATTCAAGCCCCCCCCCCAACTCAGTTCTGATCTAAATGTGCTTTTTCCTAGCAAATTACTCAGGTGAGCGATGTGGCCCCTGGGCCTCTTGTTACGCTTTTTATGCGCCCGGATTGATGGATCCGGGGCGTATATTCATTTGTTTTTGTCCTGTCTGTCTATCTCTCTGTTTGTTTGTTTGTCTGCAAACTGTAACCTTCGCTATAACTTTTGAACCATGAAAGATAGAGACTTCATATTTAAAAACTTTAAAAAAAAAAGGTTTAAAAACTTTTTTGTTCGTTAAATCCTGCGACTTTTGCACACACACCCTCTCACACACACACCCCTTCCACAGAGACAAATTTCACATGTAATTCATATAGAACAGTTCCAGTAAAAAAGAACAAGATGTGTTTGTGAAACACTATGCGCCCGGCGTCAACAAAATTTTTGAAAAACTATTACTAGCATATATGTCACAGTCAAGGTCACAAGGCCATTTACCTTGGTGTCATTTGAAAGAACTTTATTAGTAAAGTATGGATACCAAATATGAAGTCTCTATCTCTTGTGGTTCAAAAGTTATGGCAAAGGTACGAAAAAACAACTATTTTTAACATACAGGTCACAGTCAAGGTCTCAAGGTCATTGACCTTGGTGTCATTTGAATGAGATTATTAAGTGGAGTATGCATACTAAATAGGCAGTCTTTATCTTCTATGGTTTGAAAGTTATGACAAAGGTTCGAAAAAACTATTTTTAGCATACAGGTCACTGTCAATGTCACAAGGTCATTGACCTTGTTGTCATTTGAAAGAGCTTAAGTAGTGAAGTATGCATATCAAATATAAAGTCTCTATCTTTCATGGTTCAAAAGTTATGGCGAAGGTTAAAGTTTGCAGATGAAAAGCTATTTTAAGCATATAGGTCACAGTCAAGGTCACTAGGCCAGTGACCTTGGTGTCATTTGAAAGAGCTTTATTAGTGGTGTATGCATACCAAATATGAAGTCTCTATCTTTCATGGTTCAGAAGTTAAAGCGAAGGTTAAAGTTTGCAGACAAACAAACAGACAGCTAGACAGGCAGGACAAAAACAATATACGCCCCGGATCTATCAATCCGGGCGCATAAAAAGCAGTCGTATTTTTAAATAGATACATGTACCGATATGAATAGAAATGAAGGTCAATCATTGGTAATAAATAAATAATTTTATTCAACACAGTACATAGATGTTACATGTAGAATGGGAAACATTTGTGCCTTTTTCGCAACCCACAATAAATAAATTATTCTCTATGTATATTCAAAATAATTCATCTTCATTTATCTCGACTGCAATGGTGTTCAAATTACAAAATTTACAAAGACACGTCATATTCACATCATAGATGGTCAAAAAGCATACAATTATTTTTTGAAAATATTTGTTAATTTTCAGGAAAACTGACAAGATATGCTTCTAAAAGTGCAACAATTATTGGTCCTGGCAATTCACCATGAAAACACTAAGTATTTCGGCATGCAATTTACAAGGGGTTTGTATTTTATTCTGAAAACGTAAAATCCACATTATATTCCACGCACAATAAATCTACATATTTTATTGAAATCTTTAAATCCAGCCTTGCAATTTTAATGAACTTTGGAATTTGCACTAAAATCAGGAGAGAAGATTTGAAATAAAACTTATGATATTAAAAAATTAAATTAATGTCGTCACATGCAACATATCTCGTAAAATTTGAAATATATCCAAGATGGTAAATTATGTTGGACAGAGCATGTCAGGATGGTCATTTTAATTTCTTTTAAAGGGAGGGTGAAACCAGGGACCGAGATACCAATATGATATATTAAGTATATAGGCCCATAGTGAAACAAACACTTACCCTCCCCCTCTTTAAAAAAACGGTACCCCAGAAATATTAAAGGAAACCAAACACATGCAGGTCTCTTTCAATTAAAAATAATTATTGTTGCCACCGATTCTGTCATGGGTGGAAGATTGAAAGCGCGTACATAAGAATTTAACCCTGAACTTGCTGGGCCTGCTGGAGGTATAACAGGTCAGTTCCGGTAAGGTCACTTCCACCAATTCCGGATCCGCTGCTTCCGGCTCCAGAAATGAAGTAGGCGGCCAGAGCGCCGACGGCGAGAACTCCAAGAGCGTTGTTGGTGGCAGCAGTGGCGGTAGTTGTGGCGGTGGCAGCTAAGAAAGAAAAAACAACAATCAGTTATATATATATATATATACATATATATATAGACAGCAAACTCAAAGTTAACATTCAATATTGCAAGCGTTATAGTTTCTTTTGTTATGCTACTCCAATTTAATTAAAATCAGATGTTAGATCCGCTGGCATACTCGCTACACTAACTTCGATGTTAATGTAGCGAGTATGCGAGCGGATCTAACATCTAATTTTAATTACATTGATGCTACTCAGGAAACCATTTATTGCAATTCCATATAAAAAAATGATTATAAATTAAAACATTGTACTTACTTCCGCAAACAGAACCACTGAACCCGGCGAAGCAGACACATTTTCCAGTGGCGGTAGCACTAGTAAGTGGGGGACCTCCAGCGGTGGCGAAAGTGTCCAGTGCGCAGAATCCGTTAGCTGTTGAGGTACAGGCAGCGACACCACTTGTGGCAAAAGAACAAGATCCGCCTCCGTAGACCTGTGCCATGGAATTCTGCACGCCTGGAGAACAAGAAACATACATCAAACTTGTGTATCATTAACTATCAATGAAGTATAATTACAGTATTAATTAATTAATTGTCTTAAAATAGGGAGCAGTCCTAACATGTATCATGATCGATCGCCTATTGTATCAAAAATTAAAATAGTCTTTCAGCGCAACATTTCCAATGAATTAAAATCTACACTTTGAAACTTAATTTTTTGATAAACATTAAAATGAAAGGGGGCACTGAATATGTTTTCTCTAACTAAAGAAGCATACTTACAGATGACCACCAGGCAAGCGACAACAGCGAGTTGGAATTTCATCGTCGGAGTTTAGGATGTGAGTCTGCATTTACAAAAAAATGAAATACAAATTTTAATCCTTGAATTGTTAATATTCATGAAAACCTGATTTAAAGTAAATGAATTTTTTTCTATACTTTCACAGGTTTTAAAAAGTATTACTCAAGTCAAATACACCAATTAAAAAAAATGTAAAAATCTTTAAATTCAGTCTCAATTTTAATGGAAAATTTATATAATTTTGAGGTTAACTGCGATACACGAAATGAGGGACGTGACCTTACCTTACTGAGAGAATATACTCGACTGACTACGGTTCGGTCCCTCTACCCCTTATATACTTTGTCCAGCGGTGGGATGAAGCCTGTTATGTGATCCGCCGACAGCAATATGCAATATGACTAGAAGTTACGGGTTAAACACATTCACGCGAAGTAATACCCTCGTTCACTGTGTAATGGGAATGAAGTTGGTTGTCTGGGTTCTGATTTTTCCTTGACATGGTCGGATATTCTTGAAAGACTCTTGCACATACTGAAGGCTGTGTTTTAGAAAAGATTCAAATATTTTAATTTTAAATGTTTGATTAACAGGGTTCCGGTAAAAAGGAAATATAAATTCTATAATTAATTCTACCCGTTAAATTCAACATTTGCAATATGTCACAATTCTTTAGATTTATCAAACTTGCATACGAAATAAATTAGCTTTTTGAATTAAATAACTATTTATCTGTGTGTGTTTTTTTATGATAAAAAGTGGACGTCTATATTGTATTTTTCAAGACAGTAAATAAGTTATGTCACTGGAAATTTATTTCTGAAATAAATGCTGCAATTGTATAAAGTATATCTGTGTAAATAATAAAGAAGTCTTTAAATTCTTTCATGTTCGCTAAACCACTAAAAATTCACTTTATTTAATTAAGTGCGTAAATTTATCCGAATATCTTCACAGTCTCTCGATTGACCTGCGGGACAAGTAAAACATATCGAAGCTGACGTAACACAGGCGGTACGGACTTCCCTGATAGCTAGTGCAGCACATGGGGAAGTTCTAACCGAATACATTACGTCAGCATTCACACATATGCATGTAAAGCCATAATCGACATGCTGCATACACAAAAGCGCAGTCAGTTATTTTTTCAGCAAAAAATAAATGGTTGATATTAGTTACAAGGGCACTTCAAGTATTTTATACATACATGTATGTATATCAAATGTACATGGATACCCCCTTACTTATTTGATCCCCAGTCCCATAATATATATATAAGCAGCATGTTTTGCAGTCAGTTTTAACCTTCACCCCTCTCGTAAACAAGGTAAACAATGTAAAACCGAAGTATCATAATGGGCGTTGTATATATTAACTAAAAATAATAAACTTTGCGAAAACCGTGATAAATTTTAATAGCAACAAGCAAAATACTATAAATACCTATGGAGTAGAGTATAAACGATGTAGTTTCAAAAACCATGCAAGCTATTGACAAATAACTTGATGATACAAGGGATATTAACAACCCTCGTTTAGTCATTCCGCTATTTTTAGCTCCATTGGTCGAAGACGATGTGCGGTGTTGCCATGGTTACTAAAAATTTTAAAAAAAATCTTTAAAATATTTTAAACCCTAGTACTCCTACAGTGTTGGTCCGATTTCAATATTACTTGGCACACAAACAGACTTTACTAAGATACATAATTCTGAATATCGGTTTTTGATTTCGATGTGCGGTGTTGCCATGGTTACTAAAAATTAAAAAAAATCTTTAAAATATTTTAAACCCTAGTCCTCCTACAGTTTTGGTCTGATTTCAATATTACTTGGCACACAAATAGACTTTACTAAGATACATAATTCTGAATATCAGTTTTTTATTTCGATGTGTGGTGTTGCCATGGTTACTAAAATAAAAAAAAATCGTTGGAATATATAGGTCTGATTTCAATATTACTTTTCACGTAGGTAGACTATACTAAGATACATACACTGTAATTCTTTATATCGGTTTTTGATTTCGATGAACGTTGTTGTCATGGTTACTAAAACTAGAAATTAATTTTAAATATTTTCAATATTCTACTTCTCCTACAGTTTTGGTCTGATTTCAGTATTACTTGGCACACACGTAGACTATACTAGGATACATAACACATTTTGGCTTTCGATTTCGATGAAAGGTGTTGCCATGATCATTAAAAATAGATATTTCTTTGAAATATTTTAATGCTACTCCTACGGTTTTGGTATGATTACATCCTGCCATGTAAAAGACTAATCCAATGATATTTTTAGCTGATGCAAAGTTCGAATGCTACTTTTCTTAAACCAGTAGAGCTACAATCTCATCAGAGACTTCTGGTAATGATTGATTTAGTGACCTTGTTATCTGACAGATACTATTTATTATTTTTTTTTTTTTTTAATTTTTTACAAAAGTAGAACGGCCATTTTTTTTACATTGTCAACGGATTTCTCCGTATACATATGCATGTACTAGCACTAGCAGCGGTCACCGTCCACAGCGGATCCTCCGTCGTCCGTGATCCCGACTCTGATGTTTCTAGAAGTCCACGTTTGCCTTTTCTCAAAATTTGTATTATTCCAATAGACCCTCTAGGTGATTATTGTTCTTTTCTTATGCTCCCGGATCCGGGCGTATATTGTTTTTGTCCTGTCTGTCTGTTTATCTATTTGTCTGCAAACTTTAACCTTCGCCGTAACTTTTGAACCATTAAAGATTGAGACTTCAGATTTGGTATGCATATTCCACTAATAAAGCTCTTTGAAATGACACCAAACTCAATGACCTTGTGACCTTGACTGTGACCTATATGCTAAAAATAGCTTTCTTGTCTTCAAACTTTAACCTTCGCCATAACTTTTAAAACATGAAAGTTAGAGACTTCATATTTGGTATGCACACTCCACTAATGAATTTCTTTCAAATGACACCAAGGTCAATGTGTGACCCATATGCTAAAAATAGCTTTTTTGAACCTTCACCATAACTTTTGAACCACGATAGATAAAGACTTCATTTTTGATAACTCCACAAATGAAGTTCTTTGAAATGATACAATGTCAATGGCCTTGTGACCTTGACAGTGACCTATATGCTAAAAATAGCTTTTTTCCGAACTTCGTTACCGCCGGTCGCATAGTGTTTCACAAACACATCTTGTTTCTTTTTCATTTCCATCAAAGCATATGAACGAATAAGCCCCCCCCCCCCCCCAAAAAAAAAAAGATGCCCATGGATGGACAAATAAGAAAGTTTAAAAAATATGAAGATTAACCATACGATAAATAATATTTCATTTTTCAGTTGTATGTACTTGTTATTTTATAACAGATTACTATATCAGTATAAGGAATCTCTACAATTTGTCACACTTTCAAAATTATTTTGATATGTACAAGAATATACGCCAGAATGAACAAAAGAAAAAAAAACGTGGTCAAATATTTTTTCCCCCAAAATTATGAACAAACTAAAAGCACATGTTAGAAATAGATAATTATGTTATGAATTCTAGCTATAGTGAGGGCAAAAAATATTGTTAATTTTTGCTATTTTATACAATTTTCATATTTATAAATGATATAGTATTTTTTACCACTACTTAAAGTCCCCCCCCCCTCCCCCTTCCACGAATAGTCTCCTCAATCTCATCGATTTTGCTCAGTTTAAGTTATCACAGCACGTGTGGGGAATTGAACTGCATCATTCTTGATGCAGTGTTTCGACAATCATTTCCTTCTAGCCATAAGTCCTTAATCCACGATAACTTTCACCTTTTGAAAACGTGCAAATTGACTTCCAAGGTGCATGTATCTGAGAATCGATTGGAAGTACCGTGTATTTTAAAAAATGATATTCTTTAGCAGCATGCCAGAGCTCAGAAAGCATAAGAGATTATCAGACATAATGTAGTTGTCATACCAGCGTTGCCCTCTAATAGTCTTGATCAAAAACCATGCAAACAAATATTTAGGGTCAACTAACCAAGTCCGGGCCTCACTCGAAACAAGGTTAATTAAAATTAAACTAAAAAATATTAAAATTTAAAAAATACAAATGTACATAAAAACAATAAATGATTGGAGTAATTCTACCTGAAAAGATCTTTTCTAATTGAAAAGATTAGAAGGCCACTAAAGTCATCATATATTCGCCACTTTTCAAGCGGGGATATAATAAATGTATGAAATTTATTCCTGAAAGCTATATCAAAACACATATTTTACACGTTTCATTGGCCTCAGTATCGGTAAATTGGCATTTTTCATTTCGAAAAAATCTTGCTTGAATCTTGCTTGAATCATGGGTATTCTCAGATACAACTGTGAGATACACCTTTAGGTAAATTACTGAAACAATTTCTAAAACGAGATAAATTATTGACAAACAAGTTGATGAAACAAGAATATCAGCAGTCTCGTTTAAAGTCATCATTTCGTAAGTTCTTTGGTCGATAGAATGACCTTAGCAAATACAATTTGTCATTGAGTCAAATGCTGACATACGTTTTTCATACTAATAGTTAGTCCATTATTTATACACTGAATTAACGACAGATTTTTTACTCCTATTCCCTACCTTTCTTATCTCTCTGCACCCTTTTCTTCCTTTTTTTTTTTACATTGTAGATTTATTTGTTGTTCATCACGTGTATATAAATTTGTTTTTCTTTGTGTTGGAGAGGACATTCTAAGTTGGAAAAACTTGTGTCTGATCCAATTGATTATATCAATAAAATATGTTGAAATTCAAACTTCTGTAATTATCATGACTACAAATGCTATATCGTGATGAAGTTCATTAAAAACATTATTATATGGACAATGTATAATCGACGAAAAAAGAAAATTTGTATGTTTGTGAATTAAATTTGTAGTGAAAATTCCACGGACAAAATTTTAAGATGTCCACATGCCGTCTACGGATATCATCTTTGTCATGACTAAACATAAGCTGTGGAGCATGAAGGTTCTTCGGAGTGAATTTATTAATAAACTTCATCAAATCTGTGAAGATTACGGTATATTCGATTCTATATAGTATCCTATTGCTTCTTAAATGCCAGCAATAGATTCTAATGTGTCTCAGGCAAGAGAGACGCCCAAATTTACGGTCACAGTTAACGGTTACCCACCAAGCAGGAAAAAAATATTGAGTAGAAAATAATATTTAAATAAAAAATGGTGAATTTTTTTCCATTTTGGACGAATTTATTGGTACAAGATTTCAAACAAAAACAATTTAAATGTAAAATTGTGGCAGTAAAGCATTTTCTTTCAATAATAGTGCAGGATTTATATAGCTCATTAATTTAAAATTATATTTTTCTATAAAGTTTTGTCTTCTTGAAGTCAAAACATTCGTAAACCCCAGTCAATACTTAATGTATCCTCATCTATATCATACACATTCATTTGATGTGAATGAATTATAGAAAATCAACTGATAAAGTAAGCAATAAATAATTTATTAACAAGAAACAGTTTTGGGTGCCCTCTAGGATAGATATTATATATCTGATTTTTTCACTGCATATTTGTAATATCTAAAACATTTACAAGTAATGATAAACATGATACACTTTCCTTTGTTTATAAAGAGATTTAACACAATTATCTTAACATGTACAAACTTCAGTAATATATTCGAAATGCGACCGCAATTTTGCACCGATTTTAAAATCATAAGAGACTTTTAATCTGAGAAGAAACGTAATTTTCATCTGAGAAGAGTCGAGGCAGCAACAATGAGAACAGCAAACATGGCGATTTCGTTCTTATTCCTTGATTATCTACAAATTCAGTCGTAGATGGAAAATCGAAGAAAGCCAAGACAACCTACGACAGAGAAAGTTTAACCCTGAACTTGCTGGGCCTGCTGAAGGTATAAAAGGTCAGTTCCGGTAAGGTCACCATTTCCGCCAAATCCGGAACCGCTGCTTCCGGCTCCAGACAGGAAGTAGGCGGCCAGAGCACCGACGGCGAGAACTCCAAGAGCGTTGTTGGTAGCAGCAGTGGTAGTGGTAGATGGAGTTGTGAAAGCTGAAGGAAAAAAAAATAAATAAAAATACATGTTGGGATTTAATGATGTTGCACAAATAGCAAGATTTAGCTACAGAAAATATCCTTTTTTTATCTCTCTGTTGGTATGTCAAGAACTTTAAAAGATTAATACAGTATAACTTATTTCAACTATGCACCTCGCAAGACACGAATGGGTGAATTTATTTGAAAGGTCTGCAAAAAATGTACAATTGCATACCATCGTCAGAAACCAAGGTCGGTCTCCTCCTCTTATGAGCTGGTTTCCGACGATGATTTTTTAACATGTAATGCTAGATCGATAAGCCAGATGAAGCCAGACTGTAGGGATGGTTGAAATGATCTATTCTTTTAATTCTAAGGAGGTTTTAATGACAACAAACTGTACTTACTTCCGCATGTGGAGCCGCTGTACCCGGCGTAACAGATGCACTTTCCGGTGGCAGCCGCAGCTGTCAGGGGAGAACCGGTGGTTGTGAAGGTGTCGAGTGCGCAGAATCCGTTAGATGTGGAGGTACAGGCAGCGACACCACTTGTGGAAAAGTCACATGTACCACCTGCGTAACTTTGAGCCATAGCATTCTGAAGGCCTGGAAATCAAGAATCAGGATTAATACATCTATCATAAATTTGAAAGATTCGTCGTTTTACTGACTTTGATAGGTGATATAAATGTTATATTACTCCTTGCTAAGTACATGTAATCAATTTTAAGTTTTTTAAAAATATTTCGGGGGAGGGAGGTTTGCATGCTCAGAATACCGAATAAATTAAACACTTTTAAAATATTCTGTAAACTGAAATGAAATTCGCAAATTACTTACACAAAGCCATCATACAGGCGATAACTGCGATCTGGAATTTCATCTTCGGTGCTGGAAACTGAGTCTACATGGAAAAAAAGAAAAGAATTTTCATATATACTAGCAAGTATCACTTCAATTTTAGTCATGAATGTTAATTAATAATAATAAAAATGAATTAAACTAATAAAAGTATTAATAAATGTGCATAATTTTACTGTTGTAAAAATATCAATTTCTTATTTTCAGTCACAATTTTAAAAAGGTTTCATAATTCTAATGACACCATCTAGTTGGTCTTGGACTTGATTTTTCGCCTTTTTTATCTTTATAGGAACATGTATTCAAAGTCTACCTTACCTTCGTTAGTAAATTCACTGGACTGGCGATAGTTCGCCTGTTCTCCCTTTTTGTACTGCCGTAGTAGACGGATTATGCGTGTTAGGTAATTTGCCGATAGCTATGCAATTCGGCTGAAAAAGAACTAAAAAACAAATTTTAGCGTGTTCGATTTCGTCACATTATGTTGCTAAATCTAACAGAAGCAATCGCCCTCAGACTTCCTGACTCCGGGGTATCACAATTAACTTCAGAATACCTTGAATAACGTTAAAAAATATATATATCATTTTTCGTTTTGAATTTTCTAATTTTTTTCTTCTTCTCTTGAATTTGTTTCCATTGAAATAAAAGAAAAATTGGTCACATATTCTAGTATATATTATTAATGATATGTGGGTTACCTCTATCAATTTTTCAATTTCAGATGCGATACATTTTTTTTATTATTTTGATGCTATGTCTTTGTAACCAGTGACAAAATAAAAGTGGTATAATTATTTTCAGATTGCTTTGAAATCACGACTCTACTTATATTGCAGATCTTGAAGTCATTTATATATATATACGTAGGTAACACAAATCTTTCAACATTAATTGTAAAACAAACTCGTAGCATCTTTTTAAAGTTTTGACGAGAATAACCTCATTTTTATTTATATAGCAGTGACCAGAAAATACGCCATTCATAGTTTTTCTTTAAAAGAATGGGGTGAAATATTTAAAACCCACTGTATGAGGTGTCTTAAATTTTGTGTTCTAATTCTCGTCCTGATACAAAGGTGTTCAAGTATTAGAGACTATATTATATTGTTCAAGTATTACAGACTATATTATATCGTTCTCTGTTCTCTTACGTAAAAATAAAAAAATATAATAAACATGTAGTTCAAATTACTCCAGGCATCTTTGGTACCGGTAACACCCCCCCCCCTTCCCCCCGTTTTAAATTCGTAATTAAGTTGAGAAAATACAGCATCCTTTATTTAAATGGTACACTACTCACTAAAAATTTGAACCAGAATAAAATGTTTAATAATTTATCTAACAACACAACAAAGAGAATTTTTCCAATGTACTGCAGTTTATAGATTGGTCTTGTACAAAACCATACCAAAATTCGAAGTATTTCCAATAAGAATAAAATTATACAAAGGTAGAAAAATGTCGCTCTGTTTCCCTCTCCCTGTAAATTCTTAAAATAAGATGTAACGAAGGAAAAAGTCAAAGAAAGAAAAAACAAATAAAAAGTATTTCATAAGAATTCTAACCCTAAAGTTTATCTCTACTTTTATCAGTATTATAAACTTATCACTTTAGATGTTTTCAAAATCTTTTAATGTACTAGTATCAAAAAAGGTTTAGAAAAGAACTGGAGACTCTTCGAGATCAGCATATATTCTTTGTAGCATATCTGAGGATTGAAATCACATCTTTTTCGAGTGTACGCGAGAAAAGGGAAGTCTAGAATCTACCATAACATTGCAGATATAACGGGTGCTTAGATTTATGCAGATTTACATGAAACATCAGACGTGCGTTTTTCCCTAAGGCTACCGGCGTAACAATTTTGTTTTAAGAAACCATCCCCTGTATCGGGGTATATTTAAAGGCCATCGAGAGTCAAATCATCAGTCTTTTAGATTCACTGATACAGGTAAGTTGTAAGAAAAAAAATGGTGTAGAAACATAGTCTTGGAAAACATACGGTAGTCTTGGAAAACACACTTTTTTCCTTTTGTGAGAAAAGGGAATATAACATTTGGATTTATTAAACTGAACAAATATTGTCACGTGTATAACTTAGATAATCTTATTTTTGTATTTATAATTTATTATATCGATTTTAATTTCGTTTTTTTTTTAAATATTTGAATGTATACTACTTTTTATCATTTTTTTCATCGTATGTTAATTTCATTGTTGCAACTTAAATTTTAGTTGGGGATCAAAGGAATGTTCCATTTATTTAATAAAAAAAACTGTCGTGAGAATTTTTTAGTTTCCTAGTAAAAAGATTTTTTTCATATATTTTCTTTTCCTTTCACTGATGATCTTTTAATTAATTAAATTATTTTTTTCTTACAGATCAACAACCCACAATGAACTCCCTGGTTGTCGTCGCTGTTTGCGCTTTTGCACTGTGTAAGTATTTCAATCGTTTCACTGGAGAGAGTTTAATGGTTCGAAATCCTCTAAGAGTTTCCCGCCTTGTATGTCACCTTTGTCAAAAGCAAGGCCACGGCTGTTTAACCGCTCATTTTAATGAACAGCCATCATTAATTCAATATTTTTATCTATAAAAAACAAAATATATGAATTCAATATCTAAAATTAGCGAATTGCTATGCTACATCATTCCTTAATTTTTATTTGGAAGGCTCCAATTAAATTTTAAATTAAATTCCATTTTACTAAGAAAAAGAGATTACGAGGGTACATTCCCCAGCTTTCACTAACCGGACTTCCGGATATTTGCTTTATCCGTATATCCAACAGTATTTATAATGTAGTCGTATACTTTTAACCTGACAGGCCTTCACAGCGCCCAGGCTTTAACCTACGGAGGTGGAACATGTTCTTTCGCCACCAGTGGCGTCGCTGCCTGTACGTCCACTGCCGCCGGATTCTGCTCCGTGGACACCGTCGCTGTCGCCAACTCTCCTGTCACCGCCATTACTGTCACTGGAAAATGTATCTGCTACCCCAACTACAGTGGCACTGTGTGCGGAAGTAAGTATTACGCATTTAAATGCGTTTGTTTCCATTTAAAAAAAAAAAACACACACACACGAACAAACAAAAACTGGTACATCTAGATAATGTTAGCTGTAATTAGTTTATTGGCGGGACCATAGCAATGGATTAACAAGATATGTTTGTGAAACGCTATATGCGCCCGGCGGCAAAAAAAGGTTTGAAAAAGCTATTTTTAGCATATAGGTCACAGTCAAGGTCACAAGGTCATTGACCTTGGTGTCGTTTGAAAAAACTCAATTAGTGGAGTATGCATTTTAAATATGAAGTTTCTATCTCTTATGGTTCAAAAGTTATGGCGAAAGTTCGAAAATGTTTTTTTTTGCATATTAGTCAGTCAAGGTCACAAGGACATTGACATCGGTGTCATTTGAAAGAACTTTATTAGTAGAGTATGCATTCCAAATCTAGTGAAGGTTAAAGTTGACAACAGACAGACAAACAGATATACAGCTAAACAGACAAACAGATAAACAGACAGGACAAAAACAATATACGCCCTAGATCTATCGATTCGGGCGCATAAAAATAGCAAAATTTTACCTTATGATATCTTCATCTAAATTTTACACAGAAAACGTGTATATTTGATGCTCATTTCTTATTATTCTATTTATTTACAGCTCAAACCGTAACTTCCACCTCTACCACCACCGCCAGTTCTAACAACGCCCTGGGAGTTCTCGCCCTTGGAGCCCTGGCTGCCGCCGCCCTCTCCGGATTCGGATCTGGAGCCTCCGGCGGACTCGGCGGAAGTGGCGACCTCAGCGGAAGTGATCTGTTATATCTCCAACAGATCCAGGGTTTCCAGGGTTAAGCCAGTTTTGAGTCTTTAGCTGGCTCTTTTGTCCTGTCTCTCTTCAAGCTTGAATAACTTATATTAAGAAATATATATACCGTGGCATATTTTGGTTTTCAGCAGGCATTTCTTGAAGATTTGACAATGCATAAACCAAATTCACATAGTTTTTCAATTACCGGTATATTATTTTGTCGTCTTCAATAAAATTTCAGTGCAATAGAAATGTAGAGAAATATTGAAAGGAAATCAGTATACAGTGACTACTAGTATTTTGTAATTGTTTTATTAATCAGTCACATGCATATTTTAAATAATTATTTAGTAAATTATTATATGGCAAGGCGTTTCACTTTCTCTAATTTTAGCTAAGTTAGCTAAAATCCCAAGTTTTGACTTTTGTTGTCGTCGAGTAAATCGAAAGTTCAAATTATCATTTCTGAAATGTTAACTTATTTACTACTTATTCTCAGAAAATATTCTGGTTCGTTCTGTATGAAGTAAAACGGGAAACAAAAATCAAAATCCCTTGTAAAATTTACCTGCAGTGAACTACATTAATCTCAAAAGATGGCACACTTTTAATTTTGGCAATAAGAGAAACGCGACTGACTTAGATCTATATTGTATATACATGATATAGTTCATGCAAACTACGTTATCCTACAAAACCTTTAGGACTGTTTGTAATGCACCATGAATAAAAAACATAGATTTCAATTTAATTTAACACTTGTCTGCCATTTTTCATAAGGATTAAAGTAAAAGTTCCATGTCAAGACAAAGTCCAAAAGTTCCATGTCAAGACAAAGTCCACGCTTTGATTCCACTCATCTTTCACAACGTCTCATTAGACATTTGCAATGTGGTGAATTTAAGAGTAACAGTCATTACTACTTGTTACAAACTCAGTAGTATACAAAAGTATACATGAGTATGTCGTGAGTATTCCAAAATTTGGACACCCGAAGTTGCCATTCAAGTTAATGCTTATACTTTTTTTGTTCCAAGTCAGAATGGGTTTGTTGTATTTATTACCATCTGTTTGTGTGTAACCTGTTTTACATGTATTAATAAAATTATTTATTGATAGTTACTTTTGGTTAGTTCTTGTTTTTCAAGGAGCGCATTGTAGCGTAATCCTTGAACAGTTGTACATTTGTCTCAGTTTTTCGATTGAAAAATGCTAGCTGTTATTGAAATTGTGAAAATGGCGGGTGGCTACCAAAAAAGGGTACCATTTTGTGTCCGGATAACTCATCTATGACAACATATAAATCATTGTACTTTGAGAACATATTTCAAAATGCGTCAATTTTTGGACAAAGTCAACGCAATTTCGTCTTTGTTTTTTTTTTTTTCAAAGTTCGTTACGAGTGTACATCAACATTTTTTTTTTTACCATGGAAGCACTTAATAAAAAATAAATCAGGACTTTAGTAATAGATAGCATTACTGTATACATGGAAAGTTTCGCCCCCGTTTTATTTTCGCCCTAGTCGCAAGTGGGCGAATTTAAAACGGGGCGAATTCAAGGAACATATTATAAATTCTTATACAGAACTGTGACTGGGCGAATTTAAAATGGGGCAAAGTTGTTAGCAAGTGTAAACGGGCGAAAATAACGCGGAGCTTAAATGTTTTCTTTTTTTTCTTTCAAATAGTAATGAATCGCTGAGAACGAGAAGACAGGTAGAAGGGCCATCAGACCATTTATCTATTTTTCCTACCCAAATATATTTATCAATTCTTTCTCTCAATAAATATAAGTTATTACCTAAAACAAGCTTAATCAATTTTATGGTATTTTGTGTCAAATAAACGCCCTTTCATTTATCATTCAGAAGTTATCACCGAAGTTGATTTTTTTTTTAAATTTGGTCAGTCGTGAAAGTCATGGTCAAGGGGTCAGAAATTGTAGCATGCTCGGAGATATCTTGTCACGGGAAATGTACATGTCAAATATGAAAGCCCTATCTCTTCTCAGTCAAACGTTATACGGAAAACTCAACATTTTTTGAAAATTAAAGTCAAAATTCAAGGACAGGGTCACAATGTCAAAAATCATAGTGTATTTAGAAAGGTCTTGTCACAAGCAATACACAGCTTTGATATAACAGCCATATATCTTCTCATTTTAAAGTCATGAGCAAGGTTAAAGATGTTGAAAAGCAAATTAATCTTCAAGGTCATGAGGTAAAAAAAATCCTAGTGTATTTAAAAAGGTCTTGTCACAGGTAATATACAAGTTTAATATGAAAGCCGTATCTCTTTTCATTCTAAAGTTATAGCCAATTTTAGGTCTTTAATCTTTTGACAAGTTAGTCAAGCTTCAAGGTCAAGTTCATGGGAGAAAATCGTAAAGAATTTAGAATGGTCTTGTCACAGGTAATACACATTTTTATATGAAAGCCTTATCTCTTTTCATTCAAAAATTATAGCCAAGTTTGTCTTTAATCTGTTAACAAGTTAGTCAAACTTCAAGGTCAAGGGCGAAAATCGTAGTGTATTTAGAATGGTCTTGTCACAGGTAATATGAAAGCCCTATCTCTTCTCTTTCAAAAGTTATGAACAAGTAGGTCAAACTTCAAGGTCAGGGTCATGAGGTTAAAAAAAATCCTAGTGCATTTAGAAAGGTCTAGTCACAGATAATATACATTTTAATATGGAAGCCCTGTCTCTTCTCTTTCAAAAGTTATGAGCAAGTAGGTCAAACTTCAAGGTCAGGGTCATGAGGTAAAAAAAATCCTAGTGTATTTAGAAAGGTTTTGTTACAGGTAATATACATTTTAATTTGAAAGCCCTATCTCTTCTCATTCAAAAGTTATGGCCATTTCAAAGTAATGTTAAATTTTTTAAGTAGGTCAAGGTCTCGGGGTCAAAAACCAGAAGTAAAAAGATCTTTAGAAAGGTTTTGTCACAGGTAATATAAATGTGCAACATGAAAGTCCTATCTCTTCTCATTCAATAAATATGACCACAGTTTAAGTTTTTGTGATGGACGGACAGACTGACAGAAGAATGAGATTTTATGTCCCCTCACTTTAAAGAAAGCGGGGGACAATCAAAGAAAGTAGAGTGTTTCCAGTAAGGTATGTTTCGCCTGCCCTTACCTTCTTTAAATATGTAACTAATTCTATGAATGACCAGCTATTTATTAGCTACTACCATATAGTTAATGGAAAAAAAATAATAAAATCCACTGATAGTAAGACTGCAATTGAATCTGACAATCAGATAGAAATACAAACCCCTTACCCTAACCGATCGAGCCTCTCAAAAATTGTATTTTCAATAATTTCCAGATAAAAAAAGCTCTTAAATATATTTTGAATTATTTTCGAGTGAAATCATGATATTATACAGAGAAGAAAATATTAACTTCAAACCAGAGTCTAAGCAACTTTAAAGCACAATGAGAACTTTTTAAAAGGAAATATACCTTTTATTTTATATAATTAAATGCATGAAGGTGGTGCGTTTGGATGATTTATTTTTGACATGTCTTTCAGTCTGCATTTCCTCTGACCATACTGTCTAGCAATAGTCATTAAATCAATTTATAGAGGTTTGTTTTCTAGATTGTTTAATGTACAATAAGGTAATACAATTTGGAATCTACTTTATATAGTTTCAATAAAGATTCTGACACTTTTAGACAAGAAATACTATTTTTATAAAAAGTACCACACCTATTATACGGAAAACTCTACAAGACTGCAGAATTGTAGCTCTCCAAAAAATATATTGATTTTTTTCAGACCAGCAAGTACAGATCTGCACTGATGTGTCTGTCAGTGGTCAGTAGGAAACAACGTACTATTTCTTCCATTTTGGAGGCTTATCTCTCCAAATTAACAAAGAAGAATAATAAAATGAAACATATGTTTGTTATACATTTTTACTTTTTCTTTCTTGATTTTTTTTTTGGGTGGATTTTTTTTTTAAATACACTGAGTCTGCCTTTTAAATAACACATTTCATTGTCATATAATCTGCTACATATGTATTCCTTGACCTTCAGCCACCTTCATTCAACCATTTTCACTTTCCTTTTTCATGTTATTTAACTGTTCACTGAACACACTTCTCATGCCCAAGTCCTGACTATTTCCTCCTGATTGTCCCGCGATGGAGGAATTTCCTTGCGACATTGACATCACCACAATTTTGGGTGTGGTGGGTGTCCTTGGCACTGCTGTTGGCATTTGACCTTGAGCACTTCCTGACATAACCTTGACAACTGTAGGTGTCCCTGAACTTATAGAGAGGGGTTTATCTGACTGTCCATTGTTGCTTGGTCTGGCCTGTGATGTCATGACTATAAACTTTTGTTGCCCTGGGGTGCTGGGTGTTTTGGGCTGACCTCCCTGGATTACAGAGGGTGTCCCTGGTGTACGGATACCTCCTTGTGGGGTTTTGGGTGTTCCTGGCAGACTGCCAAGTGATGATGATTGCTGGATAACAAACTGGGATCGTGGCTGTAAAAAATGAACTTGATGTAATCATAATAATCAGATTTAAAGGTAGATGCAAAACAAAGAGCAGAAAAGCTTGTAAGACACAGTAAAAAGGATAAAATGGGTAAAACATACTGTAAACGAACTATTGTTCGTGTCATCTTTTATTAGCCATTAGTCAGTTTAAAAACAATCTGCAATGTCAGATTAATTATCGCAACTTAGAAGATATTCTCCACCCATATAAAGCAAATTAAATGGTTCACAGTGATAAATATTCACGATTTGAAACTCGCAGATATTTCTCGCATGCAAATAAAAGTTGATTAACAGTACCCTGTACTTTCTTTTTAGCTACTTTCTCTATCAATTTCAGAATTAAGACATATTTGAAAGAATACAAGTCCATTCTTTCATGACAAAAAAATTTTTGTTTTTTGCCCTCATGCAAAAGAAGTTAGATAACAGTTAAGACATGAGATTTACCGTTGGGATGGTGACCATTGGCCGTGTTCTGTCCTGTGTTTGACTTACCGTTGGGATTGTGACCATTGGCCGTGTTCTGCCCTGTGTTTGACTTACCATTGGGATGGTGACCATTGGCCTTGTTCTGCCCTGTGTTTGACTTACCATTGGGATGGTGACCATTGGCCATGTTCTGCCCTGTGTTTGACTTACCGTTGGGATGTTGACCATTGGCCGTGTTTGACTTACCGTTGGGATGTTGACCATTGGCCGTGTTCTGTCCTGTGTTTGACTTACCATTGGGATGGTGACCATTGGCCGTGTTCTGCCCTGTGTTTGACTTACCATTGGGATGGTGACCATTGGCCTTGTTCTGCCCTGTGTTTGACTTACCATTGGGATGGTGACCATTGGCCTTGTTCTGCCCTGTGTTTGACTTACCATTGGGATGGTGACCATTGGCCTTGTTCTGCCCTGTGTTTGACTTACCATTGGGATGGTGACCATTGGCCGTGTTTTGTCCTTTGTTTGACTTACCGTTGGTACTGTGATCATTGGCCTTGTTCTGTCCTGTGTTTGACTTACCGCTGGGATTGTGATCATTGGCCGTGTTCTGTCCTGTGTTTGACTTACCGTTGGGATTGTGACCATTGGCCTTGTTCTGTCCTGTGTTTTGACTTACCGTTGGGACTGTGATCATTGGCTATGTTCTGTTCTGTGTTTGACTTACAGTTGGGACTGTGATCATTGGCTACGTTCTGTTCTGTGTTTGACTTACAGTTGGGACTGTGATCATTGGCCGTGTTCTGTCCTGTGTTTGACTTACTGTTGGAACTGTGATCATTGGCTACGTTCTGTTCTGTGTTTGACTTACCGTTGGGACTGTGATCATTGGCTATGTTCTGTCCTGTGTTTGACTTATCGTTGGGACTGTGATCATTGGCTATGTTCTGTTCTGTGTTTGACTTACCGTTGGGATTGTGACCATTGGCTATGTTCTGTCCTGTGTTTGACTTACCGTTGGGATTGTGACCATTGTCATTGGCCGTGTTCTGTCCTGTGTTTTGACTTACCGTTGGGACTGTGATCATTGGCCGTGTTCTGTCCTGTGTTTTGACTTACCGTTGGGACTGTGATCATTGGCTATGTTCTGTTCTGTGTTTGACTTACCTTTGGGACTGTGATCATTGGCTATGTTCTGTTCTGTGTTTGACTTACCGCTGGGACTGTGATCATTGGCTATGTTCTGTTCTGTGTTTGACTTACCTTTGGGACTGTGATCATTGGCTATGTTCTGTTCTGTGTTTGACTTACCGCTGGGACTGTGACCATTGGCTATGTTCTGCTCTGTGTTTGACTTACCGTTGGTTGATCATTGGCTATGTTCTGTTCTGTGTTTGACTTACTGTTGGGATTGTGATCATTGGCTATGTTCTGTTCTGTGTTTGACTTACCGCTGGTATTGTGACCATTGGCTATGTTCTGTCCTGTGTTTGACTTACCGTTGGGATTGTGACCATTGGCCGTGTTCTGTCTTGTGTGGACGTCCCTGCCGCCGCCTTGGCCAGCTGATTTCCCTGGTTTCCAGAGGATTTCCTTTCCCTCCCCACAGCTGTGTGGAGCAGGTTCCCCAGGGACCCAAACTCAGAGACATAATCGTCCACAGACGCCCCCGCCCCCTTCAGAGCCTTTAGTACGGGGGACAGGTATTTCTGTCAAACAAAATTACAATAGCCACATAATACAATAGCCCATGTAAGCCCACTTAATGCTAATATTAAGCCCATTTAATGCTCCTAAGAAAAGTTCAATAGTAAATTGTTTGTTACAGAAATAAGAAAGAAAATAATTTTATAAAATTAATATATTGATATTAGTGTTGGCAAATTGGACAATTTTTAGTAACCCGTTACTCCCTTAATCTTCCGATCAAGTACCCGGTTACTCAGATGTTATTCTTTCAGTTACATGTATATCATCCTTTACTCATTGGTAGTAATAATCACAAATATATTATGTATGAACTATATTGATAAACTTAAAGACACATAGGCACGCACTATCTTAAAAGAATTTGATTTTAAATCCGAAGAAAAGTAATATTCAATGTTTCACACTATTTCACAATGACGTTTATAACCTTTAACTTTTTGGCCCCCCCCAGTATATGTCCTTTGTTATTTTTTATACTAGTAATGTGTTTTACAATGTGGTATTTTTACTTTATAATGTTCCTAAGCAAAATTACTTTCATTTATATAATGTTTGAAAATTATGATACATGTAATATTGCATCTGATAATACAAATCTGACTCACAGCCAGTGACTTCTTGATATTTTCTCCTGCTATCTTATCTGCAGCATTGAGGATAGGGCCCTCCAACACACTCTGTACCTTCTCCCCAATGTCCTTCACATGCGGGAGTAAAAAGGACTTGATGACCTACAAAAGAAAACATAAATCTACCAAAATAAACTAATAAACTGAGTTGTGTCTTAAACAACATTCAATTTGATACATAGCCCTTTCTGTAATTGACTGCCCCCTCCCCAAAGAATTTGCAGAGTTATTAAATGTTCAAATATTACACTAACAAAAAGAGACAGTAATCAAAGAAATATATTTCACATTTAGGAAAGGAATTTATTTTTTTTTGTTTTTGCTTGTCAAGAATATTGTGGGTAGGATTCTTTTTGGACTGGGGTTGAACATCCTCCCTCCCCGCTTCCAGGAAAAAATACCTGGATCCATGCCTGCTCTTACCTCAGATCCCATTTCCCCCAGACCAGCTATAGCTCCATACTGAGTAGCCAGGGCTGCCTTCTCACTCTGTATTGCCTGGGTGAATGTTTTAGTGATACGGGCCTGGATATTGTTGGTGCTAGTGCTGAAATTCCTGTACAGCAAATCAATGAAAGTTTTCACTGTCATATTATAGTTTAAAACCCCTTGAATTGTAAATGTAGCAAGAAACTGAATAAAACTAGAACTGTCCAAACGGGACAAAATACCCCCCGCTGGGTTTTTCAGAAGTAAGTTTTTCCATAATAAAGATATGTATCAAACACGAATTATGAAATTTTTATTCCAGTGACCTTGAACTTCCCCAAATAACCTTGGGTCAAGGTCATGACACACCCTTGGGTCATGGGCAATCTTTCAGTGAAATGAGAACCTACCAAGTTTATCCATAAGAAAGATATGCCAGACATGAATTATGAAATTTTTCTTCCAGTGACCTTGAACTTCCCCAAATGACCTTGGGTCAAGGTCATGACACACCATTGGGTCATAGGAAATCTTTGTGTGAAATGAGAACCTACCAAGTTTATTCATAAGGATATGTTATGATATTTTTCTTCCAGTGACCTTGAACTTCCCCAAATGACCTTGGGTCAAGGTCATGACACACCCTTGGGTCATGGGCAATCTTTGTGTGAAATAAAAACCTACCAAGTTTATCCATAAGAAATATATGGACCGGACAGGAATTATGAAAATTTTCTTCCAGTGACCTTGAACTTTCCCAAATGACCTTGGGTCAAGGTCATGACACATCCTAGGGTCATGGGCAATCTTTGTGTGAAATGAGAACCTACCAAGTTTATCCATAAAAGATATGTATCAAACATGATTTTTGAAAATTTTCTTCCAGTGACCTGAACTTTCCCAAATGACCTTGGGTCAAGGTCATGACACACCCTTGGGTCATGGGCAATCTTTGTGTGAAATGAGAACCTACCAAGTTTATCAATAAGAAAGTTATGGACCGGACACGAATTATGAAATTTTTCTTCCAGTGACCTTGAACTTCCCCAAATGACCTTGGGTCAAGGTCATGACACACCCTTAGGTCATGGGCAATCTTAGTGCGGAGTAGTTTCTAATGTCCCTCTGTATATGGACCGGACACGATTGCACAGACAGACGGACAGACAGACAGACGGACGGACGGACAGACGGACGGACAGACAGACGGACAGACGGACAAGGTGATTCCTATATACCCCCCAAACTTCGTTTGCGGGGGGTATAAATAGGAATTTCTCATCATTACATTTTTCTCCTAGATTTTTATATGATGCCATTTTCTACTGGATTTTAATTTTAAGAGGGTTGACTTAACAATACTAATGACTGACATTTTCTCAGTAGATTTATTGAAGTATTCATTCTCTATGTACTCAATTTTTTAAAACTTTTGCTTGATTTATTCCAGAAAAAAATATCAGAGTTTCCTACTTGCAGATTTGTCCCATTAGACGCGCCGCGAAGTCTCGTAGTGCCCAGTGATTATCAACCTCTGGTCTCATACACAACTGTTTACTGACAATACAGGTACACACTGCCGGAATGAACTCATGAAGCTACAAAAGAAGTTTTCCCCAATTTCCAATAGCTGAAAACACCGCATTAAAACTTTTAATTTTTTTAATGATGTGATAAGACAAGAAGAGAATATGAAAACAATTGTCTGTGTTTCAGTTGCATAATGTTCTTGTTTTAATATGTACGAGGGGTGATCAAAAAGTTCGTGATCTATCTCTACATGTATATCTACAAAACCACAATTAAGATTAGAAAAAATTTTGTACACACATAGCCATACATAAGTTCTATAAATAGCATATGCTGAATCCAGTTTGCTCTTTGTTTGTGACGTCACAATGTGAAAATGACATCACTACGTAGGTCACTTGTAACAATCAAAGTACTGAAAGTACTTGAAAGCGCTAAGCATATTGATTAGAAATTCGTCAGAATTATTTTAAGCGATATTTTGACAGTGCGATAGCGCTAAGTCGAGCAAGTTGTCAAAAAGTATGTGAGTCCTATATGTGAACCCTGTTGGGATATGAAATTCAACATTATGCAAACGTAGCGTTTATAATGTGTAAACTTTGCCTTTTTGCTCACAAACTGAATAAAAGTGCGAAGCACTTTTATGTAAAGTTTGTGAGACAAAGGACTTTTACACATCGATAAATTTAAAAAAGAACGTTTAATTCTTATAATTCCAATTACGATTTTTTTAAATTATTAAAATTATTTCCCTTTGAGGCCGCCATACAATCCGTTATTTTGCACGGCGTAGGAATACTTTAATGCCACCGATGCCACAAAGAAACGTGTACAAGATGAATATCGATAAAATCCAACTTAAATTGTCAAAACAATCAAGAAATAAACTTATAAAAATTCATTGAATATTGTTTAAGTCAACAAATATCGTAAATACGCGTATTCTCCAGAATAATTCGTCCTTGACCATGGCCATGTTGACGTCATGACGAAAGTTGAAGACCGACGACGTCCTCGATTTGCTCTGTTTCGTTCAAAGATTTAGGGAAAATATGGGATCTGTAGGATGTAATCATATGAATTTGATGCCAGAAAGGCAAGAGTATGAGGTACGTTTCTTTTCCCTATCACAACGATACCAACTGAGCTGATATGGAACGTCGAGAAAATGACAGCATGATCAGCGATTTTTTAAAATTCACACTCGTGATGCGACAGTGACATAAACATAATATTCCCGTCTGTCAGTCCTGTTTATTTCCTTTTCATTTATTCATTCGATCATTCATTCATTTTTTATTTCAAGTTTCTTGTAGCTAAAACGGACTAGAAGTATCTGTTTTCATTGTTTTTACAACAGTCAAGAAAGTAGTTCTGATTGAAAGAATTTATCGATGTGTAAAAATTTTCTGGAACGTGTTCTCCTCCAATCAAAACACAGGAAATCATAAAATGAAGATTGGAATTATTGTCTCATGCCTTTTTTTTAAGCATTATACATTATCAAAAGATCAATCAATTTCACTTAAAGTACTGTACACGAAATTGCAAGAAAATATGTTTGCGTGTAAAGTTATTTTCTTTCCCCATCGCCTTGTAGGAATTTATAAGAGGTCGTATTTGCGTATGAATTGCAAATTATTGGAAGGGAGATGTTTTCCGATGAAATTTAAACTCTTAATGTACATGTAGCTATACTTTTGCTGGAAAATGTATACACTGTATTTAAAAAAAATGTGAACACTTGAAATTGTCGCTAAAATTCCTCTCATTTACGCGCAACACTGAAAAATAAAATCTTCTTGTGATCATATTCATTAACAAATTCATTCTGCGTTTACAAGTTTTTCAAATTGAAGATTGGCATCATGTTTGTAACAACGTCATATGACAACACTCTATGTAAATGAAATGAACATCCGTAGAATTAACGCCCTTTATGTGTGATATGTGAACATACATTTTAGTATAAATATATTATATTTATCTTTTGACAAGTATATGATTTATAGCATACATGTATTTGCAGTAACATTTGTGTTGATATACAATATGTGTCACTCATTAGTAAATGATACGTTTTTGTAATAATTTGTTTTTACACTTTTCTTCTTTGGATTAAAAATACGTCATTAAACCCCCAAAAGTACTTTTGACTATTGTTGAAATAATTTAAAATGCTTCAATATTTTTTGCGGACGCTTATTGCTTTTCACCATTCTTTACTTGTGTATCTATGATCTTCACTACCACGCAAAACATGTTGAGAGGTAAACATATCTACTGCATTGTTGAGCTAGTTAAAAAGGAATACTGAAAATAATTGCTCATAATATTTCTGCTATTTCAATAATTAATAATTCAAGAGTCCAAGAAAGAAAACATATTTCTGTCCATATTGCTATGAACATTAATTAAGGTTTTAGCATTTTTCGCCATATCCTGCACACTGCACGCACAATTTTAGAGCACAATACATGTATTCCAAGGAATAAGTTCTACTACTTGAGTGAATTCGTTGAAAACACATCCACCACATGCTCTACATGTCTGTACAGCCACAAACTGCCCTTCCTTTCGAATTATGTACAACACAAGTATAGACATTATAAAATACCGTCCTATTGAATGCATTCCAGTCTGTTACTAATTGATACTTATATGCAAAAATCACACTGATAAATCTCAGCATGGTGCAAGATGTTAATAGAAAGGCTTGTTTTAGTTACATTGCCTGAAATAATTGTCTAGAAGAAAAAAATAATTATAGTTTATATGGATATATAGAACGTACCATATTATGTAAGTAGTAAATTGTAAATAAATTTTATGTGATTTCTTTTGCTGAATAACTCACTTTTAGTTTCAGATTTAAAAACTTAAAATCAAAATCCCATCTGAGTTTTAAATCATGTACCGGGTACGTATTGAATATTCAATCACTATATTGCATGTACATGATAAATAATATGTACTGTTTTTTAAATTAAGTATTTGTGCCATAGAGGCAGCATTTGTTACAACGTGGTACCAAATTAATGAGTGCCGACATAGTTAAATGAACATGATAAGAATGCTCTTATCTACTAACTGTGGAACATCCTTAATTAAACCTTATTTGCCTTCTATTATTAGAAATGCACGTAACGCAGCATTACACTAAAATACATTTCCAGTTGCATATTTTTAGAATGACAAGTTTTGATCCAGAACGGAAGTCAGATGTGCACAGAAAGCGCTTTGCGCTGCGCTTATTAAAAAAGTGACAGTTAAAATGAAAAATTTATGGTATACCTTCAAAAATCCTTTGCAGTAGCGTATAATAATTTGTACCCAGTTTATTAAGACAAAGGACTTCCTATAAATTTAAATAATGATTGGACTGATCGTTTTAGTGAAGGACGGCAGATGGTTAAAAATGATATTTGTTATGTTGCCCAGTGAAAGCAAGTTTTAAAAGACCTGTTTTTAATTAAGCAATTTGCTATCAAAGACCTCCACTTTTCACTTTGCCAAATAGTTGAATATCTTAACAATAAAATAATTATTAAATATCTAGGATATCGTTTACTTTAGATTTTAAACATATTAGATATGATAAAAGTAGGCACTCATTCTCTATTCACCTTAAATAAAGAGACAGAAGATTTGGGTTTTGATGGTCGTCATGCTTATTTTTGGAAAGGATATTCTTATCCACCCATTCTTTTGCCGAGATTTGATCATTTCTAACAAATAAGCTGTCTCTGTAATAAAAATCAACTTACAAGGAAAGAAATATAAAAGGCAGAAAAAACTTTCAGCTTTTGTGACAGAACACTACGGAGAGGGTCACGTGACAGCCTACATCATGTGATTCGCGCATGAGCAGAACAGTGGCAGATATGCATTAAAGTCAGAGAGGGCTACTCACCAAACGAAGTTGAGGAACATGTGTTTTTACTCTGTTTCCTTGATTATGTCGCCCCGAACGGTCGGGGACGACATATAATGGCATGTTGTGTTTATCCAGGCTGTTTCTTGATTTTGCTAGGGAAAATCTGCTAAATTTTCCCCAAAGGACGATCACTGGTTGTAGTTGTGCAGTGAGGTCATTCAGTTTCTATGTCTACCGTTGCCATGGAAACCTGTAAAAAGCGACGAATTTCCTTCTGTTTCTCTCTGGTCCCTTAAACGTTCGTCATGAAACTCTTTTTATTTTAATGATTAGTATCTGTAGTTGTGCGCTTTGCATTTAAAATTTTCAAATAATCGATTATTGCCATGGAAACCAGGGGAATGTTAAAATTCTTTAATTTCGATTTTCTCAATAACTACTCAAGCAATCGTTTTGAAACTTTCAATGTTAATTCCTTGCAATGTGTCAACATGATTTCTACTTTTAAAATAATTGTAATGAGTCGCTAACAGTTGCCATCAAAACGAAACAGAAAAAAAGGTTAAGATGTACACATGTGTTTTCCAAGGTCTAGGTCAAAGGGTCAAAGTTCTTCGTGTCCAATAAAAGTTCATTTCACAAGGATTGCATATTTGAAATACGAAAGCCCTAGCCCTTACCGTTCAAACATTAGGTACTATGTTCAAGACGACCCCCCCCCCCCCCCCTTTTGAAGCGCACTGCCAGGTAGAATACACAGATATAACATATACACCTTACAAGTAACGTTTTAAAAGTTTCATTCATAAAATTCAGTTCTCCTGATGTAATTTGATAGTTTGCCAACATCCATTCTTCTTCTGTCTTGTCTCAGATTTTTAGATTTTATAATTAGTTTATTTTATCTATATAAAAAATAACGATTGTCAGCTGCATTTATTAGCATTTCGCTTTTTTTTTTGTACATGCATATCTATTACTTGTATAGTATTAATTTCATTAGATAGTGCAAGTATAAAATAGAAAAATTGGTACGTTATTTCCATACTTTTTATTCATTCATAAATCCTTGGATCCACGCCTACAGGTGCGCAAAGCCTTGATCACTACTGTAAACAAAACATTCATATCGCCGAAAATGTTCATGATTCCGCTAAACTGAGAAAGTTTACACATGATTTATCATCTCATAAGAAACATCAGCCCTGTGCAATGCAGAAATGCTGGAATTGAAGGTGTCATGTCAGATTCGTTTTCCGGCAGAACCTCTGAAAATGAAAGTGAAAGTAAGGAAATTTCAGAGTTCTCACTGGCGCTATTATACACAAAATAATTCGGCTGATATATAAAAATTACATTTGCCAAGTTTTTTTGGTAGGAAAGATACTGCCAATTAACAAGTACAAGGCTCATTTAAGTACATCAGCTCAATTTCTTTTATGCAAGTCTGCAAATTTAGGAACTTGTAATTTTTTCCTGTACTACTTTCTTCTCCTACCGATTCTAAAAATAATTAGTGGGATGTACCCAATTAAGGTCTTCCGTTTCCAACAAAAAGGACTTATACGACTCGATGGTTGTCCAAGCTTAGCTAATGGACCCTTGTTTTAGTGATGATAAAAATGAAAGTTTTGTCCAACGGGGCGACATATGCTATTGCTTGCAATAGCAGACTTTTTATTTTTCTTCTTGAAAATTTTGTCACAATGATCTTTAAAGTACACATCCGATTAAGGGGAAACCTTTTTAGGATAAGTAGGCATGTTATGTAGATTTGCGGAACGAAGGTCATATTGCGCGCACGTGCTTGCAAGAGCGCGCACGTGCAACACGTGAAATGACCAATATACTTGAAATTGCCGTAACTTTTACATTTTTTGATGTAATGCTTTGATATTTAGAATATATAGACATATTATAAATGGAGATAAAACGACATTGTCAACATGCCATTTTGCGCGCACGTGCTTGCAAGAGCGCGCACGTGCAACACGTTAAATGACCAATATAATGGATATAGCCGTAACTTTTCTATTTTTTTTATAAAATCTTTTGAAATTTATAATGTAAGGATATATTAGTAGCGTATACAAGATGACATGATCAAAAAAGCAAGATCTCACGCGCATGCACGTGCACTTCGCTCTGATTGGCTGAAACTAAAGTCTCTATATCTTTCTTGTTTTTCGACGAAATCCTATGAAATTTTGAACATAGCCATGCATTAAGATATCCTACAATATGATATATAGCAATTATCATGAAAACACGTGCATGCACGTGTGCTGCAATCTGATTGGCTTAAATTTTAAATAGCTATAACTCCTTTGGGTTTCAACCAAACAGGGTGGAATTTGGAACATACTCGTAGATAGATATAATGAACTTCTACAAGACAGTATGGTCACAATGCACATGCATACACGTGCGTGTACGTTCGCTGTAATCTGATTGGCTGAAACTTTAAACAGCTATATTTCCCTTGGTTTTCAACCAAATAGGGTGGGATTTAGAACATAGATAGATGTAAAAGACTTCTACAAGAAGATATGGTCACCATGCTGATGTATGCACGTGCGTTCACATGAAATGAGATAAATCAAAAATACACTTGAATGAGCGTATTTTTTAATACTTTTGGATTAAAAACTTTAATATTTAGTATATAAAAAATATATAGATTGTGTAGACAAGATGATATGGTCATTACGCACATGCATTCACGTGCGAACGCTTGCAATGCTAAAATTTGAATGAACTTGGCGTTGTTAAAGTCTCAAATGCATAGATTTTGTCCTATTTAATGAAGCTGTTACAGGGAATATGGCACCAAAAGGGAGTTTGGGAGCGTTTGGGGAACATCTGTAACGGTCCCCGTTACAATTAGAACTAGTTTAAAATTAAATCAACACTGAAACCAAATATTGTTTCTTACAATGAAGTTATTCAATTAGTTCGCGAACTTTTTGATCACCCCTCATATAGACATGTACATTTAAATTAGTGTGTTTGTGTGACTTATTCATATACAAATACATGTATTTATTGTACAGTACTTACACACATAAAGTACTTACATATTTTTCAAGATAGAGTGTCTGGTTGTCCATGATAGATTTTACCATCCTCATTAGATAAATAAGCAGGGCCAAATTGTTCTGTACTACATTTATTTTAACCTGAAAATGACAAATGGAAATATTTTCAGAAAACCAGAAGTCTCTGTCGAGACTGAAGCTCTACTGGTTTGAACTTATAGCAAAGGAAGAGAAAGTACTTAAGCAGCTGGGATTTGAAACTTTATAAACAGCATTAAATAGAATAATGATCGTTGATAAAGTCTCTTTATGTTCTTAGTGTAGTCTACTTGTGTGCCAAGTTATACTGAAATCAGACCAAAACTGTAGGAGGAGTAGCATTTTGAAACAATTTTACAGACATTTCTATTTTCAGTAACCACGGCAACACCGTTCATCAAAATTAAAATTCGATATACAGAATTATGTATCTTAGTGTATTCTACTTGTGTGCCAAGTTATATTGAAATCAGACCAAAACTGTAGGAGGAGTAGCATTTTGAAACAATTTTACAGATATTTCTATTTTTAGTAACCACGACAACACCATTCGTCGAAATGAAATCAAAAACCGATTTACAGAATTATGTATCTTAGTGTATTCAACTTGTTTGCCAAGTTATACTGAAATCAGACCAAAACTGTAGGAGGAGTAGCATTTTGAAAGAATTTCACACCTATTTTTAGTAACCACGGCAACACTGTTCATCGAAATCAAAAACCGATGCACAGAATTATGTATCTTAGTGTAGTCTACTTGTGTGCCAAGTTACACTGAAATCAGACCAAAACTGTAGGAGGAGTAGCATTTTGAAATAATTTTACAGAAATTTCTATTTTTAGTAACCACGGCAACACCGTTCATCGAATAAAAACCGATACACAGAATTATGTAACTTAGTGTATTCTACTTGTGTGCCAAGTTATACTGAAATCAGAGCAAAACTGTAGGAGGAGTAGCATTTTGAATGAATTTCACAGAAATTTCTATTTTTAGTAACCACGGCAACACCGTTCATCGTCAAAAACCAATACACAGAATTATGTATCTTAGTGTATTCTACTTGTTTGCCAACTTATACTGAAATCAGATCAAAACTGTAGGAGGAGTAGCATTTTGAAAGAATTTCACAGAAATTTCTATTTTTAGTAACCACGGCAACGCCGTATCGAAATCAAAAACTGATACACAGAATTATGTATCTTGTGTGTCTACTTGTGTGCCAAGTTATATTGAAATCACCAAAACTGTAGGAGGATAATTTTGAAAGAATTTCACAGAAATTTCTATTTTTAGTAACCACGGCAACACCGTTCATCGAAATCAAAAACCGATATACAGAATTATGTATCTTAGTGTAGTCTACTTGTGTGCCAAGTTATATTGAAATTAGACCAAAACTGTAGGAGGAGTCTATATTTCTGAAAAATTGTTTACAGACAGACGGACAGACAGACATGCTTACTGTGTAAGCTCTTCTGGTCTCTGACTAAAAGACAAAAAAATCACATCCTGTAAAAAGTAAACATTTTTGCAATGTTTGGATCATAATCTAGGATAGCTAGAATTTGATGCAGTTTTAAGGTGCATTTCGTAAACATACTGATTTACATGTAATTTTAGAGCTAGAACTTTTTGTAATTCAACCCCTTTAAGGACGTTCGATCCTGAGATTTTGAGCATATTTTGGTCAGGTCCTTTATTTATAAAATTCTGCATCATTTTTAAGTTCTAACGTTAAATCTGAATTCTACAGTGCAAATTTAACTATATTCAATGAAAAAACCGCGATTAAATTCCCTTCAAGTAGAATTAATATAAGCTAGGGACTATATTTTGTGGCGGAAGGTTTTTTAGACGAAAATGATCAGTTTTTCCATTTTGAACTATAAAGTATTGTTAGTTTTGGATTCCTCTTTTCCCATCCTGGTTGCACACAAAGCTGTTTTTTGCAGTGAAATGTGTTATTCTGGTTCTGAAATATCTATTAAATTATTTCTTATGAATTCTATCAACAAAGTGTGACAAATATAGTAAATACATTCTGAAAATCCAGGGGAAAATTGAGCCAAATTTAACGTAAAATTGACACTTTTTTAGTAATATTTTTACATCATATACCCCATGACTTTTGATGTTCTTTTTTATTCAAGATAAATTTGACCTATTTGCTTAAAATCAGAAAAAGTTTAAGACATTAAAATAATTTTCTTGCTTATTTAAATTTCAACGCCAAAAAAAATCATATTTTATTAGTGCAGAAAGGTCAAATAATTGATTATGCGAAGCAATTTGAAACTTTTTCTTAGTCACAATTTTTAAGTGTCTTTTTTTAAACAAACTTAGAGTTCATTTTGTTTCATGCTTTAATTGGATAAAAATATTGAAGGGAAAACGTCAAAAATGTAATTTTTAATTAAGACACAAATTTCAGTGCAGAAAGGTCATATTAAATGTATTGTAGCGCCAAAAGAAGCGTATTGACCCCCATTTTTTTTATTTGAATTTTAATTAAGCTATGAATGCAGAAAGTAAAAATATACTTGGCAAAAAAAGTTTAAGACTTTAAATATCAGGATCGAACATCGTTAAGATAACAAATTAATTCTGAATACATTTTTTTTAATTCATCCCATCCACAAAAATCCACAAAAATTGGACAGCCATAGAAAACACCTGTGATGAACTTTTAGACCATATTACTTTCCAATTCTTACCCCTTCTGATATAAAAGTACTGAATCTGGGCAGCATCTGATGCAGACCAGGGTCACTAGCCAAACTCTGCAGTGCTTCCTGTCAATAACAAATTGTATGTCTCTGTTTCGCTATTTTCATGAATATACAACTGGATTAGAAGACATAGCACTACAGCTGAATATCAGCTTTCGATGAATTAAAATTTGGTTTATAAGTGGTATATTTTTACTGATACAATTGAATTTTTTTTTTTTTGAAGAAATTCAGCTGTGCATACAGCTATAAATACAGTTAAAAGAAAATGGTAATAAATGCCTGTATTGAAGTCAATGGATTTTTTTCTTATTTTTGCTCTTTTGGTGTTGTAAATAAGCAATTTTAACTGTCTCTTGCTTTTCAGGTTTAATTGTTATATTTTTCTTAGTCTGAGAGTCGTACCGATCTCCTGGCTTCATCTGGTCCTACACAGGCCTCTGTTATCTCCTTATAGTACAGCTGCTGTTCCTGTGGTCATTGGAAAAATTTGAAGAGCATTTCAGTACATTGAAAAGTAACAATAAAAATATTTTCACTTGGAAAAAAAAAGCACTATAAACTCTTAAATGTTTTCATACTACACTGACTCAAAGGTCATCTGACTCTGCCCAACAAAACTCACCACAGAGAGTTCGTGTGTAGACAGGTCCTTGACCTTGGCGAGGTCAGTAATGGCTTTGTGTTTGTGCTTGATTTTGCTAGGTTCTGCTACAGGAGGCACTTTCTGTTGTTTGTCGATCACTTTCTTTATCGTTGTGTCCAGAATTTCCTTCTGTTGTTGGTCCTTGGAGGCCGGGGGAGGATTTTCTGCAGTGGAGGGCTGGATTCCATCAATACAGAGCCAGTGGGCTGGGGAATAAGAAAATCCTTTTTATTGCATTTTAAATTTTGTGATCCATATATCATCCCATTAACTCTCCCACCCACCCTCTCCCCTAAAAATTACTCATTACTGAAATAAGATTCCTCATTCTAAGTAATGAAACAAAGGAAGATGATAATTAACTTGATATTTAAAGTTGAATTCTACATTTGCTGCACATTAATGAATTTTCAAATAAATAAAAAAGGTTTGCCAGATTTTACTTGGTTAACGAACAAACTCAAACCTTTTAAGGAAATATCCACAGGTATTTTAGGCAATGTTGAATTCACGACGTCCTGTAGATCAAATTCTTTTTCTTCAATGAAATGTAGTTCTCTCCCGCCACCACTGGCAAACCGGAAAGGAATACTGTCCCCGGCCTCAAATCCATAGAGAGGCTTAAATTAGAACCCGCAAGTGTCATTAAACTCAAATAAATCAGGTTACTTACATATGGTCATTGATGTGCACTCATGAATGTCTCAGTTGACTCTGCTGTTCCATGGTTTTTTAAAAATATATATATATATAATTTTGACATTAATTCCTATTAAGCAAATTGAAACATAATTACTGCACCTCAATGTTTTCAGCTCTCATTGCATGATCTATGTCAGCTGTGGATAATTTAAGTCTTTTACCATGATGCATAAACTTCACAGCTTCCTGTACAAAGAAATAACCAAGCATGAAACATACATTTAAGTCTTGAAAAGTCACAATGTTTTTAAAAATTTGATTTCTAAAATGCTGAATACAATGTCCACTTACAGTGCTATCAACATGTATAAGGTAAACATGCAATGCAGTTGGCCTATAAATAAATCTGGCATGGAAACTAAACAATTTAGAAAAATTATATTGTTTTATCACGTTTATGGAGTATAAATGAAACCTGAATAATCTGTTTGAGTCTGTAGCTGCTGTCTTCAGCCAGAACACTCGCTGCGTCATCAGGTATTCCACTGATTCCCACTGATTCAGCAATGACTTTTATAGACTCTCCTGACAGCTGACTGCCAATCTTTTGTTCCTTGTGCTCCTTTTCTGCCATTTCAATGACCTTTCTTTTCTGGCATTACAATATCTTCTACCGGGTACATTGTTACTGTTTGAATTTATTGGTCTCCTAAAAATTAAAATCAGGTGGTAAATAAATTAACTGTAGCAGATGTTTCAAGTGATAAGATATTCACAAGTTTTACACACTTCTTGAAATATCTTTATATCACTCATTAATATTTTTTGGTCTTTTGCTTTGACAAAGATAAGATCTATCTATGATAAAAGTTTTAATTCTTTTGCTAAAACAGGTCTTAGCAGAGTTCCTTGATTAGCTGTATAGTTTGAAATATCTATATACTTTTCTTATCCATTCAAAAAAAAAAAAAGAGAATTTTTTTAACTTAGTTTTTCACTTATAATAAATATGGTTTATATAAGTAGGCAAAGAGATTTGACTACTCATACCCTGTTGACCAGTACTGGTCTGCAATATAATTTCATTGAAGAAAATGTCACAGTTTAATTGCTTTATATAGCCCCTAAATTTAAAGAACTTTGAGTGGAGAGGCTATGAACAGATGGAGGAGATGCAGTTTTTTAAACATTATTTGCGCAATGTCTTATAAAGCTTGAATTATAGCATTAGTTAGCATTTAAAATAAGTTTATTTATCCATTTCATCTCTTTTTTCCTTCAATTTTTTTCAATATTTACAAAAGTTTGCATCTTAGTGGAGTTTTAGTATTCAATCTTGAACTGCTTTGAAAATAATGCATGTAAAGTACACACTGTCACTGTCAAATTGGATCTCCTTCAGAATCTATTCAGATTCTGATAACCAATATAAAAACATTGAAATTTTGAAACTATCATTGGATGTAAGCTTATTAACATGCAAGAAGAAATGCATATTTCAAGACATAAAGATAGATAAAAAGATTGTGCCAAAAAGTTTAAATGTTTTTCCCCACCTACTGTAGGCTGGTTCCATGTTCGTTCACCCTAAAAATTGTTCGCCCGATTTCCCGTTCGCCCAATATTTTTTTCGCCCAGAGTCCGCTCGCCCTAAACTTGTTCGCACAGGGTCCGTTCGCCGTAATTTAATCTAGAATAAAATCTGATGAATTCTATCCTAATTTTTTGGTACATTCAAAATAAAACAGACCGTCACTGTGTCCGTCAGACCATATGGTCACAACTGTTTTAGTATCAGCGGTCAAACCTATTAACGTCTCAGTCCTTTATAAATTGTTTTCAAAACATTGCGCAATTTGTAAAAATAACACGGATGTACCCCCCTAATTAACATTGATATTAATCATCTAATTAACTATAGTGCAAACACTTATTCATTCAAAAACAATCAAATCAAAAATTAATTTAGACTAAATAAACATTGCTCTTCGTATCAGAATTTTAGAAAAAAAATCCAAGTTCGGAAGGGAAATAAATAGAAAAAATTATATACTCGTATGTTAATTTTTAATTTATATATATACAAGTATATATTTCAGTATAGTGAACAATATCTTTTCAATTCTATACTTAACATTGTGTATATGTAGGCTACAGTGAAAACGGCAAACCCTGGACTGACTGGAGACACTGGAGTGATTTTGCCCAAACCGTATGATTTAGAAAGTGCATGTGTGTCTGTTATTAATTCTTTCACATGAATATAAAACAGTTATACAACTTACACACGTAAGCTTAAGAAATCATACCTGAATAAATCAATAATTGATTTCCTCGATGGCTCGATTTCTATTTTTCTTGCTTGCTGATAGACTCGGAAATGCTTATGTGTAACTAAAAGACAAAACCGGATCATGTAACTTAATCAACACTTTATTTTATCAGTTTATGTTTTAATGTTTTAAAAATTGTAATTTTAAGGCTTTGTGTATTTTTTATTTACGTTTCTTCTATGTGATATTATTCATATCAAATTATTTAACAGAAAATGTTTATTTATTTCCGGAATTTAAAGAAAAACAAGGGGAGATAATGCGAGATGTTTTGATCGTCTGCAGGCCAGAGAAATGAACATCAACATCATCTGAAAAAAAGATGAACAATTTAAAATCTTTTTCTACTGGACACTAGGTAAATTATAGGTGGCCTGAACTTTTATGTATTTTTTTTAAAAATTTAATGATTGTAATGTTTTTTTTTTTTATTAAATTCGTTTGGTTCATTGGTTTCCAAACCAATGAAAGGGGAAAGGGTGGGAGTGGGTGGGTATGATAGTAATATCCTTTTAAAGGAGATCAATTTATTAATTTATATATTTTCAAATTTATATGGAATTATTTTATTTCCAAAATCTGAAATGAAAAATTTAAAGTCAACATTATAGCCTATGGTATTTTATTTACGTTTTTATTAATTTAAAACTCTCGAAAGTTGTTTTCTTTTCTTTCGCACAATACTAAATTATATAATTGTTTTTTTTTTCATGCCACCAAACGTTTCAAAGATGGAAAAAAGTTGTAAAACATTAATAATTTTTTTAAATTCTGGGCCTACTTTTCAAATGAGTATACATGTATGATGGAACTCAATATTTGTGCTCATTTTTTTTGACGGCCTAGAGATTTTGTGAGCAAGCTAGAATTTGACGTCAAGTCAAATATTAAACAGCCAAAAGAAAAGGTAAATATAATACAATATATTGCTGTTTTTGAGGTCAGTACGATGATTTAGTCACCTGGACTGAGAAGTACAATATTTACTTGATAACAAATGAATTAAAAAATAATAATAATGGTTTCATTGAGATTAAAAACGTTCTGAATTGGTCCATTTTTTGTCAGTCAGAGAAAAAACTTTAAAAAAAAAGATGCATGTCTTATTTTTAGTTCACCTAAACTAAAAGATCAAGTGTGCTTTTCTGATCACCCGTTGTCCGTCGTCTGACTCGTCCTTCCATTTGTAAACTTTTCAGATTTTGAATTTCAACTTCTTCTCAAGAGCCACAGGGCCAATTTTAACCAAACTTGGTACAAAGCATCTTTGGGTAAACTAAAGGGAAGTTAAACTGAAGGACCAACGCCCCGTACAAAGGGATATAATTAAGAAAAGACAAAAATAGGGTGGTTCATTAAAAAATCTTTTCTAAAACCACGGAGAGAGAAAAGCTGAAACTTATATGTTGAAGCATTCTGGGATAGTGTAGATTCGAAAGTGTTTCAATCACGATCCCAGAGATAGGGCGGGGTCAAGTAGGGAACCGAAGTTTCACATAGAAATATATTTAAAAAATATTTTAAAATCTTCTTCTCAAGAACCACTGGGCCAGAAAAGATCAAACTTTTGTGGAAGCATCCTGCGGTAGTTTAAATTGTTAAAATCATGATCCCCGGGGTAGGGCGGGGCCACAAAAGAAAAGCTTGGCCAAAGTTACTCATGTGAGTGAGGTGGCCCATGGACCTCTTGTTCATACTTGTAAGAAGTAATTTGTGATACTAGTACTAAAAAGTTCTAAGAACAAGGACAGTCTGATTTAAATATAAGGTCATAATTATATACAGTGGTGCAAAGTGCACTTCCATTTTTAGGTTACTAAATAAAATGCAGTTTTATGCCCCAAAACAGTTTAGCATCATCATACCATAATCAAGTTATTGGAGTTGAAGAAAATGATAGCTGTTCTGTACCCGCGGCTCCACGATGTGACTTCCTGCATTCAACTCAACTAGACCCATTTCTGGATTTTCAACCTTCGCAGATTTTTCGGAGTTCTCAGTATGGAAATTCAACGCAGAGCAAACGCCAACAAATGGAGGAAAACATGTATGTAGAATAATTCATGAATATGCATAGTTCTTCAGTTGAAGTTGAATTGAAACCCACCTCTTTAATAAAAATATATTTCTAAACTTCGAAAGTTCACCGCAATTTATAATATCTCCCGTTGAATAAAGTTACCTATCGTCAATGTGCACGTGCACCACCTATTTTTCTTTCAATCACACCATCTCGGGTCTTTCCGTCGGAGGTCGGATAAACAACGCTAGTCGGAAAGGCCCATGAAGTTGCGATTGATTTTTCCTTATTTGGGATTTCCGCTGGCAAAATATTCGCTTTGCCATTTTGGGTCATTTGGGTAGCCATCCCTTACACCCGCTGAATTCAATCAAAATATTTTACAGAACCTTTATTACACCTTTCATTAACTTTTCTATCGGAAAGTAGTTGGAATTGCCTGTTATGTATGGAATCCAGATAGGGCCATGTGATTCACTATCGCATCATCGCACCATCGAGATTAAGGTTAATACTGCGATGACGCGATAATGCGATGACAATTAAGCGATGGTGCGATAGTGCGATGACGATGATGCGATGGCGCGACCATGCAATAACAATGTTGCGAAATCACTATGAAGTGATAGTGCGATGACGCGATGGTGCGATAGCGACATGTATGACACGATGGTGCGATGGCGATGGTACAATAACGATGAAACGATATTCACCATTGCTTTATCATCACTCCATCGTTATCGCACTGTCGCATCATCAGATCATCGACGTTTTAGTCGATGCTCGATGGTGCGATGTTAAACTGCATGGGCCTATCCAGATTCCACGACAAAGGCCTGGGGGTATCCATTTTGTCAACACAAACTCTTCCTAAACCTCGGAATGAAATTCCGTGGAAGTTTTACAGAATCTCATTAAATTTTACATAAACTGCTAAACTTTGCCATCATACTAGCTCCTGTTGGATTGGGGGTATCATTTTTTGAGCTCGGTACGGCAATTAGACTTCTGAAATTAGACTTCTGCGAAAAGCGCACTTTTACAGTCAACGGCTTACTTGGACAATGAATTGAAAAACATGAAAAAATATTTATATTGTATAGTGGTTTTAGGTATGGTTTTAAGAGCGCTGACATGATTTACCAGTATACAATCAACAGAAGAGATGGTGGGAGACAGAATTATATACCGGTAACTTAACACACGTTTTCGTAAAAAGTGTTACCTTTCAACCTCATCTGCTGAGGAAATTAGATAAGGAAGTAAAAAAAATATTCCGAAAGAAAATCTTGGCAGGAGTTGGTATATAAGGATGGAAAGGAGGGAGTTAAGAATAGTGTCGGTGCAGTTCCCTTCCTATACAACGTCTTATGTGCTCTGAAACGGTCCATTTCATTTTACCTTTTTAATTGTTCACCTGAATAATTATTTTGCGAAAGATCTCCATTTACATCTATTGTCGTTATGTTATGGTGTAAAAGTAAGCCGTCAACTGTAAAAGTCAGCGCTACTCGCAAAAGTCCAATAGTATACCTTTGTTTAATTTATTATAGTTTTGGTACACCACAAGAAAAGTTACCAAATACTTCACATTTACAACTATCCCAAAGACGACAGCTATTCAAACCACCGATAAAGACATCATCTACTCAACTGGATGGCGGCAATATTGTTTCCTTTCATAAAAATGACAACCAAGGCGACAAATTTCGCGTGCAGCAGATATCTCAGCCTGACAAGGATTTGACTTCTGTTCAGCGAGACAATAATATTCAGATTGTGACTCCATCTGCCATACCTTCGTTGAAGAAAAGTTATTACACTCCTTCTCCACTTGTTTGTAAGTGTTTGTAATTAAAAAAATCAACCAAGACCGTTATGAATCCGAAATTAGCCATCACGGTAGCTCAGTCGGGAGAGCGCTCGCTCCGTGATCGGAAAACAGTGTGTTCGAATCACGGCCCGACTATTCTAAGTTTGTTTGTTTGTGTGTTGTTTAACGTCCCTCTTTTTTCACTCATATGGAGACACCACCACTTACGTTGGAGAGCTGCAAATTTTGTCCTATATTCGGCACACAGGGCCATTGAACAGGGAGGGATTTCTTTCGTGCCAGCACCTACTGCGACACGGGACCTCGATTTATATGTTATTATCTGAAAGACCGATCTCCACGTCCCACAGTGGGATTCGACTAGAGCAGACGCTGACTAGCCTAAGACAATTAAAAATTGGTAGTAAATATTCCTTCACCAAGTGTTCGGCGCTTTGAGCGAAAGTTGCGAGTTCTTCGGATGAGACCTTAAAAAATGAGACTCCGTGTACGATTGGCGTTAGCACGATAAAGAACCCTCACTGCTCAATGGCCTTTTCTCCCTAATAAATAACTTTGAAACCTTTCACCGGTATATGGTTACGTCTGCATATGATAGAATGAAAAAAAAATCGAACTGGACGGGAAACAACATGCAATCAATCAACCAATCCGAAATTTCCACCTACATGTATTTACTTCACTAAAAATATAAGATTGAAAAAAGATGATACCTTATACCAAAGTAAGTCGAAAGTACATGTAACTCGAAAGTGCTTTACAACAATAACTTCATAGAGATAAAGCAGCATATCTTTATTATACCTATCACTGGCGCGTGTTTTGGCTGATTTGTTTTATACCAATAGTTAGGCATTTGTTTTATACTAAATTTAACTACGGAATGTTCTATTTACCGGTACTCTGTGTAACTCTTCAACAAGAGATGCTTACTCTTCGTAGGCATCAGATCCAACCTCTTGAATTTTCGGGGGTCCGTTTGTGCCTTGTTCCAATTGCCGGGTGAGCTAATGTATTTTCCAATGGCCATTTGGAAAGAAACGGGATATAAATGATTTTTTGATATTGAACAGGGATTCCAATTTAGTTAAAACAGTGAGGTATTTTTGGGAGATTATTTTCACTTTATATTATGTGCCCGGAATCAAGTATCTAATTCCACGAAAGAAAATTGTAATGCTGTCAAATACATCATTATTTAAGTTTTGTATGTCTTAAAAAAGTCATCTTCCCAAGTCAAGTCTCGGTAGCCTAGTGGTAGAGCGTTCGCTTCGTGATCGAGACGCCCGGGTTCGATTCTCGTTTGCGGCACCGCGTCATACCTAAGACGTAAACAAAGGTAGTGACTGTTCCTTCGCCAAGCGCTCGGCACTAGAAGTGAAAGTCACGGGTCTTTCGGATATGACCTTAAAATGTAGGTTCTGTGTCACGGTAGGCGTTGGCGTGATAAAGAAACCTCACTGCTCAATGGCCCTGAGTGCCGAGTATAGGTCTTTGAAACCCTTCACCGGCATACAGTGACGTCTCCATATGAGTGAAAAATTCTCGAGAGGGAGTTAAACAATATACAATCAATCAAGAGTTTCTGAACTGCTCCGTTCCACATAAACGTTTATGTGGAGCGGAGATGATCAGAAACTCTTGATTTGGGATGATGTTTATAACATTGTTATAGATAGTTTCGAATTTCTTTTGCAAAACTTTAATGTAACATATGCATTGTGTTTTTTTTCTTCAATATAGTAAACCAGGGAAATGTTGCTGGTGTAAAGCTGAAGTCTGTAGATGAGATAGGTGATGTTAATTTTTTTTTTTACTATTTTGCGTACACTATTCATCATACCTCTGTTCACTCAAACAAAAAGATGATTTTTCTAATTAAAACTTAATGATTCTCGAAATTCAAACAAATTCAGCATAGCATATCTTGCAAATTATAGTGCAAAATTGTAGTAAAGAAATCTTTCTTTATCTTGAGAATTGTTTAAGGAAAGTTAGTCATTATTCCCAGTAAGAGTTATAAATGAATATAAAAGAGCACATATTTTTTACGGTAAAGGAATTAAAAACGTTAAAACATAACGCTGGGAAATACAGAATAATTTTATTACACATTTTCTTCTCAGCTGAAAAATACAGAGGCGTATTCAAGTTTCCATTCTTCAACATCATCCAGTCTAAAGTCTTTGATGAGGTAATTGCTAGACTGCTAGTTGCACAGAGATTACCTTTAGTATTTCCAAAAAGCCTTCTAAATAAATCTTTATACTATCGCTGTCTTGGAGCTTATGATAAATATGACGTAATGAGAAAAACCCCCTTTGACTATTTTGGACAGCTAGAATGTTTTTTACATTCTACATACAGGTTTTCTACAAGGACAACCCACTTGTTGTGTGTGCACCGACTGGCGCGGGAAAGACAGTGGTGTTCGAGCTGGCAATCGTTCGCTTGTTGATGAAGATGGAACAAATGTCGTTCAACACGAATTTCAAAATCGTTTATAGTAAGTCTACATTAGTTTTCTAAACAATCATCAAAGATGAATGAGAATGACCGGATTACTGAACGTAAAAAATGCTTTAGTGTTAGATATTCTTGATTTTGGAACACAAATTGGTTTACTCAGAGTTGTGCGTTTATTTCTTTCAGTGGCTCCCATCAAAGCTTTATGCAGCGAGCGTTGCTCTGATTGGTCAGATAAGTTTGGAAGTTTCGGATTGAAATGCCAGGAACTAACTGGAGACTCTGAGCAGGATGATTACTACCACATTCAACAAGTCAACATTATCTGCACCACTCCAGTATCAAATCTAAAATTTGAAAAAGATAAAAAATTTAATTATATATTAACCATCTAGATGAAATTATTTCTACTTCCTTACCATTGATTTTATTAAAGAAATAATTTCATTTGACAGGAAAAATGGGATAGTATGACTCGGAGATGGAGAGATAATAAATCTATTGTGCAGTCAATTTGTCTCTTCTTCATTGACGAGGTATCTTCTCAGTTGTTTTTGTGCATGTGTGTAGTCCGGGATTCTGGTCATGGTACCAATGTTGATTGCTGGTGCTTAGTACTAAAAATTCAAATTACTATTTTATCACCAAAGTATTGAATCTTATGCATAATATGCTATATAATGTTGTTTCCATGAATCAATTTTGCTAGACAATTGAATAATATTGAATTACCTTTTATTTTTCAGATTCATGTTCTCAGTGATGCCACTCGAGGTGCAACAATGGAGGCAGTGATTTCAAGAATGAAAACCATTCAAGCAGCCAGAAATAGAGCTGTAGAGAGTGCTGGACAAACAATTCCTCAGCTAAGATTTGTTGCTGTATCTGCTACAATACCAAATATAAAAGATGTTAGTGTGATTTTAAAGGTTTTGGAAGGGGTTTCTTAACCTTTGGATCTGAAAAAATCCCATTCATATGTTCACTACTCATTCTTTTATTTAGGTTTGGTTATGCTGATCTTTTAATTGTGTACATACACCCTTAGTCTGTCTAAAATGAGCCCTTCCATCATTATTAATTTTATATAATTTTTGTCTTGCTTTGAAAAATGTCATTAAACGTTAAATTGTTTATGGGTAAAAACCTCTCTTTTAGACATATTGGATACTCAGAACTTATAATATAAAAGTATAGTACTTTGTTTTAAAGTCTATGGATGTCAAGCATAAGTGAGCACTTTGTGATCCGTAAAATGATCCCATATCAAATAGTAGATCAATATCTTACTCATGACTCCAATGAAGCTTTCCATAAAATGTTCCGAACTTTTGACCATGTCCTTGTTTCTAAATCCTGGAAATTTGCTGTCTGTATGCGAGCTGAACTCATTAAAAATTTTAAAATAAAATGCAAAAAGTTATTATGGTAGAAATCTCCAGGTTATGTAATACATGCATCAGCCCTACATATTTTATTCTTAAAATGACAGATGTTTTTTTAAAAAAAACATCAGTCATTAATTTGGACATACGAGGGACGTTCAATAAATAATGTCACTGGGGCTCGGAAGGAAACAAAAAACGCTTTTCTATGATTTCGTCTTAATGATTTAACTAAAATATTCTCTTTTAATTAAAATACATGTCCGTAACATTTTCAATTTCTAATTGTTTTTAGAACACATTTTTGAGTATGACCCTTCGTATACTGGAATATGGCAGATCCTATGATTTGCTGTACTTGTTTTTTTTCTCTCTGAAAGGTGTTTTCCTTAGTTTGGGAAATGAAACAAGTCAAAGGCTGAAAGATCTGGCGAATATTGTTGATGTGACAAAACATTAACTTTCTATTTACCCCCAAAACTCCTTTACTCTTCATGGCCTGAGGGTTTGGACGCTGTCATGAAGAAAGTTAATGTAGTGAATTCCTCATTCTGTTTCCTTCCTCTCATAAACCTTTCATTTTTTTGCAAATATTTTGCTTACTAGACTCCTCCAGAAATTGAACTGCCTCTCCAAATATGAACTTGAACAACAAGACCGCTAATATTTAAGAAAATAGCGTATAAAACTGTTTTGTGTTCCTGCAAATCTTTGCTCCTCTTAGGCCTTTGCAGTTTTGTCAAGTGCATCTTATTGTTTTGAGGGTTTAACGTAAAATGGATTCAAGTTTAAGGATCTGTTTGAATTTCAGACAAACGTGGATAAGTACAATTTTTGATTTTAAAAAAAATTGTTTAGATTTTCTACACGCTGTCGTTTTCACTTATTTTTAAAAATATAGGGTGACCTTTGAGTATTAAACTTTTTTACTATCAAATGTTTCTTTAAAACAGTGTGAACTACCCCCAAAGTGATGTCTATCAAATTTGCTATGTGTCATAAAGTCAATAAAACATAATCAGTTATAATATGTTAAATTTTCGCTCATATACATTGGTTGTTGTATGTCCTTGTTGACAAGGACGGTACCCATTTTTGATTCCCATTATTTAATTTTTGTTAATTGAAATCCACCTGTTCATGTGTGCATGAAACAGACATAAGTTGCTGTTAACTTCACATATTTCAGTTAATATATTTTTGGGAAATTAACAAGTTTTACAGCAGCTTAAATGACGCGTTCAATTTTACTCTAGTTTACTGATTCTTTACCATTCATTTTTAATGCAGTGTCTCGAATAGCCCTTGTTTTCTAGCTTCCCACAATGAAATTATGCGATGAAAAGTGGTCACATCAACTGTTATCAATTCATTAAAGATTCAATAATGAGAGAAAGTTAAGCTTGATCTCATATGATTTCTATGTTGTATGTCATCGAGCTGATGACATTATTTATTGAACGTCCCTCGTATTTCTTGTTATCTTTCTTAGATTGCAGAATGGCTTGGAGACAAAATGCCTGCAGTTCATTTTAAGTAAGCTTGATTCCAATTTTAAGGAAAGAACATTAAGATCTTAAATAACATTGTCTTCAAAGACATGCTTAATTTTTCAGTTTTTTTTTTATTTTATATAATGTATTATTTTGAATGACAAATTATTTATAAGGAGTGGAAGGTGTAAATTGGAAGAACTTGTTTCCAATCCTTTTGATTCATATGCAATAAGATATGTTCAAAACAAACAAAACAGAAACTTAATATTTGAATTGGTTTATGATTGCATAAAATCTGAGTAGGAAAAAAATAATTTGTTTTCACAGTATGGACGACAGTTTCCGACCAGTGCGCCTAAGGAAGGTGGTGCTGGGATTTCCGTTTGATGAAAACAAGGGCTCTGATTTCCAGTTTGACATGTCACTGAACTACAGACTCCCACGAATCATTAACACCTACTCCGAGAACAAACCAACTCTTGTGGTTAATTTTGTTGACTATTTATTTGATATGTTTTTGTTCTTTTAATATATTGAATGTTATGGCATTTTGCGTTGTTTTTACTAATATTAACAAATTAATAAATGTACTCAAATGTTAGCTAGCTGATGAGCAATTTTTAAAAAAAATCTATTAATGTTTTAAAGAGTTATGAACCAAAAATAAATGAACAAAATTTTATAATATAATTTTCAAAGTAGTAAAAAATATCCCATTCTATCAGAATGCCCTTTCAAAATTTACTTCCATTTTCTGTTCAGTTTTGTTCAACAAGGAAAAGTACTCAGCAAGCTGCTGAGATCCTGTTAAAAGATAACGGAAGTACATATGTAAGAACTTATTTCCAAAAAGAAGCCTTGCAGACGTGTGCCAATTCCCTGAAAGACAATAAACTCAGAGGTAGGCTTATTTGCAAGTAAATCTGCAATTTTGAAAAGTTGAATACCCGTCCTGATTCACTGGAATTTCTTCTTGTTCATCCTTACTGCACTTTTTCTTTCTAAAATTTACTTTAAGAAATTTTTGGTAAAATTGATAAAACTTGTTTGGAATTCAAAAGGGACTAATAATTTATTATTGTGTACAGATCTTGTAGCACGGGGAGTGGGTTACCATCATGCTGGTCTTGATGTACATGACAGGAAAGCCATAGAAGAAATTTTTCTCGAGGGACAACTGATGGTGTTAGGTACATCTTTATCTAAAAAAAGAAACATTTTAATGTACGGTTACTAGTATATCAAATAAGTAAAAAAAATTATTCAGAATAAGTTAAATATACCGGTATTTTGATATTTTGTAATGGGGAATAATCTGTAAAATTCATATACCCCGGTAATCAAAAATTATTTGTAACCTCTTTATTTTTCAGTGGCCACTAGTACACTAGCGATGGGTGTTAATCTCCCTGCTCATCTTGTGATCTTAAAGTCGACTTCCTACTACAATCTTGGTGTTCACGTGGAATACTCAGACACCCAGATTCTGCAAATGATTGGTCGGGCTGGAAGACCACAGGTAGATTTAAAAAAGATACCATTTAAACAATGAGAAAAATGTCGCGAAATTTTCAAGTTTGAACAGTGTTTCGTATGAATAAGCAAACGATACAAAATATGAAAAAAATACATAGTGGAAAACTACAAGAAAATCAGAACAATTTATAACTGCTCACTCAAGTGCTAGAAAAAAAAATATCAAGGACACATAAAAATGCTGTAATGATTATTATAATGGTATCCCTAATATTATAGTATTAGAACTACCATTAAGAGGTAAATAAATCTTTAATGTGCAGTTCCTGATGGGTGTAGTATAACTACATGTTCCAATATGTAATAAACTGGACTTTCAATCTTACAGTTTGACACAACAGCTACTGCAGTAATCATGACCAAGAACCAAACAAAGGTATGATTATAAAGAAATATATATTTATTGTGCTTGAGTATTTGAAAAAAGAGAAATTTTCGTAATGTAAATAAATTTTCAAATTTTAAAAAAGAGATTCAACCTTTTTGTTGAATTTGTTTAGGACAAATATGAATCATTGGTGAATGGAACACAGCTGATAGAGAGTAGGTCTGTATATTGAATGAATGTATGTTTTACTTTTAAATGATTTAAAAAAGAGTGAATATTTCATGTATATTTTGAATTTGTTGCGTTGGTTTACAGTTTGCACAAAAATCTTATTGAACACTTGAATGCAGAGATAGTTTTGCACACGATCAATGACATTTCCATAGCGATGGAGTGGATTCGATATACTTTCTTGTACATTCGTGTCATGAAAAACCCGAAAAACTATGGTAAGACAAAAGTAGTAATATAATTCATAGAAATGAATATTTGCAAAATAATTGCAGACTTAAATTAAAGATTTATAACTAGTATGACCAATTTTTTTACTTTTAAGGCATGCCTATTGGATTAAACAAAGAACAGATAGAAAAGAGGCTGCAGGGTAGGTAAACCTATGTGAAATTCTTCAATTATTTTACAAAGTGTTTAACAGTATGTTTTAAAGGAATGCTTAGTTTCTTTTTAATACAGAATTATGCATGAAAAACTTGAACCTACTGAATACGTATGGAATGATCACAATGGACGAAGAAACCATCGATGTCAAACCAACTGGTATATAAATTATATTTTAAAGTTTTATCAAGGTTTACTATATCATACGAACTTACAGTTCTCATATCACCACATTAATCTATGTTGAATGTTATTTTCATGTGAGAACCTGGGAAGCTGATGGCGAGATATTGCATTGCTTTTGAAACTATGAAAAAGTTTTCCAAGCTGGGACCAACGGAAACGATAAGCGAACTGGTAAATGCTTTTAAAATTTCACATAGGAAAACAATCCATCCTAAAATGGTAGAGTCACAAAGAACTTACTGATAACTAAATAGAGATACTTTTTTGACATAATTTATAAGTTGTATGAGCTGTCTGGATGTGAGGAGTTTACTGAGGTACAGCTGAGGAATAACGAGAAGAAAACCCTGAACATGTTTAACAGAGACAAGAACTGGGTCACCGTCAGGTTTGTACAAGACTTTCTGTAATTAACAAAAATCATAGCACGCAAACTTCACGAAGCAAGTTATATCTTTATTCCGTTTCATTCTTTTTGCTAAAAACTAGTGTTTAAAGACATTGTTTGAGGCAGATGTAAGATTTTCAATTACAAAAAAAGGAGGCATGTTAAAAAAGCCATTGGTTTATCTTATTAAATTGGGTACCTGACTTATGAAAAGCAAATAGATTGAAGTTCAAGTACAGTTTTTAATCCATATTTATTACTTATTTGTACTTATGAGTACTAATTTGAATATTGAAGGTATCCTCTAACAGGCAGAGTGAAAACTAAGCAAATGAAGGTTAACATGTAAGAACAATTATTGCTTTCAAAAAAAAAAAAAAAGAGATATACTTTAGTTAACTAAGAAATCCTTATTTATTAAATAAGTACCGGACAAGAATTATGTACTTATCTTTTAAACTATCCCACTATTGTGTTTTTACTTTTAAACTCATTTGATTGTTTTTGCTTTGAAGTCTTATTCAAGTTGGTCTTGGGTGTCTGCTTTTACAAGACTTCTCCCTTCAGCAAGACACAACCAGGATATTCAGGGCAGCTCAAAGGGTGTCAAGATGTAAGCGTCGTCATGGCAGCATTTCTGTTATTCACTTCATAGCCTGCCTTTGATTTTTTCTAAACAGTTAAGAATTTAGATAGTAAAGTGTAAAGGATTCACCTTGTCCGTCTGTCTGTCTGTGCAAACATGCCCGGTCCATTTTTTTTTTACGGGGGAACACTAAAAATGTTTCAGCAGTTCTCTCTTCTCTTAGATCCATAAAATATCATGAATTTGCACGTTCTCTGAAAACCCAGCGGGGATATTTGTCCCTTTTTGGACAGTTTTAGTTAATCAAATATTTTCAAATATATTAAATTTCTGAATTAGAAAGCAAGTTGTGCGGATTGCAAAATATCAGAAAATTCAGATTTTTATTTTTACGTTCATAGAAATCTTGCATTTTATTTGTTTGAATTAACTCATGGAAACATTTACATGTAAGGTTTGGTGGAATTATTTTGGCTCAAAGCTGATTACAAGTCCCTTCTGAGTGCAGTCCAACTGATGAAGTGTCTGAAAGCTCGGCTCTGGGAAGACTCCAAATACGTTTCAAAACAGTTGGACGGCATCGGTGATTAAATACGAACAGGAATGATATATTTAAAAAAAATAAAATGATTTGGAAATTGATTTTTTTGTCGTTTTATGATATATGCTTTATTCTTAATATCAGTTGACTTTTTGTTTTTTTGTGTTTGAAAAATTTGGCATTGACAAATGATTTGTATATAAGAACACCCATGTTGTAGGCCCTGCTCTTTCAAATGCGCTCGTCAATGCGGGGATCACATCATTTCAAAAGATTTTAGAGTCAAATCCAAGGGAACTAGAATTGGTAAATCAGTTTTAAAAAAAGTGTCAAACCCACAGCGTTATGCAAACTTCATATTCATTGGTTCTTGTCATTAAAATGTTTAGAATAGCTTTAAAATATGAAATAATTTACACCAGACTTTAGAATATGAATGTTAACTATTGTGAAAATTTTATAATCCTGTAGATCGTTAACAGACACCCACCTTTTGGAAATCAGCTGAGGGATTTTGTGTCCTGTCTACCTAAGTATGAACTGACAATAGAACAGGCAAGTTTACCGAAATAAAAACGTGCATTTATTTCTGCCGACTGAAATGATGTAAAATATATATATATTATTGATTGTGTAGTATAACCTTCCGATCACGAAGTATGCCCTCTACAGGCTGAACTGCCTTTATGGTCCATGCTTTTTTTTTTTTAACTAATTGAATGTTCATTTTGTATAAAGATGGAACTTTACTCAAAACAATGACAACTTATAAATTACAACATATGTTGAAAGCATTCTAGCTACAACTTCTATGAAAACTGAGCTCATAACGCAATGCCTATATATATAAAGTCTGTGAATGAAAGGAAGTATATATTAGAAATTATTCAAGCTATGAATAGAGAAATTTAAATAAAACTGCAAATTTCTTTTTGCTTCTTTGTTTGCATCTTTATTTATTAGCTATGGCTTTCATTCCATTTAATAAATTAACAAAAACGTGTTATTTAAAGACGGTTTTACTGAATGTATTCCAAACCTCCTTTCGTCTAACGTATAGAACTCCAATCTTATTTTTGCAGGTCAGCAAATATCATGAAATCTTGGCTGACATAGTCATCCATCTCGTCATCAGCAATCCAGAACAACTGAGTACCCGGAAGACACTCCCAGATAATCACACATGCGTACTCCTCATCGGGGATGAGGACAACAAAGTTATCTACAAAAGGAAAATAATGTAACTGATTTATTGAAACTCATTCATGGAATCCGTATGTGTTTACATCGACGTTTAAGCAAAATCTAATGAGTTCTATAGTAGAATCGATCATAAGCTTTATGGAAGAAAATTACAAATCTTCAAAGTATCTTTTATATTTCGTATAATTCTGTTTAAGGGATGTACTCTTGCTGAAAGAACATGATATTACAAAGAAATTGGAGATAAAACGAGCAGAAAAAGGACCAGAACTGTATATAAACCTGATCAGTCAGGAATGGGGTACTTTTTAACAAGTCTTGTACCAAGTAGAATATCTTGATTCTGTTTATCTACTTTTTTACGATTGAGTATTAGTTACTCACCTGTAAGTATCTCTTTATAATTTCACTTGACTTCTCAGTTTAAAAAAATGATTTTTCAGTTGGACTTGATGTGCAAAGCTCATACACACCCTATTACATCGGAGCAAAAAGGGTTTCAAACATTTCAAATGCAATTGAATCAAATCCCAAGCGTCAGGTAATAAATGAACAGCGTTTTTAGTACCATATTCCTGTCATTTTTGTCAAGTTTACTGCAATATGTAAAATATAATGAACATGTATATGAACTTAAAAAAATGAATTGAAAATTTTGAGATTTATTTTTGTTTTGTAGTGTAGAATTGTAGTGTGATTTTTTCCCTCTTAAAATGACAGGTTGATAACCAAAAGGGAACACCTTGTTGTACAGAAGATCGTAAGGCTTGTGGTCATAGATGTATGAATAAGTCCTTGTGCGGACATGACTGCTGTAGGAATGGAGTGACAAAACAAAGACCTTCAAAGACCAGTAGTAAAACACCCGTTGTCTCAAAACCGAAACCAATGGATTCATACATTAGTAATCTAAAAAGCAGAATTCCAGAAACACCTAACCATGCCAAGCGATTAAAGGTATATATATTGTGAATTAATTGTTTAAAATTCATAATTACAATGCCAGAATTTTGAAGCAATAGCACATTATTCCATCGGTAACTGAAATTTTGTCAAGAAAGGTCATAGAAACTACTGCTGTAAAATATGACAAAGTTATTTATCAAATTTTGCTTCTAAAATTCAACCAGAACAAGTTTTTACAACCATTTGATTCACCAAAGTCCACTTAGAAAGTTGTAAAATAAAAAAGGGGTTAAAGTTCCTTGTATCTAACAGTATTTTTCTGACATGTTTAAAAAACTTGCTTCTGAACACCAGGGTTGTTTAGTTATTATTTCACTTTGTTGAATTTGTCAGCAAGTCACTAACTACATAATTTAAATAGATTTTTCTAGTGAGGTTTAAATATTTTTTTCTCACAGATGTCTGGTTCCACAAGCTTAGGTCCAGAACTGGATCTTAATGTATTTGCTCATCAACCACAAACAAAGAAAATGCCATCTTTCCGTAATTCTGGCATTGATGAATTTGAAAGTGAAGAAGATGGAAGAACTTTGGTGGATTTAGAATGGTACTTTTAGTCTTATTTGCATATACCCGTAACAAGATTGCTGGAATTTCCATTCACAATTTAAATGCAATTGATTAAAGAAATATTTTTCTTAAAAAGTTAAGCACACCTTTCATTTTTTTCCTACTCATAATCAGTATTGAATACAAAATGTGATAAAATTCAACACTTTTCAAGTAAAAAGTATGTGAATACTTTTGTATGAAAGTGATATATCAAATGCAATGATTTATTTTCAGATGTTTAATCTGTTAATTTGCAAACTTGATAAATGTCTTCTGTCTTCTGTTTCTAAAGTGAGCGTCCAAATACTCCACATGAGCAACTAGCGAACAGAAGCTTGTTTTTCTCTCCTAGTGAAGACTGGACAGACTTAGATATGTATATGAAACATCAGCATACAGGTGAATTATAATTTATGAAGATTCAAACAGACTTGAGACGGATAAATGTTTAAGAATTTGAAAATTTCTATGCTGAAAGTGAAAGATTAATTTGATTTCTTCTAAGTTGATGACGAATTGCCTGAGCTGGAAGAGGAATCTTTCGCTATGTAGGTTTTTTTTCTTCAAATTTTAGTATAAAGAAATACAATTTTAGTTAGATTTCTCTTATATTAAGTGTAATGATAATAATTTCTTTCTAAATAATTTTAATTCAGTGATGATGAAGCAGAATTTGAAAGATCACAGGAAAGAGCTGTTGACAATCTCGTGCAACCTTATTGCCAGGCCACACCTCGGTATAATTATTTTGACTGAGAAGCACACATATTTCCTTTGGTTTCTACTTAAAATTTTTAAGTTCCCCGAAAAAAAAATACAGAAAAAAATCTTATGTACCGTTCTTTAAAATGGAGGTCTGTATGCCTTGAGATATTGAGTTGAAATTAATCATTCATTGTAGATTCATATAACATGTTTTGTAATTACATGGAGCGCGTTTAACAACACTATAACGTCATAATACAGCGTCAGGAGTTTTCCATATTCATTTTACATAGTATGTACCAATACTCACTCATTAAAACGTTTTTTATCATTCGATGTAGATTCTGCTAGCAAATTTACCAGGATCATAAATTCGTTACGTTTTAATTGTTTTTTACTGTGTAACTGTTTTCAGCAGTAGAGTTGCGCCAAGCCCTTTCCATGACCGTGTAAAATTTAAAAGCTCTTGATTAGATTTTTCTAATAATCCATTTCCTCAATGATTACTTGTATCAGATATACAGAGTATCATTCAAATATTATTCAAATATCGCTTCTGCCATTTGCATACACAAGCGTGACTTGCATTTTTAAAACATTTCCTGCTTCTTCTACTAGCATTTTCAGAGTTATTCTAGAGTTTACCCGAGTACAACACATCAGTGTATCGTTAACTGCTGCTCCATGACTCTTCTACAACGCATTTTCCCCTCTTTTCAATCAGTGTATCGTTAACTGCTGCTCCATGACTCTTCTACAACGCATTTTCCCCTCTTTTCAATTTGTATTCTTTTCAACAAAGCAAAATAGTAGACTGAATTTATGAAACGTTGTAACTATTCTAAAATAATATGAATGTCTTAGATTTCTTTTTTTCTGGCAACGTTTTATAAAGGAAAAGAATACATTTATAGTTTAGTGTTTTTTTTAATTCCTAAATTTTGACCTTGTCTGCAATCTGAATTATATAGTTTTAGATTCAGAAAAAGTTTGAAACAATCACAACATTTTCAAATAAGTTGATTGAAATATTCCGTGACAACATCTATCGGATTTTGATATAATATGTGTTTAGTTATAAAATCATGAGACAGTAAACTTAAACTGAAATTTGGTATCTCAAACATCGTTATCTCAAACACCGTGGATGTGCAAAGTGATTTGGAATTCTCAAAATTTATTTTTTGAGTATTTTAGCGTCGATATTTCGAATCCTCGGATATTCAATTTTTTTTTCTTGTTCCCTTCGAGTCTGAGGTTACAAGGCAATACATATGTTACAAACAATCATAATAACCATAAATTATAATGATGTTGTCTTTTATCTTAGCCATTCTCAGATAGTACACATTTAAATTTGTCTCAATCATAACCCCTTGGAATAGGGTGATTCAAATTTAGAAGATCAAACTTTTACATAAGAATATACCTTTAATGCATAGAAATATAAAAGCATACCCGGCGTAGATTCAATTTTATTCAAATTATGGCCATATTCTCTGTCCTTTCTGTTGAGGCGAATATAAGGTTGGGGACCCTTGTATATTTAAACTTATCAGTACTGAAATGGTTTCTGTTTGCTCTGGTCAAAATGCTCAAGTGACTCTTCGTGAAATTTTATTTATAGTATGCTTTGTTATAATCGATTTTTTGACAGATTTGGTCAAGTTGTCGCATGGAGTAACAATAAAGAGAATATCAGACCATGTTCTATTACTGGTGAAAAGGATGAAAAACAGAAATGTACTCAAGCATTGTGGGGTCTTAATCAGAATACTTTGTCTGCACTGACAAAATCCAGTGGGGATAGCAATGAGTATTTTAATCAGAAGGCTCGGGGGAATGCCACAGAAAATTATCACGACATTCCAAATATGGATGACCAAAATCAAACCAAGTGTTTGAACAGACAGACGGGCATAAGCAACAGCGAGAATATAGACATTCCGTATGTGGGATTTTCTCATAGTACACGAAGTACAAAATCACTTCCTCAGACTGAATTGTTTCACAAAAACCAGTGGACCAGCAGATATATGCTTGAAAATCAAAGACAACAGGAGAAACAGAAGACATATCCTGTAACAATAACCAATGAAACAACTGATAGTTGGAGTGGAAGCGAAAGCGAATTTCTCATCATTGATGACCCTGAATCTAGAGAAAGTTTCTATGATGGAAGTGCAGTAGATCAGAAAAATTTCTCAACATTTTCATCAGAAGGCGAATCTTTCCAAGAATCGCGTTCCCCAAGAGTAGACTGTTGTGGAAAGTCAGAGAAAATAAGGAAAGCCGAGCAGGAAATGGAACAATTTTTGTTTGGGTCTATCGGTCATTCAAAAGATGCCTACTTGAAAAAAGGGGATGATAATTCTCACACAAGCAAAGAAAAACAAAGCTTGGTCATCCATAACAAAGCCAGGAATACTCCACAAGAAAGTTTTCAAATAATGAATAAGCAAGGAATGGGGGTATGTGAAAAATTAAAACTGCATCATGCAAAATAAATGTCTTATCTATTTAAGACCAGTATTTGATTAATATATTAATAAATAAAAGTACAAATGTTGCATAATTCTGCCACTGTATGTTAGAAGAATTTCTTCAAATTCTTATGTCAGCATATGGTATTTGCATATTTAAAACACAGATTAACAGTTTATAATTAAGATGCAACTTGATCATCTCATGATTATCATGAAAAGATGCAATATATGTATTATTATACATAACTTGGATATCAGGATATACCTGATCATGACAACGAGCACACGGCGGGTGTGACCGGTCGGCAGGGAATGCTCACTCCTCCATGGCACCTGATCCCACCTCTGATGTTTCGGAGGTCCGTAAATTTGCAATACTGCTCTTATTTTGTATATTGTTTAATGGACTTTGAGATTGAATACTGTTCGTTATCTCCATATCCTTCTACCAATATGCTGCTAATGCACGTCAAAAAAAATCTAAGTTGCATGTCACCATGATAAGTTAATGTCAAGGTAATTAAGTTGCACCTTTATTAAGGCATGATTACCGTTATTAGTTTGAAAGCATGAGCTGGCAATCCCATCATGACAGTAGATGTCCAATCTGTCCTTTCTGAAAAAAAAAGAATTTCTTTATTAAGTGTTGTGCTGCATATTGGCATATTATTTGAAAGAAAAAAAAACCAGAAGGCAAATAAGACAGAAATAAGTGACCGTTACCACGTTTTGCTTAAAAACTTTCTTATTTGGTGAATTAATTATTTTTAGTTTGATGGTTGTATGGCCGATAAAATGCCTTATTTGTCGAAAACCAGGTATGAAAATATAGATACTTTTAATTGATCTAAAATAATCAATTGAAACTTCAAATTCAAAGAGAGAGAGAATTTGTTTTACTTTTAATCTATGAACATTTATTTTATCTTATTTTTTAGATCTCCTACAAATTCCACATATGGGCGAGGAACATTCAGTAGTATATTTGATTCCTTGTTTTAAGTGAGTTTTGTGATCTTCATAAAAGATACTGTAGCAGATACGAGGGGTGATCAAAAAGTTCGAAAACTAATTGAATAACTTACATACAAGAAACAATATTTGGTTTTAATGTTGATTATATTTTAAATGAATCCTCCCAGATTTTAATGCACATCAACCACCGTTCTGCGCATGCGCGAATCACGTGATATTGGCGGTCACGTGACCCCCTCCGTAGCGTTCTGTCACAAAAGTTAAAAGATTTTTCCGATTTTTATATTTCTTTCCATGTGAGTTAATTTTTATGACAAGAACAGTTAATTTGTCAGAAATGGTCATATCTCGGCAAAAGGATGGGTGGATAATAACATCCTTTCCAAAAATAAGCATGGCGACCACTAAAACAAATCTTTTGTCTCAGGAGAGACCTTTATTCAAGGTGGATAGAGAATGGGTGCCTCCTTTTTATCATATCTAATATGTTTAAAATCTAAAGTAAACTATATCTTAGGTATCTAATACTTATATCATTGTTCAAATATTCAACTATTTTTCAAAGTGCTAATTGAAGGTCTTTGATAACAAATTGCTTAATTAAAAAAAATAATACATATCTTTTTAAACTTGCTATCACTGGGCAAGATGACAAGTATCATTTTTAACCATCAGCCTTCCTTCACTAAAACGATTAATCCAATCATTAATTGAATTTATAGGAACTCATTTATCTCAATAAACTGTGTACAAATTATTATATGATACTGTAGCCACTGTAGGGATTTCTAAGATATTACAATAAATTGTACAGTCGTTTGGTGAACGAGTTCGACTGAGACAACCATTTTTCGTCACAAGTGACCTAAATAGTGACGTCATTTTCACACTGTGACGTCACAAACAAGGACATAAACTTTATTCAGCATATGCTATTTATAGACCTTGTGTATGGCTATGTGTGTACCGAATTTCATTCTAATCTGAATTGTGGTTTTGTAGATATAGAGATAGTTTGCGAACTTTTTGATCACCCCTCGTAATGAGTAACAGAGGTAACTCAATGCAATGTATAAAGTGAAACACAAATTTTGATATGGAGAAAACTTTCTTAAAATTTTACAAATATAATATAAAATTCTAGAAATTTGTACGCAATTTGAATCATTTTGGTAAACAAATGCTACCGGGTATATGCTCAATGTAAGGTAAATTTAGTCAATTATGTGTATTATAAATATAATACAAATAATAAATAAATTTTTTTCACCAAAAGTTTTATATTTGGAAATCTGCCTTCAAAATTAAACTTTCATAGGTAAATCTCAAAAAATTATCTTCTAGGTAAGGAGAATATATATGCAGACTCAAAAGCATTAAACGTTTACATCCAACTTGGTGGCATGTGTTAAAAATGACGTTAATACGTTTTACGGTGATTATTGAATCGGAAATCTGTTCAGACTCCGTAGTTTTACATAAAGTGAAGAATGATGATTTCATTCGAGTTTGCTTAGATAGTTCCAAGCACGTTTGCATTATATAAGAATAATAAACATGTGTGCGTTTTCCTTTTATAAACCTGGAAATCTCTTTATCAAAAGAGGCAAAAATGTCGATTTTCCCCAGTCAATAAAACATTTTGTTCATTTGATTTTTTATGCAAATATAAACAATCTTCCACAGATTTTCAAAATTTGACTTTTATGGGGATAGAGATAAGCCTTAGCGTATTTAAGTTTTACTCTAACAAGAAAATTAGAAATCATAAGAGCACCAGTAACACAGTTACTCAGCATGTTTGGTCCCTGGGCCTCCTTAATTTTATAACGACCAAATATAGGTTGCAGTTGTGAAATAACGTTTGAAAAGGGACAGTCTAGATAATAATAAATCGATCTTTTAAGAAAAGAAAAACAACTATACAAAGAGCAATTCTTACTACTTTTGCCATTTAGATTGGACAGATGTAGAATACTTTTCTTATCTTTCGAGATCATGTTTCACTGAAGAGTCCTGACCTTATTGATCGAGGCTGCTATTGCTCTTCTTGCAAAAAATATATGAATAAAGTTTACAAAGACCGATCCCTTTGCCTTATCTGACCTTGTATCTGAGACATCTTTTTATTAAAAAATATTGGCATATATGAAGTTTTTAATGATTAATTTGATTGATAAGGTATAGGTGAAGGAATGGAAAATCGCACCTTTTAATAGGCAATGACCAAATAAATATGTACATGTTGGTTTTTCCTACATTAATGCTACGTGCATGCTTTGACTCTTAAGGATGTTGCAGATTAAGATAACAAATGCTTGTTGTGTGCGATTTTCGTTTGATCAGCATGGATCTGACGCACTTACATGTATCTTGACCAAGTTTCCGCTATCGCAAATTTGTGGGTCTGTAGTTGAACTGGCCAAGTTGGGTTAATAGGTTTCCAGACAGAACTTTAGGTTTTTAGAGAATTGTTATTGAGAAAGAATTTAAACAATTGAAAATACAAATATCTGCATTTCTGGAACATTTGCACGTCTGTAGGATATTTTCTTCTAATTAAGCGTAGTTGATTTTATTGTTAAGTACATTTTGATCGGATTTCTCAGTGAGAAATAGGACTTTGAAGAAAAGTGTGTAAGTTAACTAGTAGTTAATATGTATATTAGGGAAGTATTGTTTTGTTATACATTTGTAATAAATGCTTCTTCCGTGTTCAGATTCACAGGTTCATTAGTTGCTGCCTGCAGAGGAAACATCAACAGATGGGACAGAGAAGGATTGCCAATGCGGTCCTAGAGATGCCACCAACTTCTCCCTCAACAACATGGATAAATCTCGTACAATCTGTTGCCAAAAATGAAGACATGGTTGTGGAATGCATTGCAAAAGCCGATAATATCCATGAAAAAATCAAGGAAAGTATCCTTATTCCACTAACAGTTTTAATAATTGGAATTAACGTGGCGATCTTATTCCTGGTAGTAATTGACAAAAGATTTTATAATCCAAAAGTTGCCTTTATTTCCACACTTGGTGTGGCGGATCTATTTGTTGGTGTAGTTTCTGTTGGGACTTTAATTACAAAAGCAAATGAGAAAACATATGAACACTGCTTAATTCGGATTGGTTTTACCGTAACAACGTGTGTCGCCTCCATCCTCAGCTTAATGTGTATTGCACTGGAAAGATTCATTGCAATAACATACTCTCTAAACTACAAATCTGTAGTATCCAAAAATAGGGTTGTTGGCGCTATTGCTGCTATTTGGATTATATCATTTGTGGTTGGATTTCTACCTCTCATGGGTTGGAAAAACAACCATTATCAACAGTATTGTTCGTATCTTTACGTATTGCCAGCCAGCTATATTATATTCATCACCATCTTTGGAGCAATTATCCCATTAGGCATTATGGTCATAATATATATCAAGCTATACAGGAATGCTAGGTTCCATATCAAGCGCATCGAAGCCCTGGAAAATATAATGGTTGTTGAAAGACTTCGTAGAAATATGGGAATTCTGCGGATGTCAGCTCGAAGCTGGAGATCATTAAAAACTATGATTTACGTATTCGGTTGTGTTTTAATTACTTGGAGCCCCTTTATCGTTGCATCCTTCGTCCAAATTACAGTTCAGAAAGATATGTGCATACTTAAAGACATAGTGGGAACTCATTTGTTAGTGTTAGGATTTTCGAATTCCTTTCTTAACCCACTGATATATGTTCTTCGTACCAAGGATTTTCAAGACAGAGTAAAGGAGAGATTGGAACGGTACAAAGTTTGTGCAAGTTACAATCCAAGCAATAATAATGAGTAGTTTATGTACATATTAAAGTATAAAGCAATGTTCTAGAATTAAATATAAATGTTCATTGTTATTCTCATTTTTGAAAGCGATTCAATAGGTGTCCCTGCTTTGGTGGTGCAAGACACGTGGAGCGCATGCGTTGTATCAAAGGAAAGTTATCATGTGACAGTATGAATGCTTTTAATAAGCTTCTCGGAACTTAAAACACAGCAAAACTGAAATCTAATACCCTGTACGAATAATGACTTTAAGATATAAATTAAGAGATCTTGAGCGATTTTGTGATAAACCATCTATTTCATTGCCAAAAATAATTACTGGAATATATGAATATTCAGAGTTTACGAATCTCAATTCTTAGTATTGGAAGAAATAAAACTTTTGTAAAAATATCATTTCAACAGACGGAATTGCCTACGTTTTCTTTCGTATGCTCGTATATTAGGCATTATCAAATAAAATTCTTGCGTTTGCTTTTGACATTCATTTTATATTAAGATGAAATTTCAATTTCTATTTCAAGTTTTAAGCTCTAGGCTAAAATACATATACAATCGAAGTCTCAAAATCAACAGAAAAAGCACTGAAAGTGCTGGATGGCATCAAAGATCCATTAGTGCCCAGGTCATCTTAAATTTTGATAATTTGTATATATATCGAAGTGATATGGATTAAAATAGTTTTATTTGTAAAATGCATTGGTCCATCTTTTTTGCATTCCACAGAAAGTTTTCATGTCCTGGAAGATTGCAATCGAGCGGTACATAATTATTGAATTTGGCTATATATACGATGTTTTGGAGGTCCGTGTTTGCTCTGCTCCTGTTTTGAATTGTTTTATGGATATTTGATCTTGAATACTGTTCGACTTCTAAGAAAATGCAAGTATTCAGGGTATCAATACTTGTTGCGTGACAATATCTGAGAAATATGAACTATTTTATTGTGACATTATTTTCTAAAATATGTTAATAATATCAATTTCCTTCCCAACAAATGCCTAACATACTAGTATATTGACATATAGTTTGGAAAGAGAGATAGAGATGCAAATATTTATCGATATCAATATGCGCATCAACCTTTTTTCGGAAACTGAAGTTTTTTTTGTACGGATATTGTCCTTAACCCAAATGAAACAAATCTCTTCATTAAAAAAATGTAAAAGATTGCATGGAATTCCGAGAAGAAATGCTTCATTAATAAGTACATTTGATTGGGCCTCGGGCTTCCTTGTTTTAATTGTACGAGTGAACGGATGTTAGATAAGATTAGCGTCGTGATATGAAGGCTAATAAAAGACATTAGGGGTTTTCTACTTTTGAAAAACGACTTCAGATTTAAAGTGGATCTATTTATTACTTATAAATAAAATATTGTAAACAAGAAGAGGTCCAATCTGGTTTTAAATTTTAGTGCTTTCATACTCTAGCATTGATAATATTTTGAAGTCTACATATTCAATAACTAATTTGGTACTCAATTACGCATACAGGCTATAATTTTATTTAATTTTAATATATGTTCCTTTTTTACGAATACAATACAACGATAAAGATTGCAGATCAGATGATCTTATCATATGTTCGATTTGACAATTAAACAAAAACAGAAGCAAAAATAAATCCTTTATTATAAGGCTCAAAATTACAAACAACTGGTTTTTGAAAATGCATAAACACTGAAAGAATTGTTTGCTGGAAAATTTGTTGAGGCAATGTAATAAAATCAGAGAAATTTAGGTTTGTTTCGACTGAACACTAGCCTAAGCCTATAAAAAATGTAACTTTTGTCTCTCTAGAAAGTTGAACTGCTACACTGAAAAAAAAAGTTTTGATTGTACTAAGGAGCATCGTTTTAAGGTAAATTACAAGTAAAACATTGCCAGCAAAAATCATATTCTCCATAAATATGATGGGTCTTTTTTCTGATAAATGCAACAGTGATAAAAAAAACTCCAACTTGATAAGACTTTTAAGAAGAAGTGTTACAGAAACTCATAATTAAAATACATATTCATGTACGAAATATCCTTGTTTAAAAATGAGGTAAAGAATATAATACAAATGCTGATGTACTTTGATTATACAACAAGTCAATTTCCTTAAAACACTCTAAATGCAGTTGAAAATACAAGCATACATGTATATATCACTATAAAAACTATCATTATTATACACACAAACACTTAAATAGCAAAAAACACTTAAAAATATCCTTAACAGCAGCATGGGAATAAATAATGAGGTACACATGGTGGATATTTTGAGTTTATGACTAGATTCTGTTATCAACATGAATATAGTCGTCTCTCTTAAGACTGATAAAATATCCTTTAAGATATATCGTTTTTCATGTTTATTAATTATTTTATCTTAAAAGATAATCAATACTTCATTTTGTAAAAAGAATTACATTTAAAAAAAAAGATTAAAGTCTCGAATTCGAACATTTCTTGAAAATATTCATGCTGGTCTTCCATTATCCTTTCAAAACTAATTAAATATACATTTAATAAAAATTATGGTGTAGATTTTCATCAAAATCTAACAATTTTTTAAAACAATTCTGGTGTAGAGTATGTTTACAAATTTTGATTGATATGATAGTCTTTTAAGATGAGAAATGCATAATATGAAAAATAAAACTGTTGCGACAGTCTCCTCCTATAATAGGCCGATATGTCAATGATCAGTGATTGCATAGATGAGAAGCGATTGGTTGGTCGTCAATAGAAAGGTAGCACACCATCAGGCCAGTCTATAGCTGCACCATACCACCTAAGTAAATCACAAATAAAACTTATCAATTATTTATGAAACTATTTGGATTATTATTTTTCTTCAACGGTATATATACATTTTTTTTATTTCTACATGAATATAATAACTTATAAATTATAACCTTTTTAAATGGAATATGTGGAAATAACGAACAGTATTCAAGATAAAAAAAAATCCCATGAAACAATACAAAATAGGAGCAGGGCAAACACGGACCTCTAAAACATCAGAGGTGGTATCAGGTGCTATGGAGGAGCGAGCATCCCTTTCCAACCGGTTAAACCCGCGATGTGCTCCTTGTCATGATCGGGAAATAACGGAAAATACGTCGTCAATTAAGTTTAAGTTTAAATGTGTAAATAATGGACTAATAATTGGAATGAAAAACGTCAATCAGCATTTGACTCAATGATAAATTATATGCTCTGATAAGGTCATTATATCGACCATAGAACTTTTAAAATGATAACTTTAAACGAGACTGCTGATATTCTTGTTTCTTCAACTTGTTTGTCAATAATTTACCTCATTTTAGAAAGAGGAAGTTCTAAGTTGATACTGCAGGGTTTTCAACATCAGCTGGATTGCATTTGTCAAATTTAACTAGCTTGAATGCAAATACAACTTTTGTACATGTTGTAGGTAGAATTTTTACAGGGATGCTTTAAGCTCAGAAGTGACACATGTACAGCGGGTATGACCAGTCGAGTGGAAGCTCGCTCCTACTTTAAGATGAGATCCAACCACAATATTTCTTGGGAGCTTGGTTTTTACAGTTTATATTGCTGATATGATATATTAAGCTGATCACTTTTCCCACATTGGCAGTCACTTTTTTGACTTACTTTTTTTCTAACACACTCAATTATTTTGTTATAGGATAATTCATCTCTGACTTAACGTTGCCAGAGTTTCGTTTGGCCCTGACCTAAAAATTTTAAACAGAAGAATGTTTAATGCTGGTAACAATTTACTTTGTCATGATACACTTTTCAAGCTGTGGTATTGATTCCTCCTTTTGTCGCCTGTAAAGTTTTGTTCTACCCAGCGCATTTCTACCAAATCTGGTCTCTGAAAACGTAAAGAAAAATATTTTAATAGGTATCACTTTGTTTATAAGTCTTTATTATACAAACGCAAAACATTCAAGAAGAACATGCTTTTGGGGTGAGGAAGATCGAAGGAATACCCGGTATATCCGATATACGTCTTTTTTATTAGAGCTGATAAAAAATATTATTGAAAATACTGTATAAAGCACATCAGTTGAAGCACATATCGTAGATGTTCATGGTGTATATGTTGTACATGTTGATGTGAGTCTTGACTCTTACCTATATGCAACGGACATGCTGGGATACCCGGAAGTCCTGTGTAGTAGTGAAGGAAGAACCTGGTTTCAACCCTCCAATCACTGACAAGGTCTAAATTTGTACTGAAAAGCAGACCAGGATGTCCATTTACTGAGGTCAGCCATATTGGTTTCTTTGGAGTCTTCAACATACTGCCTACCTAGAAAAAGAAAATGCCTGAAGCTTTTAGAACGAAAGAAAACCGCTTGATTCGGTGGTTCTATCATGTCGAAAATGTTGAATTTACGGGGTGGCAGTAAATACAACTGCCACCAGGTAAATTCAAAATTCACAACATGACAGTTCGACAAAACGCATTCTGCTCGAGTACAGTCTTTAAATGATTTGTAAATGTAAATGCAAAACTAAAATGGTGCCATATTCCCTGTAAGCTTCATTAGATAAGACAAACTTTATGCAAAGACTTTAACAACGTTTACCTAGAAGGGTACCAAGTTCATTCAAATTTAAAAAAATGCATGTGCGTAATGACCATATCATCTTGTCTACACAATCTATATACTTTAATATACAAAATGTTAAAGTATTTAATCCAAAAGTATTAAAAAATACGCTCATTCAAGTGTATTTTTGATTTTACTTTTCACGTGCATACACGTGCATACATTTTTGACATACCTCTTGTAGAAATCCATTACATCTATCTATGTTCCCCACTCAAAACCAAGGGAGTTATAGCTGATTAAAGTTTCAGCCAATCAGATTGCAGCGTACGTTCGCGCATGATCATACCTTCTTGTAGACGTCCATTATATCTATCTATGTTTCAAATCTCATCCTGTTTGGTTGAAAACTAAGGGAGTTATAGCTATTTAAAGTTTCGGCCAATCAGATTGCAGTGCATGTACACGCACGTATATGGATGTGCATGGTGACCATACCTTCTTGTAGAAGTCTATTATATCTATATATGTTTCAAATCCCATCCTATTTGGTTGAATACAAAGGAAGTTATAGCTATTTAAAGTTTCAGCCAATCATATTGCAGCGCACGTGCATGCAGCAGCGCACGTGCATGCACGTGTTTTCATGAAAATTGTTATATATCATGTTGTAGGATATCCTAATGCATGGTTATGTTAAAAATTTCAAAGGATTTCATCAAAAAACAAGAAAGATTTTGAGACTTTAGTTTCAGCCAATCAGAGCGAAGCGCACGTGCATGTGCGTGAGATCTTGCTATTTTGACCATGTCATATTGTCTATGCTTCTACTATATCCTTATATTATGAGTTTCAAAGCATTTCATCAAAAAGGTAAAAATTTACGCCTATATCAATTAAATCGGTCATTTCACGTGTTGCTCGTGTGCGCTCTTGCAAGCACATGCACACAAAATGGCATGTTGAGAATGTCATCTTATCTACATATATATAATTTATAATATGTCTATATATTCCAAATATCAAAGCATTACATCGAAAAATGTAAAAATTACGGCAATTTCAAGTATATTGGTCATTTCACGTTGCACGCAAAATGACCTTCGTTCCGCAAATCTACATAACATGCCTACTTACCCTAAAAAGGTTTCCCCTTAATCGGATGTGTACTTTACAAGATCATTCGCGAGAAGAAAAAATGATAATAATTATAATGAGAAACAGAGTAAAAACAATATGTTTTGGGGTAATTAAAAAGCCAAATTTAAAAAATGGACAATAAAAAATAAAAGTAGTACATCAGTCCTATCGTCATCATTTTCTCCTTTGTCCCAGAACAAGAAACCGATCTCACTTCTCTCCTGGATGCCTTTCAGTGGTGTTGCCTAATAAAGTAACATAATGAAATTATAAAGATTAACCAATACATTTTGTGTAAAATATCAGCATTCACTGAATTTCAAAGCGCTGTATAAATATGTTTTTTTTTTTTCAAATTTAGGATTGTTAGTACAAATGTATTGACAAATTAGAAAATATGTATAATGATAAATAGATAATAATAATTTACATGTATAACCCAGAGTATGTTATGTATTCACGTTTTAATAACATATATAGTCATTAGGCTTGAAAATTGTTGCAACACTATTGTTTTGGGGTTTGTACGTACAATACATTTTTGCTATTAGGGTGGATCTTACTAAAAATGTTACTGAATGTGAGGAGTGAGCTTGTCATTAAATAATAATCATACAGGACACTAGTCATTCTGACCAAAGCAGGAGGGAAAAAGATCTTACACATATTAAACATTAAATGAAATGATTATTAAATGATTAAAACTATCTTGTCTAACAGGGGGGAAACGATACCATGCCCATATAAGTATTACATGAAATTAAGGTACTAGTAATATTTGATGCATATGCGTCAAACATTTCTTTGACAACTTACGTAAATATCTCACTTTTGTGAGCTTCATAGTGAGTCATGCACCATCGTTATGTTTCTTAATAAAGTGTTTGTTATAAGCAAAGATAAAACCGATAGCTTGCGATAGACATAGAATACAGTAACAGCTATGTGGGTATTTGATTAGTGTTTATTTTACGTCCAAAAACACAGCCTTACCACAGTTAACCACTGCAAAAAATTATTCAACGCATTTCAAACATGACGAAAAATGTGTGAAATTAATTACACGTTTTTCTTCGTATTAACCACAATAAAGAGAAAAAAATGTTTATTTGGTGAATTATCCAATTTGTAATATAACATGAAATTAAACATGATATTAATTATTATAAAACATAGAGATATCTTTAAAAACCCCAACAATTTATTAAGAAATACTGTCTTGTTATCACAACTGCGTTTGTTCACACCCCAAAAATTTAATGCTTAAATGCATTTTACTTTTGAAAGAAAGCAACTTCTTTTATTAGCATTTTGTGAACATTTAAAATTGAAAACTAAACAGATGTGTTATGCAACACAAACCCATTTACATGAATATTATATGCAAGAGAAGCCATTAAACAGAAATGAAGAAAATTCTGATTATCTACAAAGAGTTTGTCACACACACTGTGATCATTAATTATTTTAAGCGACAGTCTTGAATAACCTCTAGTAGACCTGTTATGGTTTTGTAAGATATATACTTACAAGTTCCTCGAGGTCCACGTCATCCTAAAATGTGGTTGTTGACGTAAGTACGCCAGTTCTTTTTTTTTTTATGTATTTATTGTTAATTTTACAACATTTTGCAGAAAACCATCCCCCATTTCTGTTTAATTCATTGTATTCAGTTTCAGTGTGATTAATTCTTAATTTTTTTATGGTAACAAATGCAGAAAAACAAATCGATAACTTGCATATCCAATTGATATAAAAGTACATATTTTCTTCTTCATAAACCAGATACACGTAAGTTTGGCATTGTTTTCTTAACAAAAGTGTGTCCATACCATTACTCAATAGCTCTTGAGTATATTGGTACCCGCAAACTGAGAGTGTTTTAAGACGTAAAGGCCTCATAGTACATATGTCAAGGTCACTGAGCAATGAAATTAGTAAAATGGTTTGTTGGTGTGACTCAATATCATACATCAAAGTTTAAGGTCACTGGCGATGAGATTAAATGAATTAAAGCCTAAAAATGTTCAATATTATTGTGCAATTACAAAGTGTGTCATAAACTTGACTCATTAAAGCTGTATTTCAAAGATGAGGGTCATAAACTGTGTCAATGGTAATAATTTAGAGAGAGTTTTCAATAGTCTCAATGATCGTTTATAAAAATATATCAAATTAAGAAAAAAATCAAATCCTTTGATACTGCGACAGGAAAAAATTATTATTATAATAGCTGTGTTGCAACCACTATTGAAATAACGACCACTATTGAAATAATTATATCAGTAGTGATTGAGAGTGCATTTCAATAACAAACATAGTTAGTAACCACTATTGAAATACGACCACTATTGAAATACATATATCAATAGTGGTTGAGAGTGCATTTCAATAACAAACATAGATATTAGCCACTACTGAAATACGCACACTATTGAAATAATTATTTCAATAGTAGGTGAGAGTGCATTTCAAGATAATAACAAACATATGTTTTAACCACTATTGAAATACAACCACTATTGAAAAGAAAACATAAAACAACTTTAGTTATCATATTTCAAAATCAATAAATTAGTTCATTGTATCTGAAAACAGAATGTATAAGCCTTAATTTTTTTTTAATAATGGGGATATTTCTATGAAGCTTGCAATGTGGTTTTGGTATTGAAATCGTTGTCAGCAACTGTTAAAATAATTATTTCAAATTATTTCAATATATATTGGAATCATTGTTCAAAGCACTATTGAAATCAATAATTTAATCCATGTTGAAATCTTTATTTCAAAAGTGAACATTATTTCAATAGTGGTTGCAACCTATGTTTGTTATTCAAACGAATCTCACCCACTATTGAAATAATTCTTACAATAGTGGTCGTATTTCAATAGTGGTTGAAACCTATGGTTATTATATTGAAATGCACTCTCACCCACTATTGAAATAATTATTATACCCCCCGCTTGAAAAGTGGGAGGGTATACTGTAATCGGTATGTCCGTCCGTCTTTCTGTTACGCTTTAGGGTACCCATCTCTTATCCGCAACTCCTCTTATACCACTGAGTGAAAGAACTACGAACGATAGTATTGTTCTCCCGCCTACGTCTAAGTCAATTCTCAAAAGTTAACATATTCGAATGATTTTCAAATTTTTTTTTTTGATATTTATATGAATTTTCATAAAACGTTACTTGTTTGGGATACTAATGAGAGATAACTCTATAATTTTGGTAAAACTTGTGTTTTTCACTATAGAAATCAATGGATAACGGAAAATATTTTTAAAACATCTCCCCCCCCCCCCCCCCCCCCCCCGTGAAACAAAGATTCTTTTTTACAGGTAATATTGACTGTCATTTTACAAATCTATGCCGAAGCTTTTTGTGTTTCACGGGGGGGGGGGGGCATATATTTATAGAAAAAAACCAAAAAAATGTTGATTTTTCACCAAATTTAAAGCTATTTACAGCTAAAAAATAATTGTATTTTATTAATTCATATATGTTTTATTTATTTGCGTAAAACATAAGAAAAGATATGAGATACATTTTATCATATCTAAGACTATTTCAAAATATGGTGATTCTTGAAAGTTTGATTTCACTAGAAAATATCGTCTACCCCCATTTTTTTCAAGAGCTGGAATTACTGATAATTTACTATCAAGCGCTGGAATTAAAATGATTAATCAATTACTATAGAACTGTTCTTTGTATTAAATAAAGATTTAATGGCCAAATTGCCATTAATATTGAATTTAATGGGTGTAAAATGTAGGCGGGAATCAAGAGTTAGAGTTCGTAGTTCTTTGATGAAACTTTCACAGAATCTTTATTACATATTGCCATTGTGCACCTCCTATTTTACTTTTTGATCCGACACATATTTTGGATTTCCCAGCCACAGAAAAAACATGCGACTTTGCCATTTTACTCAAATGGGAGGCAGGGGGTATCATTTAGTGAGGTCTTTGCTCACAGTACCTCTAGTTTCAATAGTGGTCGTATTTCAATAGTGGTTGTTACCTATGTTTGTTATTGAAATGCACTCTCAACCACTATTGATATAATTATTTCAATAGTGGTCGTATTTCAATAGTGGTTACTAAATATGTTTGTTATTGAAATGCACTCGCAACCACTATTGATATAATTATTTCAATAATGGTCGTTATTTCAACAGTGGTTGCAACATAGCTGATTATCAAAACTTCTCCATTACTAAAGAATATATATGCTAATATAAAGGTACTGAATAATCAGTAAGAAGTTATTGAAAACAACTGTCAATTTCAGAGGTTACTTTGCTTAACGTGATAAAAAAATAAGAATTTTCCTGTTTCGTACCAGCAGATTTCCACTGTGACTGTAGACAAGGTTTCCATTGTGTAGATAATGACATGCGTGACCCGAGATGATCAGATTCGTCAGAGCCTGTGTGCACTCTTCACGATCGTTCAGAAGCTTGTAATTTGTTTCATTCGTGATCAACATCTCTTCCTTTAATCTACAAAGAAATAAAGTTGATATCTGATTTCTTTTCTTAAATGAATTTAAGAATATCAATAGTTCAATAGTAATAGCAATGCATTTTTATGGGTTGTTGCAAAGTCGTTTTCCTTTACCCAAAATCATAGGCTAGGCATGCTAGATATAATCGTTTCTGTATGATAAGTGTAAGTATAACAAATAAATTTAATATACTTAAAGACTGTCGCAGATAGGACCAAACTGTACAAAAACAGAATACACCCGGGACTCTTGTCAGAGGTAAACTAAAATAAAAAGTGAATCAAATTATTCCTGAACCAAAAGCAAAAGTCAAAAAAAGATACAAATTCGGCACAATGTTAATAGATTCCTTTTCAATTACAACTTTATGTTCTAGATTTTTTTTCTGTTGAACGTCCCTCTCGAAAATTAGATTTTATTGTAGAAAATAACTGCTGATACAGTTAAAGATTTTTGTGTGTATAATAAGTAAGTTCTCAAGTTTACTTGAAATACAACTCATAAGATTTAATCTTTCGCTTACTCAATTTTTAATTTCCTTACTAGAGTAAATCTATATACACTGTAACTTCTTCCATACCGAAAATGACTAGACTATAGCATTTTATTACACAGTCAATAAGACTTCTTATGGGTATTCATTGGGAGTAATAGTAATAATAAGGATGATATCAAATTAACTATGAGTATTATAGATGGATAAAATTTCCCACATTTTTAAAATATTTTTATAAAACTTTATATTTATGTAAGAACTACGAACTCTAACTCTTGATTCCCGCCTACATTTTGCACCCATTAAATTCAATATTAATGGCAATTTGGCCATTAAATCTTTGTTTAATACAAAGAACAGTTCTATGTTAATTGATTAATCATTTTAATTCCAGCGCTAGATAGTAAATTATCATTAATTCCAGCTCCTGAAAAAAGGGGGGTAGACGATATTTTCTAGTGAAATCGAACTTTCAAGAATCACCATATTTTGAAATAGTCTTAAATATGATAAAACGTATCTCATATCTTTTCTTATGTTTTACGCAAACAAATAAAACATATATGAATTAATAAAACACAATTATTTAGTTGTATATAGCTTTAAAATTAGTGAAAAATCTGCATTTTTTTCGTTTTTTGTCTTTTAACATATGTTCCCCCGGTGAAACACAAAAAGCATTGGCATAAATTTGTAAAATGAAAGTCAATATTACCTGTAAAAAGGAATTTTTGTTTCACGGGAGGGGGAAGATGTTTTAAAAATATTTTCCGTTTTCCGTTGATTTCTATAGTGAAAAACACAAGTTTTACCAAAATCATAGAGTTATCTCTCTTTAATATCCCAAATAAGTAACGTTTTATGAAAAATTCATATAAATATCTATAAAAATTTTGAAAATCATTCGAATATGTTAACTTTTGAGAATTGACTTAGAGGTAGGCGGGAGAACAATACTATCGTTCGTAGTTCTTTGGCACATTGCAAAGATGAGGAGATAAAGGTCCATGTAATTCTCTCCTTATTAACTTCGATATGGAGGAATCTGAATATGATATTATAAAAAAGCAATACAAAAATCATCATCATTGTATACCTCTTCAATATTCCTTCTCATGAACGTGGAGAGATCTGTGAACTTTTTGAACTCAAATAAGACAACCTACAACAAAAGCATGCAAGTGCTCTTAATAAAGACAGTGAAATAAATGGTACATTTACATATTTTCACACAAACACATATACACATGTATAACATAAACTCATATCCACTTGCGCTTCGTTATTAGCGGACCTATTTTTCTATTCATATGAAGCATACTGTTCAAAACCATATACATGTGCGTGAAAAGACAAAAACAAACACTAGTTGTGGCCTTCATCTCGACATTTAGATATATGGACGGCGTATTGTCAATAAAAACTGGTACTTTTCATTCTATGTTGATACGATATATCCCAATGGACTTGAAATAAAAGATACCACAGAATCTTCCACATCTGTTTCATTTTTTTTTTATACATTTTACTAGAAAAATACGTTACTGGTAATCTAACAAAAAAGCTTTATGATAAACATGATGACTTTAACTTTTCAGTCCTCAACTTCCCTTACTTATGCAGCAATATACCCTTTTCAACTAGTATACCGGTGTACGGGGTTTATATATCTTAGTTGATGAGCTATGCAGGAGTATGCTCAACGTATGACCATTTCTGGAGTGAGGTAGGTTATTGACAAACAAGTAGATGAAACAAGAATATTAGCAGTCCATTTGAAGCCATCTTTCGTCAGTTCTATGGTCAATGCAATGACCTTTTCAGCAAAACAGAATCTATCATTAAATCAAATGCTGACTGACCTTTTTCATACTAATTGTTAAGCCATTATTTACACAGTAAATTCACTAAATTGTTGGCGGATTATTTCCCGATTATGACGAAGAGCACACGGCCGATGTGACCGGTCGATAGGGAATGCTTACTCCTCCATGGCACCTGATCCCACCTCTGATGTTTTAAAGGTCCGTGTTTGCTCTGCTTTGTATTTTTTGGTTTGTATTTTTGATGGACTTTTGACCTTGAATACTGTTCATTATTTCCATATAGGTTTCATTCACCTGTGTTATTAAACACATTTAATGTACCAGAGCTTTTCGTGAGTTTCAGTCTACATGGTGAGTAAAATGTTTGAAACACTAGTTGGCATGCAGTCTCCACATACTAGGTGATTAGGAGTCGTGAAAAACTGAGAAAGATTTTAATATTCCTGTATATAACATGTATAATGCTTACATATTCTGTGATATTGTCGTCCCGTAGCCTATAGTCCTGTGGGAAACTTCTCTTGTCCTGAAGTAGACAAACAGAACACCGCTTACCATCCCCTGCTTTCCATAGGATCTCACAGAGGGCGCCAATCAAAGACCGCTTCCGCTCAAACTCGGTAGGCTTCAGAGCACTAGGAAGAAAACGTGACTTTGCCTCACAGGTTGCAACTGTATCTTACATATATCATAGTTATGCCTCCTCCTTCCTTTACCTCAACATAACATAAACACCACATATGTTGAAATTGTAATTTATTGATGAAATAAATCTTGATATTTATGTGAATAATATTTAAAACAAATCTCTCTTCTCACATAATCTGATGTACAGCATTTCTATTTTATGAATCGGACAGATGTTGCATAATCCCACTTGTTTGTCTGTCATCAAAACTTTAACCTTGGTTACTTGTTACTGAATTCACTGAGTTTACTGAATATTGTGTCGAAAAAACACTCAATCGAGTTATGATTTATTAAGTTTTTAATTTCGATATTTTCTCATCTGCATTGCAGGTGACAAACTGTTTTCCCTGTACATGTACTGTGAATTTTTAGCTCATGATCTTGAAGGTATAAAACTAAATTTTCTAAAATTCATTACCCAAAGTTGTATGAAGAGATCTTTCAAGATGTAACATTAGTTTTGCACCCCAAAAGCAGGTCACCAAAATCCTCTGCATTGACTTGTTAACATAAAATTTTTATCATATCTGCCTTGGTATCAAACAATTGGTATTTACCTTTGTGCAAGAATGTTTGAAACATATTCTCTGTCAAAGATGAGCTGTTTTATTACGTAGGCCTGCACTGCTAAAATTAGACCTCGCGATCCGCACTGAAAGGGAAAAAAAATAACTTGAAATCAAATTGAAATTTTTATTATCCTTTAGACTAAGTAGATTTGAGTCCGATTTAAGTTAGTATCGACGTGACTTAAGTATCCATGCACATGTTGGATTCATTTTTTATTGGTACAAACAATACAGATTTGTATTGCTGTTTAAATGCTTAGAATTTCACTCCTGTATTGTCGCAAATTGAAACAAAAATATAGTATTGGTACTGAAAACTCTGCAACTTTTTTGTTCGTGTAAGCATTATTGGTAGGGTATTTTTGTAAGTGCGCTGACGCAAACAGTGATGCCGAACTTTAAATATGGTAACCATGTAGGAACCATAACAAATTAATGGGTCATATAACGCTTGATTTCAGCATTAAAAGACAGGGTAGAAAATAGAATGAATGAATTCTGTATTTTTACTACAGTTTAAGTTTTCTACCCAGATAACAATTTTGCAAAATACTTTCCAATTAATGATGTATCCATAAAAAGCTAATATTTCATAGTTGTTCCATTTATAATCAACCAGTTTAAACCTACATATGCATTAAAGTAGGTTTATTAAATTTTTAAGTCTTGTGAAAAAATCAAAATTTTAAATTGTAGCACATTTCAATGCTAATAAATGTACATTTACATTTATCCTTCAATAATTCTAGATAATTTTCAAATCCATAAATTATATGCTCAATAATGTTTTGCAATGGTTAAATAGGTATTCATAATATGATATTATAGTTTTCCAAATTCGTTCAAAATATTCACAGATAAATTATAAAATACATCAGACACTTTGATCCAAAAAGTCTACTATATTAATGCAGAATTAATATATTTAACATTTTTGATGAGATAGAAATTTAAACTCACCCTCTGTGTTTGTAATCCCCAGGGGTAGGGACTCGTGGGGTCCTGGAAAGTGAATGACGACTTCTTCCATTCTCTACAAAATGAGTGGACTGTCGAACCGTGAAGGATCTCTCTAACCAACTGTAAATCAATTCAAGGATTATTAAAGTATTTTTTAAATAGGCTAAAATAGTGTTTTTAATTTTTCATTAACATCAAAAAAAGATTGGACAGTGTGTCTATCCTTTGGATTTCGGATTTGTTAAACTTATACAGAATATCAAGAAATAGAAAAAAAAAATATCTGTGTTTCGTGAAGAGGAATTATCCTAATTAATCGCTATATATCATACTGTACATGTACAAATAATCTTACCGTTGCTGTGTGAACCGTTATGGGCGTCCCACCTAAATTTCGTCCCGATCTGGGGCGGACCAAACTTCCATCTGAGGGTAGAATTAACGAAATTTCCGTCATTGTTATTTATCCTCCTTAAGTTACAGGTATATATACACAGTACTACATGTACTAACACAAACAGATACTAGTAGGACTCCAATGTGCGCCATCAAGAAAGTCAATCTATGAATTTCAATTAGAATAATGGAAGATACTGTGGTGAATTCCGATACAATTTAATGATGAAACCACTGAAGCAAGTCAGATAGGAATCAGAGCAAATTATCTTATTTAAATTATTTACGCAATTTAAAAAATATAGACTAAAGTCCATCCTTTTCTCTGAAGAAAGTGCAACCGCGTCACCTCGCACGTGTAGATTCATCCATTTCCGCCAGCATTTAAAAACTTCTGATGATATTATTTCTCCAATGGGGAAAATATCCAATACTTCATTAATAGGGAGAGAGAGACAGCAAAGAGCGCAATTTCAATTTATCAATCTTATTCTGTCAATTGCACAAATGGAACTTTTACAAGGTATTATACAGATTAGAATATTGACAAACTTTCCTGGCTATTTGTTACAAGAGTTTGCGCAGTTTTTTTTATTGTAATGGTATGTTTTTTGTTCATTTCATTCTGCAAAGACTAATGTTTATTTTATGTAAAATGATAAATTGTTTAAAAATGCATTTCGTTTTATGAGCTATCAAGTGCTGAAGTGATTTTTCAGAATGTCAATATTTCATACCATAAAACACTATATAGAGTCTACGTCATACAAATTTTATGTCTAAATTTATATAGCTATATAATGTACATAATTATGTAACCAAAAATGATTTATTTCAAGCCTCATAATGTTTGTTTTACAGATATGGAACATTGCTAAATGATGCTGTTTTAGTGCATGTAAGAATGGAGAGTGGGAAAAAAAGTAAATGAAAGTGCAGTGTCTAAAAATTATTCCTTGCGGTATATAAACTCGAAACTAATTGTAGCACAAATATCATGTTTCTTTATATAAGGTATTTTTCCAGAGCAGCTATTACAGAGCTTTTTTCTGGCGCTCTTTTCAAATCTTTATTAAAGGCTTCCTGGTTTTCTAAATTAATTCGCATAAGTTTTTCTCTCTCTCTCTCTCTTTCTCTCTCTGTGTAAACTTACCTTTATTGAGATGAACTTCAGGCCAAGATTCTACGTAGAACGTCTTCACTCTCTGTGTAAGTCTTGTCGCTTTTTCATCGTCGGCTGCAGGACTGTTGAATCGAACACGCCTCTATTAATAAAAATTGCGAGAAAATGAAACGATTTCTGATTTTGGCTATTCTTTTTCTCGATTCTGATATGTTTAATTTATCGCCATCTTACACTGCATTGTATTTTCACATCTGCCCTATCCATGGTAATATAAACTCTTATTTCGTACATATACAGAAATTAATACAGTTTCAATCCCTGAAACTTTTTAAAAAAATGAAATTAACAAATAAACTCTGCAAAATTTTGGAGCAGAATATATATATATATATTTTCCATATTATCGATGTTCGGAGATCGGTATTGAAGAACACCCCCCTTTCTTTTTAACTTCTGAATATGATTTTACATTAAAGCATCTCAAATTAAAAAGAGTGCAAATTTTTGAAGTTATCTTTTTGTCTTTAAGCTTCATTGCACAAAGTCCTTCACAAATATATATCTGATTTACTGGCAATGAATATTGAATTTTTTTTTATTTCCAAAGCATACATGCAGAGATAATAGTTTTTAAAGTGAGTTGATAAGAAAGACGTGCATGTTAAATTAATTAGCCTTTGTGAGATAAAATCCTAGAAATACGAGTTATCACAATATTGATTATATAAAGTGTATCAAATTATATTACGGTAGTCATGAGTAGTATATTATGATATTTTCCAGATTTCTTTAAATTCTGCAACTATTAATTGATTAATCGGTGTTTTCACGGGTTGGGGTGAAAATCGACACCTTTTAGTTCTGAGTTTAAGGAGGCAGGGTACATCGATTTCTGCTATCTTCCGTTTGCTAAGCACTCTTGACTTGAAGTAATATCAAGTGATTTCTACAAAAGCTGAATTATATCAAGTCAGGTCTCTGATAGTGCAGCTTTATTACCTTTTAATCTTCCTGCAAGAATACAGGACCATTTTATTGCTGAAGTTTTAATCAATACAACCAGAAACTTGAAGAACAATGGTGTGGCTTGACTACGTTGAACCACTGTTTTATAAAGAGTGTGGGTGAACTATTTGCACTTTGTCAACGAAAATTTCGTTTATTAAAACAGAAGTTCTAAAGTATGATTTCTATTTAAAAGACAACAAAACGTTTTTCTGGCCAAATACATGTAAATTTTTTTTAAATTATTTTAAGTGACAAGGAGTTTGGGCGATCAGCTACATGTATGGACAGACTTGAGACAGTAAAGTTTTGCGAGAGATTTGGGGGTAAAACCACAGCATTCAGTGATCTGTGACAAAAAAACCCCTTCAGATCTACATGTTTTAAGTAAATAACATAGTATGAAAAAAAAAATAAGAGAAAAAGAAAAAAAAAATTATTTGTGAAGTTAATTAGAATGTGGGTGCAAGATTCAATAATAAAAAGAATACGTACATGAACACACTTTACGTCCTGTAAATTTGAGGCAAATTTGAAAAATTCTGATCTCAAAACATGGCATGTGTTAAAATGAAATTTGAAGTAAAAAAAATAGTATGTTAACTGATTTTAAATTGACTAGGCTTTCACCAAATTTATTATTAAACATAAAAATGTAATATTAGAAGTACGAAAAGCCTTAAATATATACTTTTGTGCATTTAATACAAATTTTTATTGTTTAAAGAATCGATTATATTCAAAGTTTTCTCCTGCAAAACTATCTGCAAAGAAAATATTTATTTAGAATTAAATGGCATTATTAATGCACAACTGCCACAGTGAAATTAAATAGACCGGTACATTCAATGCCAGGAACATACTGATATTTTTAAAATTAAGTCTAGATCACCAACTTGCAAAGGTACTGATTTGTTGTCTTTATGCCCCGGGATCGAAAGATCCCTGGGGTATACTGTTTTTGTCCTGCCAGTCTGTCTGTTTGTCTGTTGTTAACATTAACCTTGCCCATAACTATTGTACTGTCAAGGGTAAGTGTATACCACTTCAGTCTAGTCGCACTCCAGAAATGAATTGCCCTGTGTTTCACAAACACATCCTGTTTTTCTTTTTCTTTAATATAAGATGTTTGACAATGCCAAGCAAAACATGAACAAGGGGAATTTATCATCATACATAATAAAACTAAGGCATAAAATGAGAATTTATTGAAAATTGGGTTTATCATTTTTTTTTTTATAACACATCATGTACATATGATTGTTACCTAAGAATTTAATGAACAAAATCCATAAACAAAAGTGGGGCTTTCCTGAATTCTGCCATCGTCATTTTTGGTAAAGGATTAATTTTTTTTTCTTTTTTAAAATTTTTCAGCTACCTACAGTTTTAGATCATATAACTTGGCACACAAGTACCTTAAGATTTTGTTGCATCTTTTTGTTTACAAATTGAAGGATTTTTATCCTTCGAGGACCCATGCTGTAAGATTACTTTTTAAAATAATTTACATGACTTTCCTTTCTAACAAAATTTTCTTGCAAACAAATTTATCGAATTAACAATATATTAAATTGAAATAGACTGCAAAATTATATAGGAAATTCAGTTACTAAAAATAGAAATTTCTGTGAAATGTAACTGCATCTCCTTCAGCCGATCAATATAACTTGGCACACAAGTCCAGAAGGTGCATCAGATTTTTTTTATTTCTGAACGGTGTTGCCGTGAATAAAAACATTGATTGACTGCTCTTTCAGTTTTGTCCTTGGGACTAAGTTGAATCCTTTTTGATCATGAAGATTTTGAGTAGTTTGTTTTCTGTGAAATTCTCTCTCTCAGCCCCTACAGTTTTGGTCTGATTTCAATATAACTTGGCACACAGATAGACCCACGTGTCTTGTTTGCATCCGAGGCCATTCTTTTTCATTTTACAACTCACAGTGTATATCCACACAAGTGATATTTAATTCTGTGCATCGGTTTTTGTAAAACAGTGTTGCCAACAAAAATATTTCTGTAATAAACCAGCATTTTCATTGCTTTTATAACTTGGCACACAAGTAGACTACACTAAGATACATAATTCTGTGCATCAGTTTTTTTTATTTCGAAAGGAGTGAAACAGGAAAAATTTCTGGAAATTGTTTCAAAATGCTGCTCTAATTTTGTTATTTTAATATAACTTGATCTACATGTACATAATTCTTTGCATCGGTTTTTGATTTCAATGAACGGTGTTGCCATGGTTACTAAAAGTGGAAATTTCTGTGAAATTGTTTCAAAATGCTAACAAAAACAAAAACTTACACAATACATTAAGGTACATAATTCTGTGCAAAAAATGCATTAAAATACATTTTTATTGAATTGCTAAAAAATCAATAATTGAATTTTAAAAAATCTTGATTTTATGGCCTACCTTAGATTTTTTTCTTGGTTTACAAACTGAAGGATTTTTATCCTTCGAGAATTTAAAGTTAAAAAATTTACATGACTTTTTTTAAAAATTTTCTTGCAAACAAATTTATCGAATTAATAATATATTAAACTGAAATAGACTGCATAATTATACAGGAAATTCCGTTACTGCACAACTGCACTTTTTTTGGTTGTCCACATTCCAGAAGTCAGATTTTTTTTAAATTGATTGACCTACTTATCCTCTAAGTTGAATCCTTTACAAATATATTGTTTAACTTCTCTCTCTCAGCCCCTGGGGATGATAAACCCACGTTCTTTACAGCATCCGAGGCCATCCTTTCATTTTACAATTCACATATATATCCACTATGATATTTACGGCATCGCGTATCTGTAAAACATAACTAAAAATGAAATAAACCAGCATCTCCATTGCTTTTAAAGGTAAAGATCTCGAAGAGGGGAAAACAGGAAAGGATGAAATAATAGCCTAATTTTGTTATGATTTGATTATTCACATCGTTATTAAATGATCAGTGTTAAAATACCAAACAAGAAAATTTAAAATGACAATAAAAAATCCATTAAAATACATTTCATTCAATTGCTATAAAATTAATAATAGAATTTTTGAAATCTTGATTTTATGGCATTATCGATCAGAATTTATAGTTTTAAAAAAGATCGATTTATTTTAATTCTTCTGGAAATTTTACAGCTGAGTTGATAGGCACAAACATCTATTCTACCGGTTTTATATACAGACATAAGTACGAAGCATCGGAAGGAAAAGCTTATGTGTGAAACTCAAACAAAAAATTAAGAGAAATATTTAGCTGTAGTTAAAGATTTTTATCACATAAATTATCTATGTAAATTTAGACTTTCCTGTCTCAGGTTGCAAATCTTGAAATGGATTGGATATATATGAAACCCCATAAAAAATTAAAATATCAACAAATTAAAACCAAATTTCCAGACTGGCAGATATAAACAATTGGAAATTTTTTTTTGTTTTCACATATGAGCATCTTTACTGCTGTCAACTATCATGTCCTGACTTAGAAAAATCATTTCATATTTGTATTAGTTTTAAAATTTGATCATTTTTGTTTATCTTTATATGGAGCTCGTCTTCTAAAGGAGATCGAAATAGTCTAAAAATGGCCACGACCACCCAGCCCCTCTACATCCATAATATAGTTCGTTTTGAATTAATTTTTAACTTCTTTCATAGCATTGCATATCATTTTACGTGCAAAGGCGTATGAAAATGAATCGAACCTAGCTTGAACACATGGAAGGTATATATGCATCTATGTGTGTGTACTTTGTTCAAAGTTTTCTCCAAGCACTGTGCCAGGGTACATGTACTTCTGGTAAAACCCTGATTGATACAATGTTAAAAACCCTATCGAATGATACTTTAAATGAGTTTTACAAATTGTCATATTTAAAAAATAATCGTTATCAATTACATGTGTAGATTATTGAGATATTAGAAATGTCATAAGTTAGGACAAGGAAATTAAGGCACATGTATGTACCATCCATTCTTTAATAAATAATTTTATAGGCTTCTAAAAATCCATTTCAGTCTAACTTTGCCGAATTTAGTTTGTTTTCCTTCTGTTGAGTACAATTTTAACCACAATTACAGTCAATGTGCTACTAAGAATTATATATAACTTCAGATTGTCTACCTACACAGGTACATGTACATAGCTAAACGTGCTAAATAATTATTTTAAAACATGCAGCCTTGTACAGTGTATGTGTGTTCATTCAATCCACCAATATGCATCAAATTTATACCAGTTTATCATATATTATAACGTGAACTTGAAATAATTGAGGGAAAGTCAAATGCAGTATTGTGCACTGTTCAAATATAAAATTTAGATCCGCGCGCTAAATTGTCCCAGAAGATCACGCGGAACAGGTCGCGGGACATATCACAAAAGCTAAAGCTAGGGAATATTTCGCTATGTTACAAAACGTTTTACTTTTAAAATAGCAAAATCATACTATACCTTATTCTTTTTATTTAAGATTTAGAAAACTCCGTTAAAATCAGTAGTAAAATTATGAAAAACCGTCATCACTGTAGGTCATTTCATGGGCACGTCATGTTGTCAAAGACGCTTTGTGACCTCTCGGAAATACTCGGGCGTTATCATACACCCTCACAAATTATCTCATTATTAATAAAACATTTAGCTAGCTTCTGATTAAACATGAAAAAAAAAATTTAACTTCCAACTCAAATAAAATTGAAGAAAATAACACCATTTTACAGTTGGAATAAAATAGAATTATGTATAGATGTACTGGTAGACAATCATTGTTCGGGATCGTTATTCAGAATATATCAATTAAAAACATTGTAAGTGTAGGAAACTAGGAGGGTGGGGTATGTGATAGAGGAAAACAAATGAAACTAGCAAGGACAAATCAATGACATTAAGGGAAATTCTCACATCAACATCTGTTATCTAACTTTCATCTCAAAATGCGACCCAAAATAATACAATGGCTATTTTTAGCAATTTAAAAATAGTTTTATATACACTGACACATGTTTAAAATTGGAAATCTAAACAATTAATAATTGGTGATATACCTATACTTAGTGCAACCTGATGGCGACAGCAAGGTGTATGGTGAGTTTGTAATTGCAGTACTTGCTACTTACTTGGTTTGCAAGACATAGAAAGTTTGGGTTTTTTGGAATTTTATTTGCAAGATGAGAAAAAAATTCTTTATTTTGAGTAAAATTTCTAGGAAGTGTTGTTTTCTATATGCCTTGGTATTTATTCCTAGGTCCTGAGTCCTGAGGTACAACATCAGATACAGGCAGTAGTGTACGGACAGTGTGCGGGGGATGCTATTGGACTGTTGACAGAATTCTTAACCAAACAAGAGGCTAAACAAGTAATTATAAACATACACTATTTATTATCTATTCCTTGAATTTTAAGATCTATGGAACAACCTTTTAATAGACATAACACATTTCACAGTGCCATTTACATTTACAGTTCAGGCAGCTTTGATAATTTGGAATTACAAACATACTGAGATAATATATAGGATTTTCAATTGAACATATCATGTAAGGTTAGGGGAAAGGGTCTCAGTTTTGCTTCAGGGGTATCACTATGGCACTTTTTGAAAAGTTTTACATGTGCTTTCAGTATTATGGAACATTGAAGAAAAATTTGGAATACCAACACAAAGTCATCGTTGGTGACTTTCACAGAACACGATGGAAGGAGGGTGATTGGACAGATGACTCAGACCAAATGATCCTCATCCTGCAGTCCATCACAGATAACAATGGAGAGGTAATTACTGAGTCTTGGAATTACTGATTAACAGATATCAATGAAGAAGTGAGTAAGGCCATCTTTAAAAAAATGTTTGGTTGCCCCTCCTGACCGTCTGACATCATCATTGGCCCAACTCAAAACTTTTTTTTTACATTCCAGGACACAATGTATTTTTTTCTTTATTTATTCTCTTGTCCCATCAACAAATATGATAAAATTTTATGGAAAAAAGGTTTTCCTAACCTATCTACTGACCTAATAATTTGACCCTGAGTCGGGAGAGGGCAAGCAAACAATATCTTAAAGATGACCTAACTTTCAAGTAAACTACAGACTCTCAGGTGATATGAAAGTGTCGTGAAAGTGTATGATAATTCTAATTTGAATTAGTTTTTATACAATGATTCTAAATTGAACTTTATTTTAAGATTAGATTTGTTAGTCATGTAGTATTTTAAATTTTCATGCTTTTCAGACTCTTTGTTTGATATGATATAAATGGTGTGTTTTAGGTAAATTGTAAAGACATTGCTGGTCGACTGAAGGAATGGATGTTAAAGGGAATACCAGAGCTGGGGGACGCTGGGGGGCTGGGGATTGGACGAACTACACACTCTGTCCTCCACCAGAGAAACTTTTTAGATGATCCACATGCTGTATGTATCAGTTAGATTACTATCTGCAGTTTAAGCAAAACTGGCAACCAAATATAAACTAAAAATAATGAACTACATGCATCCGCTTGATGAACCAATCATAAAGAATTTCTATATTTTATTTATTGATAATTTATTCATGAAGTTTTTGATTTATCAGAGAATAATGGCTGCATTATCTTTTTGATCTTTGTGACAACCACAATAGAATAAGGCAAAACAAAGGATTACTATTAAATAATATGGTACTTTGATTTTATTTATTGTTCCAGGCCTCTGAGCATGTGTGGAGAGAAAGCCAGTGTTACCTGGCACCAAATGGAGCGGTGATGAGGACTTCGATTTTAGGGGTACATAGATTTGATGATCTGGAACAAGTGGCCAAAAATGCATCTGATGTAGCCAAGGTTACACACTATGATCCCAGGTTTGTCTGTCTTATAATGTAAAAAATCAAAATGTGCATTTATTGTCTTCAGTTGGTTGGCATTATTTTTTTTCACTGGAAAAAGTTTTATTACATTTTATTCCGTACAGAAAATTAATGTTAGACTGAAGTTAAAGCACTACCTTCGAGAGATTTATTTACGCCAGGCGTTTCTTTTCGTAGTTTTTTCAAATAATTATCAAGAGAAAAAATAAAAATACACAATTCATACAGCTATGATAATTGATTTTTGTCGGGATTTCAGATGTCAGGCTTCCTCAGTTGCTGTGTCTGTTGCCATAGCAATGATGTTACAACGAAACAAAAAACACCTGGACAAGGCGGGACATTACAATATCAGCCTCATTATCAAGGATGCTTATGACTATGCCGTCAAATACCTCGACAATGAGGAACATGTGAGTTCTTTTTTTTTAATCCGACTTCATAACCCTGTTTATAATTCAAAACTTAGGTATTGCTATCTTCTATGACTTTTTGAAGACTTGTTTGATCACAGAAAGGAGCTGTAGGTGTCCTATTACTCTGTTTCTTTTTTTGTACCATATCTGCTGTCACTGTGGAATTATCAATGTTCGTGGGGGGACTAATGTTTGTGGATCACCCTTATCAACAAATTTACAGCCCCATGAGGAAATGTTTTTGTCAACATATTTATTCATTGAATCATCTGTATATACGACTTACCCACAAAATTACGTTGGATTCCTAAGAACCAACTTAATTTTGCTTGCCTATGAACATTGACCCCCCACTAATTAAAATGATTCTACGGTATCTGTTTAGTCACAGTATTTTTTTTTCAGGACTGTACTATAGTAGTATGTTGTTTTTCGCAAACAATAATACATATTTCATATCAAGATTGACTCTATATGTAACTTTCATGGGCCATTGAATCATGGGATACATTGAAATTAAAGGAATGGAAAAAGAGAGATAACTTCTTAAAATTTTTCTATTTCTGAAGATATGTAATATCTCATCATAACTTTCCATACTTTTAATATTTTCTGTAGAAAACAGAACCCCTGGCAAAAAAAAAGAGATGTTTCTTACAATTTAATTACTTCTTGTAGAAAAAAGAACTTCTGATGTATATGAAATGTACGGACATTAAGAAACTGGAGCTTGATGAAGCAGGGAAGATTGGCTACACTTTTAAATCAATGGGGTCAGCTTTTTGGGCACTCAAACAGAAAGATTTCCGCAAGGCAATTACCAAAATTGTAATGCAGGTAAGTTTCAAGAGACACTTATATTTTTGGTCTAATTGTTAAACAGTTTGCCATTGAAGCCTGCAATGTAATGTATATGAAGATACCATGAATTTTACTTTTAGGGAGGTGATGCAGATAGCAATGCCTGTGTAGCTGGTGCAATGTTAGGATGTAAACTTGGTCTAGAGGCCATTCCAAAGTCATGGAGGGGAAAATTACTACACAAAGATTGGCTTGATCAACAAATATCTAGGTAAGGCATGGCAAAGAAATTGGGTCAAAATATTTGTAGGTATTAAGACATAGTTACAAATTTGAAACAACAGGTAGCTCAGTTTTGTTTAAGAAGGCATGACTGAACACTTAAATTGGATAAGCATGGCTTTGTAATTAGGTATAAAAGATGCTGTGTGATTAAGATCATTTTTGAATAAAATATTGTTTGAATTATCAAGGAAAAGGAACACCAGCCCAGATTCACTATAAATGCATGTCATTACATGTACCCAATGTATCTTTATATTTATTCATTGTAGGTATTTCACAATGATAAATGAAGGAACCACAGAAAAAAAGGAAATACCGTCACAGAATGCAGAAACGTAGACCCATAAAAAGGTTGATTTAACTTATTTAAAATGTGTAGTGACCATCATATTTACAAAATGAAGAAAAGCTACAGAATTGTTTGATAAATTTATACTTGAACACATAATACGATTATAATGTTACCACCTGATATAAAATAATTAGAATAGTTTCATTTGTATTTAAAATTTGGATTACAGTGTTTATTTCAATTGCCTTCCTTGGCCAAATGCAGATTTTTGTTGTATTAACGTCAAGGCTGTAACTAGGCTCAAATTTTTAGTGAGGCAAGGGTTCTGGCCAGTGATGCGGCTTAACAGGGGGAGGGGGATCCTGAAACCTGGGTATAGAAAATAAAAGATTTTATCCTTATAAATATTTTACGTTTGGAATTGTCGCCCGCATGACACAGTGGTTAGAGCTCATGCTCTAGATAGCTAGAGTGGCACACTAAGGAGTTGATCCTTACATCGCGGGTTCGAATCCGACTGCGGGATATGGAGACTGGTCCTTCGGATGAGACCTCAAAAACCGAGGTCCTAAATCTTCCTATGTCACAGTAAGTGATGGCACAAAAATGATCTCTCTCTGTTCAATTATCTTCAGTGACCCTGAACAGATTTAAAACTTGCAGCCCTCCACCGGCAAGTAGTGGTGTCTCAATACGAAGGAAAATTTTTAGAAGGGATGTTAAACAATCAAACAATTTACAAAACAAACATTTTGAATTATATTTTCCAATGATGCATTCTAAATGAAAATGAGGTAACCTGGTGAGATCAAAAATATACAGAAAATGAAACAAAAGTTCAAAATATTTATATAGCACGAAGACACACATAATTTACGAGTTCAATGAAAAACTTTTCACTTTTCAGAAAACTCTTAAAATTTAGTGAGGCATTTGCCTCACTTGCCTCAATGGTAGTTACGGCCTTGAACGTGCCATTTGTTTTTTTCTGAACTTAAAAATAAACATAACACCTGACCTAGAAGATAATACACATATGATCATGTTAATATGTAAAAGGCATTCAATATTATTCATTAACTTATATAGTGTTTTTCAACTTGTGCTTTTTCTTATTTTACACATGTTCTGTATCCTGTTAATGACAATATAGCTTAAGTTACGGGTACTCTTCAATTGCCATTTTTTTGTCAAAATTTAAAAGTTTACATTATCACATCTTCACAATGTTAAGGTTTAGCGATATATTTCCTCTCACAAATCCTTGACAAAGTCACTGTTTTAAAGTCTGGTTAAATTGCTACTATGAAGTATTTTGTATTTCATTTGTTCCTGATCTACATGTAGCACTATAAATGAAAACAACTTTTATTTTAGGAAAATTTTGTAAATAAATACAACTTGTCTTATTCACCAGTAATGTGGGATTTGTCCTCTAGTTACCTCAAATTAAATATCGGAGTTTGATTTTTGAAAAATCCTCCCAAACACAATTTTAAAAGATATATGTTGTGGCTTCGCGCCACTTAAAAAATATGGATTTGAAAGATATATTCTCATTGGTTGGTTTATAATTAACCTTATGTAACCCCAAACCTGACTTTCACATAGCATTAAGCAACTTGTGAACTTCTGTCAAGATTGTGAAGATGGCATTATCAGTGATGTATGTGTTTGTATCACATTGACATACCCAATATATAAAATGCTATGTTCTTTAGTATTAAAAAGAGTTATTTTAGGGGAAAAGAACTGAAATTAAATACCAGGTATTATATATCCTAAAGGCTAATACATATTTATAGACATAAGAATTCCTTTAAAATGTTTATTTTTGTTGGAAATCTATATTAGTACATTACTGTGTCATTTAAATGTTTCTTTCTTTGTAAAAATGTCACTGCTATGATTTAGGTAAAAAAAAATATGGTCACTCCAAAAAAGTGTCTTCATTTTATAATTTTTTCTTTAGATTCCTCTGTTTATTCCAAACTTTCATGTTAACATGTATGTCAGTATGGCATTATACACAATTTTGTAAGGGGACAATCATTAGAGAATGCATATTTAAAGCTGTGTGTTTTGTTTTATTTTTAAAGGGTGCAATAAATTGCTGCCATGTTTTATACAAAGCTAGCTGCTGCTGTTACCAAATAAAATAATTAAGTTACAGGATTTTATTGTGAAATACATTGTAATTTTGAATAAATGCTTATAATGATTTATGAAGTCAATTTTTGTCATTTGGTGATAAACGAAGGCAATCAGAAGATAGAGCTCACCTCAGCAAAACTGTCTTGCAAAGTTACTCATTAAGAAAATGTAGGTTAAGTCCAGCACCTAAAACAATTTTTAGAGTATTTTTGGTCATGAAAAAACTGAATAACCTGTTTTCTAGCTGCACAACTAGCGTTTTGGCTTATTTTTAAGTGTTTTACTACATATTTAAATACTACATATTTAACAATTCAAACTCATCTGGAAAATGTAGGTCAAATCCCGTATCCAAAGCAACTCTGGTAGTGTTCAGCAATAAATGTATCTTCATGATCAGTGCAAAGTTGGTACCTTAGCATAGGGCTTGTAGTAGATCTCGCATCCATAGCAAGCCTTACTTACGTAGTGTGCATCCTCAGATGACTTGTTTGGTCAATACACTAAAACTCGGTTATAATGAAGTCACAGGAACCTACGAAATTACTTCACTATATCCATAATTCGTAATATCCGTATAAGGCATTCATTTAATTCATATACTTGGGGATCCAAGATAACTTCGCTATATCCATGAATTCGCAATTGCAATATTCGTGTTCGTACTAAATGAGTCTTACTGTAATAGGGCTTGAAGTACCTGAATCAGCTCAAATTAAACTATTGGGGAGAAGCATTTTGAACAATATGTGTTTGTGAAGCACTGATTCTCGCATATGACAGCTTAAATATGGCGAAGATTGAAATTTTTGAATTGCGAGTCAAAATCCAAGGTCAATGACAAAAGGTCAAAATTGTTAATTTGTATCCATAAAGAGTACGTCTTATCACAAGAAATACACCTGTGAAATATAAAAGACTTAAGTATGAAGTTTTTAAAAAGTGTGTCACAGGCACGTAGCATCGTTTTTGAACGTGGGGGGGGCAGACAATTATTTTTTTACTTTCCTGCAAAAAAAAAAAAGCCCAAACTCGAAAACCCTATCCTGTATAGGCTTTCGTAACTGGTAAAATGAGTACCTATATCATCTTGCAAAATAATTTTTTGGGGGGAAGGTTGAACTTTTATGAAACAACATTTAAGTCATTACCTTGACAAAAAACTTTAAATTTTGAAATAATGCTTCGTATATATTTATAGCACCGCCGAATCTGTTTCTTATTCGGAACTGGTCAAACAACTGTACCTATGTGAAGTATGAAAACCCTTGGTTCAACTGTTCAAAAGTTTTGGCCAAGGTTAATGTTGATATCTTTTTGGTAAAACTCCATATGGTCAAGACCAAGAGGTCAAATGGTGGTACCCAAAAGAAAGGTCTTATCAAAAGGAATACATGTATCTGTGAAATATAAAAGTTCATTCATGTAGCTCCAATCAATCAATTTGTTTTTTTATACAATTATTAGATTTATAGCTAGAATTTGACTAGGACTTATATTGGCCTTTAAAAAATTGCACTATATCCTTTTTTCTTGACTGCCGAATAGTTCCTGGAACGGGTGGAATTTTTTTTTTTCAAGCGTGTTAAAGACGTTGACAAAGATATTACCCGCCATATTTGACTGATTTGGTTTGACAAACTAAGTCTAAGAATCTGCAGTCTTCAGCGATGACTAGTGACAATAAACAACATAAATTCAAGAGATCTGTGTATTTTTAGTCAAAAGCCTACACAGAATTCGTGTCACTCTGTTCATATGGCCTATGGAATTCTTTACAGGTGTATGATCCCTGACGTTGCACTGATTGAAAGATGGCAAGTAAAAAGCAAAAGACAGCAGAATACACGTACACAAAGCTTGCTGACCTACAAGCAAACAGTATTGTCAACGTGTTTGGTGTTGTTAAATTTGCCAGACCGCCAACGAAAACGCGAGGATCAGGTATAAATTTACTGATCTGTTTCACTGAACATGATGAAGTACCTCATAACTTGGTTCACCATTGAAAAATGTAAAGGATTTTATATTATTTCTGAATTTTCTCAAAAATAAAAACAATGCTTTTCTTGTTACAATAAGTACATATTGAATTTACCATTAATATGGTAAATTCAGTGCAAAGTTGGTACCTTAGCATAGGGCTTGTAGTAGATCTCGCATCCATAGCAAGCCTTACTTACATACATGCCAACTTTTGAAAATTCCCATGGGGGATTTAGCGCGTGACGACAATTTTCAAAGCTTTAAATTCGCGACATTTTGTCGTGAAATTAAATGATTATGAAATGATTTTTTTTTATTTATAATATTGATATCACTTATCAATAAAACTCAAGGATTAATTTACCACAAAAAATGTTTTTCTTTCCAAAATTGAAATATTTTTGCTAAAATACTGGTGCCTCTCTCACTAAAGAAGGGGTATTTAGTTACATATATATAAACAACTTTTTTTCTACCAGGACAGAATTTAGTGAAAAATTGAAAATTGTACAACTTTAAAATCATTTTTTTCAAAGGCTAAAAATAAATGAGGTGTTGATACTGTAAAGTCCTGTTTCTAGAAACATTTTTTTATTTATATTTCAATTAATTAGAAATTTAATAAGATATTAAATTTACAGAAATTTATACCACCTATCCAAAACAGAATTATTTTTTTTTTTATAGTCATGAAATTTGTCAGGCTTGATGGTGCCATGTGGGTATTTCCTTAAGTCATGCACATAGATCTACCTAACATATTACTTTTGGGAGAAGGGAGGGAAAAGAAATTCTAATTGACATACACTTGATTGTTTCATCTTAATTTTTTAATAATATTTTAACTGGCAAACTTTACAATATTTTTCATTTTTTTCATTATAGGTAGATAAAATCAGCAGCTATGTTTTATTAGTTTTCTACTTTCGTTTTCAAAAAACGATCTCTTTGGATTCCGTTTTTATTGTTTGATTTGCATTTTATTGTCTTTAATTTATATTTTTAATAAAATGACAAACAACTATCTTGTTAATCTATGTGTTTCACCTTGCATACCCTTTAAAACTAACAAGATATATCCCTAATTGCCCCAAGCTATAAGCTTCTTGCTCCAGTGGACAACTTCGTGCGTTCAAGCGTGAAGTGATTTCCTGTGTCTAGGCCTAATTAACATCTGGTTAAATAAACAATGAAACTTATCTGTGTGCATTGAATAAACAAGTCTGACATTGTTATCCCGATTGTCAAAATTCAGCGGTAGGGAATTACTTTTAAAATCGGAAATTTTGGTGATTTTTTTTTCAAATCGGGAAATAAGGGCAATTTTGCTTTCCCGATCGGGAAGGCGGGATGAAAGGGTAAAATCGGGAGGATCCCGCCTAAATCGGGAAAGTTGGCATGTATGTACTTACGTAGTATGCATTCTCAGATGATTTGTTTGGTCAATACACTAAAACTCCGTTATAATGAAGTAACAGGGACCTATGAAATTACTTCACTATATCCATAATTCGTCATATCCGTATAAGGCATTCATTCAATTCATATACTTGGGGATCCAAGATAACTTCGCAATATACATGAATTAGCAATTGCAATATTCATGTTAATAGTAATACTAAACCGTTGGGATGAGGGCACTTGTAGTTTTACCTTCAAAAATACACCAGAAACGTTGATCTACCACTTCAAAGCGAAAAACGTCACGTCGCATGACACATCTAGACTGTGACATCCTACGAGAGCTCGTCAGGATTCACAGAAACAGCCGAGCATCTAGTTGAAACTATAGACCTAGTGCAATTTTTGTTGAAAGACATTGCAGAGTTATTTTTTGTTTCTTTTAAAGATTTCTACAAGCTGAAAGCCTTTTATGCTCTATGTTTTATCTATTCGCCCAAAGGGTGTTGGGAAGCAAAGGAATTCTTGGAAGGTTTCACACAAAAATTTGCTTGACATATATACAGATTTAATTCCAAATTTCCTCTGTTCTTACATGTTAGTCTGTTGAGCTATTAACTGTTCAATTGGATTGAAACATGAGCCTCTGACAGAAGCAATTTGAAACATTCAAATAGTTTTGGGGCTAAGCCCAAATTTTCAATAGCCTTTATTATGTCTAGCCATGCAGAAAATGTTAACCCCCCTCCCCCCACACCCATCTAAGTTAACTTTTTCAGATATTTGTCAAAATGTTAATGCATGTGGCACATAAAAGTTGATAGTAATGCTGCTGGTTCTGACTTTTCCTGGCATGTAAAATATTTTAAAATCATAAAAAAAAGCCTGGGAAACATCAGATATTTCAAACTAAAAAGTTGATATCTTTTCAGATTATAGTATGGTCTTAAGCATCATAGATCCATCACTGCATGAGAATGATCAAAAGTTGAAATGTCTGTTGTTCAACAGAGAGAAAAATAGCTTGCCTTTCCTTGATATTGGTAAAATTGTAAGGCTGCATCGCCTGAAGGTATGCAAAAGTTATTAATATTTCGATTTTCTTTCTTAAATATATTTTTCTCTGGGTAACCATACTTTGACAATGCCCTTTACATAGGTAGGGTTGCTCAGCTGCTTTGATAGATAATGGAAAAATGAGTTAACATACTTGTATTATGTTTTCAGTTCTTTTAGTTTTACATAGTTAAAAACTCGTTGAAGTCATTTCAAATGAAAAGAAAACCTCCAAAATATTTACATGTAATTGCTTAATTGTCATAAATTAAATGCGTAGAGGTTTTAATCAACGTTATTTGGTTTTATGGTAGTGTAAGTGTACAATCATGTCATTTAATCAGTGTTGATTTAAGGTACATGTATATGTTTTAGAATGATTAGCTGTTTGATTAGTTACAAATGACCCTATTTTATTAGGGCCCCGCAAGGATTTGCGGGTGCCCTATAGTAATCACTCTGTCTGTCCGTCTGTCCGTCTGTCATTCTTCCGTCCACAAATTTTCTGTTTTTTCTTAATAACTTTTTTTATGGTTGCCCAATTAAGATCAAATTTGGTATGGTAGTTCAATAGGCAGAAAGACATATTTTGATGCTAAGTTTGTTTCTCTGTCTCCTGGTTTGGAGCTGGGGTGGTGGGGTATATTCTTTAACTTTATACAAGAATGCCTTGGCAAAGAGAGATAAGTGCTGAAGATGTTTCCATTGTAGACTGAATGCTGCTATGAGTCCCTTGGGATTAATTAGCTTTCCTCCTGAAGAAAATCCAAAGCATTATCTTTATCTGTCACATTGAGATTAATTACAACCCCTGTCTGCAAATGAAGTTTGTTTTGAAGTTCAGTCAATTTGAACACTCTGAAATGTGGATTTAGATATAAATGTTTATACTTTCAGAGTTCCCGAAACGCACCGGTCCACCGGGGATCCCCGGTAAATTTTGAATGGGACCGGTAAAATTTAAATTTTATCGTTCAAAATGTCCGACGGTTTTTTTTACAGACTGTATAACAATGACACATAATTTTAACAAAATCATTTAATTCAAGATTCAATCAGCGTGCAAAGCCAAAGAAATTTCAAAAAAAAAAAAAACGTCAGTGGTGCGCCAGATTATTCTCGTGCATTCTTGTTTAAATGTAGACGGTGTATGTCTACTATAAAAGGCTACATAATAAAATAATATTCTCCATAAGTCTGGAAAAAAACCCTGTCAAACAAATATTTTTCCTTCTTAATATACACTCTGTAGTTCTGACAGTAAAAAATGTGGCAATTTACTTTCGTTTTGCAGGACGAACTTTGCAGGGTTAACATGGTTAAGATCAAGCCAAGTTGCCAGCTATTTCTGCTTGATTATAGACAATTTCTTACCATTTTTATTTTCTCTGTAAATTAATTCATTAGAATTATAAATGTAAAACTAATTTTTGGATTTTTTTCCCCATGCATTTGTTAGCATTTTATACAAGCGCGTTTTTCCCCGTTTCTAAAAAAAGCGGACTAGCTGACTTCATGTAATAAAACGACAAAAATGTCACTTAAAATCATCATTTTCATGATTAATTTGCATATTTTTATATTATTAGTACATATTTCTGTATAATACATTCTTAAGTAAAACAATCAAACAAAAGACGTCATGTTGCAGATTTTATTTTAAAAATAAAATATGTCAGAAAGGACATAATTTTTATACGATGAAGCCCTGGTCATCATACACTGTCAGCGACGTCTAACCCCAGATACATAGGCCTAATAGAAAATATTTTAATGAATTAATAAAAAAAAAAAAACGTATTTGCTAACTTTTCATTTAGATGTCCTAAGGTCTTCCTGATCATGGACTACAGTGGCAAACTGGTAAGACAAACTGAATGGGAAATAGAGAGAGAGAAAAGGAATAAATTAAAGAATTTTTTTAACTGTTTGCATTACTTTTAAGTGGATTTTATTTTATCTAAAAAATTAATGTCCGGTAAATTTTACATTTGTCAGGTGAATTTTAAAAATTTACAGGACAATTGTCCGACAGATTTTTGACTAGTTTCGGGAACTCTGTACTTTATTTTGGTTAAAATACCTATACAATGAGTTATGATTTCATTGAATTCTAAAAACAAGAAATAGATTAAAGAAGACATATGTTTTATTTTTACTTTTTTTCCCTTATGTAAATTCAAGAATAATATTAATTTTTAAGGTAGTTGGATTAAAAAAAAACATTCTAATATTAATACTGAAAAAGTTCTTATTGTAATTTTAGAAGAAAATGATGAGAGAGGTACAATTAATCCCTTGGGATTAATTATCTAGCCTGCTGAAGAAAATTTAGTAGGCCTATCTTTTTCTGTCATTTTAAGATTAATGAAAACCTTTGTCTGCAACTGCTGTTTGTTTTGAAGTTAAGGTCAAGCCTTCATGATACATGTATTTGCATTCATTGAAGACTGGCATTTTATATAACACTAACATAAACTTCATTATTGTTTACATATGCATTCAATGTTAGGTTGTTCTTTACTGCCTAATGTAAATATACAAGGATCTAATTTACAGGTTTTTGGATATTTGTCAGGAATTATGTTGAAAATTTTAAGAATTGACAGTTGCCGTTGGTTATTTCTTCATATATTTTTTAATCATTCTGTAAGCTGCATCCTTTTAATTCCACCCCATGGCGGGGCCCTTGCTGACGGGTCAGTTTTCTAGTTAAATTTTAAGATTATCCAATTTCATGGAGAATGTTTTAGAATGACCTGGCTGTTTGATTAATTTTGAATGACCCTGTTTATTTATATATTAAGATTACACAGTTCCATGGAGATCTTCAGGGCCAGAGTGGACCTGGATTTTCCTGGCTGGCTTTTGATGAAGACAAGGAGTCTCCCCTAAGGCCCGTGTCATCCAGCTCTAACTTCACCTTCACAGAAAGTGACAAAAAGATGGTAAGTTTTATGCTGCCTTGAGTATATTATGTCTGCCATTTTTTCAAAGCAAAATATAGGATCTCTTTTCCTGGTGTCTGTTCCTCCATCTATCTGATAGATAGAGAGCATGTACAACATATCTAATTACTTCTACTAATTATAATTACACATAAATGAACTGAAGGTTTGTTAAGTGAAAAAAAAAACTGTTGCAATATTAGTTATCTTGAATCTTTTGAGATTGGTTTACAGTGTATTAGAAATTTACTTCAGTAAAGAAAGTTATACAGGAAGGATATAAAGAGAAAAGTCTAGAACAATAAAATGGTTATTTTGAAACATATATATTAAAGTTCACAATCTCTAAAATCATGTTAACTTGATTTGATGATTTTTGTGCTGTTTATTTTTACAGGTTGAGGAACTTCGTGATTGGGTGGCTACACTGAACGACATTCAGCATCCAAATAAAACCTGCTTTGCAGACATGAAACCTCAACAGTATTATGATATCTATTGTCAGGTAATGTTTTTATTTCTCGTCATTTTAATCAATTGCAGAAGCTAATCGTCTTTATTGTAGAACTTGGCACAAAAGAAAAAAGTGTTTGCCAGTCTTCTTAGAAAAGAGAAAAATACAGGTTTTATAAACTGTATCCTATTGTAATTTTTTTTCTTTCAAAAATTAGGGATTAAATTATCAGTGTTTAGTACATGTAATATAAATTGGACAATTTTTAGAGCTGATTATTTTATACTGAATGCAGCAATTTGTTGCACTCCTGTTTTCATTAAGAGAGTTAACTAACACTTCCAAAATGCAAGTAAATATTTATGTGTTCAATGATTTCTTCTCTAATACATTTGTAGGTCCTGGCTACATGCATTTTAGAGGAAAATGTAGGTTTTATGTTACGTGTATGGGATGGAACCAAACCAATGAAGTAAGTGTAAGTTAGCATGGTTATGGCAAAATATTGCTTGATAAACTAAAATAATGTTAGATCCCTTGGAGAAAAATGAGACAGAGCATGAAGTTTCGAAAAAGAACAGGCTAATCAGGAGACTTTGTGTCTGCTAATTCAGGAAAAATTTGAAGAAAAAGCAGATGGAGAAAAATAAATGTCAACCTTGACCTTTCAGCTTTTTGCCTTAAAGTCATAAGGGTCTTTTTAAAGAAATTTGAGACCTTGAGTTTCTTTAAAGCTTACAGAGTGCTAAAGTTAGCATTTGTAAACTATTGTAGACTTTGTTGGATTGTCTAAATTTTACAGGTGTGAAGGGACATAATTTTATGCATTCACTCTTATCTACAAAAGGAAAGATAACCTTGAACCCTAATTATTAAATCATTGAGATTGTGACTTTGTGGATGCTTGATACCCATGAATTTCACAAATATTAAGCCACCAGGAAATGAAATTACATGTACATATTACATAGTATCAATGCAATATGTAAATTTCTGATTATGGTCTTTGATTTCTTGACATGAAATCCATTTAAAAAAAAGATCATTGTAAATAAAATTTCATTGCAAATCTTAAAGAAAACTAGTGCTAATTGTAACGGGGACCGTTACAGATGTTCCCCAAACGCTCCCCAACTCCCTTTTGGTGCCATATTCCCTATAAGCTTCATTAAATAAGACAAACTCTATGCATTTGAGACTTTAACAACGTTTACCCAGAAGTGTACCAATTTCATTCAAATTTTAGCATTGCACGCATGCTCACGTGAATGCATGTGCGTAATGACCATATAATCTTGTCTTTACAATCTATAGATTTTAATATACTAAATATCAAAGTATTAAATCCAAACGTATTAAAAAATACGCTAATTCAAGTGTATTTTTTATTTTACTCATTTCACGTGCACGCACGTGCTCACATGAGCATGGTGACCATACTTTCTTGTAGAAGTCCATTACATCTATCTATGTTCTAAATCCCACCCCGTTTAGTTGAACACCAAGGGAGTTATAGCTGTTCAAAGTTTCAGCCAATCAGATTGCAGCGCACGTACATGCACGTGTATGCATGTGCATGGTGACCACGTCTTCTTGTAGAAGTCCATTATATCTATCCATTTCCAAATCCCATCCTGTTTGGTTGAAAACCAAGGGAATTATAGCTATTTAAAGCATCAACCAATCAGATTGCAGCGCACGTGCATGCACGCGTTTTCAAAATAATTGCTATATATCTTATTGTAGGATATCCTAATACATGCCTATATTCAAAATTTCAAAGGATTTCGTCAAAAAACAAGAAAGATATTGAGACTTTAGTTTCAGCCAATCAGAGCGAAGCGCACGTGCATGCGCGTGAGATCTTGCTTTTTTGACCACGTCATCTTGTCTATGCTTCTATAATATACTTCTAATATGAGTTTTAAAGCATATCATCAATAATTTAAATAGTTACGTCTGTATCAATTATATTGGACATTTCTCGTGTTGCACGTGCGAGCTCTTGCAAGCACACGTGCATGCACATGCTTTCATGATATTTCTTTTATTACGGGCTGTAGATCTCCCTAATGTATGACTATGTTCAAAATTTCAAATGATTTTATCAAAAAACAAGAAAGATATTGAGACTTTAGTTTCAGCCAATCAGAGCGAAGCGCACGTGCTTGCTCGTGCGATCTTGCTGTTTTGACCATGTCATCTTGTGCATACTACTCATATATCCTTACATTATGAGTTTCAAAACATTTCGTCTAAAAATAGAAAAGTTACTGTTACATCCATTATATATTGGTCATTTCAAGTTTTGCACGTGCGCGCTCTTGCAAGCACGTGCGCGGAAAATGACCTTGATTCCGCAAATCTACATAACATGCCTACTTACCCTAAAAAGGTTTCCCCTTAATCGGATGTGTACTTTACAAGATCATTCGCGGACAAAATTTTCCCGAGAAGAAAAATAATAATAACTAGAAACGAAACTCGTTGCGAGCAACGAGGCAACGAGGGGTCTTCCGTTCGATTCAGAAAAAACAACGTAAAATCAAACTGAAAAAGTGATTTTAAAAATCGGACACACGGGGGATCGAATCCGGGTCGCCAGCGTGAAAATCCATTGTGGTACCCATTACACCTTTGGGAACCCGCTTCAAATTTAACATTCGAATATCGCGAGATTGCTTTTTTTTATTCCAACATACATTACACTTTTTTAAAAAATTCAGTTTGGAATTGTAAAATGACAGCCAGCTTGCCAAACTTTTGTCAAGATGATCACATCGGAATTTGTAACTTGAATTTTAACAGTAATTTTTAGGATAGATAATCTATTAATGATGAACAGATGATACAGTTTTCTTTCCTTTTTTCGATATGTATTCAACTTTTTATCTCATGCAACTCCATATAAAGGCATGCCAATGTTATATATTTCTGCACTATTGTCGCCATTTGTCTACTACTAAGTCGGGTCACGATGCATTATTTCGTGCCAAACGTCACAAGTAGTTCTTAACGCTATTCCTTTGAAATGTTTGATTTATTTAATGGATGTGATAGCCTCAATGAAAATTAGAAATGTATGTTCTTATAACCAGAATTTCGAGCGTTAGAAAGTACGAGAATATTTATCTCATTATACAAATTTAATTTCGTATACGGCCAAGTAACAATAAAGCTGTGAATTCGGTAAGATTTTCCACGAATTTTGTATCCTGTTTACCCCCAGAGTGGAGATGAGTTACACGTTCATGAAAAGACTGGAATGTTTCACTGAAAAAAAAAATCACTCGCCCTCCCACGGTCAAGGAATCTGATACTATTTATGTCAATAAATTGCATTTATTACAAGAATATTCATATAACCTTTAATAAACAATCTTTTAAAAATGTTTTTCTTATTTTTGTCTTTTCTATTCATTTAATATGTCACAAGCCTGTGTAAAGAAAAATAAACAGAAGTCAAGTAATACTTCAGAAACATAGTGAATATTAAGTCAAGCAAGTTTCTTGAAAAGTATTATAACCATGGTTTAGGATACGTTTTCCCTGGTGCAAAATAAAAGACTGAAGTCATCATATTTCCACTTGTAGTCATGTTGTATTCTACTTTGAGATGCAGACAAAAGCGATTTCAATAGAAGTTTGAGGAAACCTCATGTTAAAAGTATACTCAATGCAACGTAATTGCGATGTAGCAATCAAAAGAATCCTTTACGTTTCATAAATCTTTTTGGTAGAAGTTTCGTTCATCTAAACGCTCAGCTGACCTTCTAGAACCCGACTTGCTTAATGGCAGAGTTTACCGAGACCGCCGCCATCTTGGACACGCTTCAGATTTTTAAATGCGAATATCTAGTGTGTGGATTGATCAATTCTTAGATAAATTATACATTAGGCCTTTCCAGTAAGGTCTTAATTACTATTAATTATATCAAAGAAAAATATTGAAAAACAAAAAAAGTTGAAAATGTGTACATTTTGAATTCACTTCCTGTAGCGACCGGAAGTACTGACGACGCAAACGAAGGCAAAATTGCACATCTATAACTCATGGTCTATCATCTCTAACAAGTCTCCAGTTAATATCTTTAGCCGTTTTCGAGAACACTCGAAGACAAAATTGCATTTTAAAATCAGGAAATTGCCCATAACTTGGCACTGGTACCGAATTTTCCAACAAACGGAATTTTATATAAAATTCATATAATGACCTATAATTCCTGAAATTTTCATTGAAATCCACCGAATAGTTTACGAGAAATCGCCTGCACAAAATTTTGTCTAAAAAAAAAGAATAATAATAATAACTAGATGCGTTCTTGTTGCTGGTGCAACAAGCAGGTCTTCCGACCGACTTCTCTTTTGCAATTTAGTCTGCGTCAACCTAAGAAATAGATTCCATAATGTATTTTTTCGTTTACGTTCATTTACAGTAGTTTCTCAACACAGATCGTGATTGTTCCAGGTATTTCACAAAATATATCCAAATATAGCTTTTAAAAATCGGAAAAATTTTCCACACATGTTCTAAAAGAGTGAAAAGTAATTTGCAACTGAAAAAAGACAAAAACAAAGAAAAAATTTGGGGAACTCCCCGAGCGGGATTCGAACCCGCGACAGTAAGACAAAGTTTGGTTCTGTCATATCTTTGCAATAAACGCACGCATGAAAAAAGTGAAAACATATATAAATATCTTTGAAAACGCTCTATAAACCCTGTAAATCTGAAAGAAAAATATTGAAAAACAAAAAAGTTGTAAAATGAGACTTTTTGAATTCACTTCCGTTTGCGACCGGAGGTAGGAACGACAAAAAATGAAGGACGTTCGGCACATTTACATGTGATGCTCTTTCATGTCCATAAGTTTCAATGTCATATCTTTAGCCGTTTTCGAGAAAACTGGGGTACAAAAATCCATTTAAAAAATACAAATTTCCCCAAAAATCGCGAATGGAAGCAAATTTTGAAAAAATGAAAAACACGTCTGGAGATATTAATGTGATGCATCTTTCCTGTAAAAATCTTTGAAATCCGTACAGTCACAGCTGAGATATCGCCATAACTATGAAAAAAGAATAATAATAATAATAATAATAATAGGAAACCGACGGAAAACAATAAGGTCTTCCGAAGGAAGTCGGAAGACCTTAATAAGAAACAATAGAATCACTATAAGGTCTTCCGTGAAGACGGAAGACCTTAATAATAATAACTAGAAACTCTTGTTGCTACAGCAACAAAGAAGGTCTTCCGTTCTCCTCTATTAATCTGTATGCAGAATGTTTTTTTTTCTATTTTAAAAAAGACAGACATATCATAAACTAGTAGACTAATTGTTCAGTGAACAATTATCGGCCTTTCCACCTTTTTAAGCATTTCAATATCATTTGGGCTGAAGAAAGTAGAAAAAAGCAAAGAAATAAATTAAACAGCAAAATTCTCATTTCTCTACAAGGATTTTAGATCGG